GCCTCTGCCAGCATTATAAATCACAGCCGGGCCGGGCTTAATTGGTCCTGACAGCCTCTGTAAAGCAGCAGGTTTCGGAGCTGTTGGGATAGAGAAGGGCTTTGCAAACCTTGTCCTTTTTCCTGGAGTCCTGTAGCATCGCAGTTAGAGCACTCACTTCGCAAGTGAGAGGATCCGTGTTCGATTCCCAGGCAGGGATAAACCTTAGGCAAGTTTCCTTACTCCTCACGCCTCTTTTTATCTAGCAGTAAGTAGTAACCTGGTTGTTAGTCGATTGGCTTCCGGGGATAATAAACTCCAACCCCCCCCACCCCCATAAAATAATATTAATAATAATAATCTGGTTACTCAATCCACGACGGTGTGTGCAACACTGCTGTGTGCAATTAGCTGCCGCATTTGGCCCACAAAACACACAGTGGATTCCGTTTGCGTTATATATTCAGCGTGTGCATAATATATTCTGTGAAGCGCTTTGAGACGTCTCAACCGCATGTTATGTCAGGGGAGGAGGGAGGGAGCAGAATTCCTCCAGGAGACGTTAAAGTCACCAAAAATATCTCCCTAATATTTCTCGAAAGCATCGGGGAGCATTTTCTTCCCGCCGTGGATTGCAATATTAGGAGTGCAATTTGAAGGCTACTTTTTTCCCCTCTCAGGTTATTACAAGTCTGGAGCTTTAAAGGCACACGAGAGACACAACAAAGCTCTTAAAAGTGAGAGAAAGGTCCCCAGCAGAGGTTTGTTTACACTGGCGGCTGCTTCCTATCAAGTTTCAGCATCCAGCGGTTACATAAACCCAGTGATTAATGTCGAGTGTGTCCCAGCCTAATAGCATTGCTCCCGTGAGGGCAACCTGCAGGGGATCGAGTTGATTGTGAACAGGTTGGCCCGAGTCAACCATTTTTAAAAAAGGAACAGTTTATATTTTCACGCTTGCGATCTAACACCCACCAGCGCTCTGGGTCGGTGTTGGAAGGCTGTGGGTTCAAGCCCCACTTTGGGACGTTGAGCTCGCAGTCCAGCGCAGTGATGGGGTGGGGATAGATGAGAGGCGTAGCGTGGGGTTTGTGGGGGGGCGGGGGGGGGAGAGGAGGTGCGGTCCTCTGGATCAGATGTTGATCTTGGGATCAGCGCCTTGGGACGTCCTCCTGACGTGAAAGGCACTTTATAAATGGAATCTTGTTGTTGTTGTTGTTGTTGAACCAAAATCCCATCTGGCTAAAGTGAGTGACTAATTTTATTGTGGGGGTGGGGAATTGTCGTCCAGGATATCAGAAGAAACTCCCTTCTCTTTTCGAGGAGCGCATGGGATCTTTAACGTCCACCTGAACAGGGCACAGACGGGGGTGCTTGTTTTAACTGGTGCCCCCGACAACAACAACAACAACAAACGATGACAAAATTACATTTGTATAGCGTCTTTCACTTCGGGAGGACGTCCCAAGGTGCTGGACGGAATTATGGACCCGAGCAGGGGGTCAGGGTGGGGCAGGGTGGGGAAGCAGGGAGATCGAAAGCACGGTCGAAGAGGAGAGTCTTGAAGGTGGCTAGGGGGGCGGTGAGGCGGAGGGACTGTGGGATGGAGCTCCAGAGGGTGGAGGCAGAGTGGCAGAAGGCTCGCCCACCAATAGTGGGGCGAGCAAAGCGGGGGATGTGATGCGGGCCGGAGCCCGCTGAGCGGAGGAAGCGAACCGGATGGTAGGGGGTAAGGAGTTCGAAGAGGTAGGGGGAGCAAGACTGTGGAGGGCTTTGAAGGTGAGGACCAGGATCCTGAACTGTATCCACTGTGTGATGGGAAGCCGGTGGAGTTGGGCGAGGATGGGGTTGATAGGGCAGACAAGGCTCTGCTCGCTGTTTGTGGGGGTGTTGCTGTGTTCAAATTGGCTGCTGCGTTTGCCACGGAATAACAGTCACTACAATACACAGTGTAGACGACACGATGAGACGTTGTACTAAATTATTATTTTGGGTCAGGCAATCAGTTCTATTCCCTTTAAAATCAGGAATATTTGTGAATGAATTCTTCTTTGGTTCCTGAGAAAGGACTGATGCCATCAACCTAATGTCTCATCAGTAATTCAGTATGATTTTAGCTAATGATTTGCTAAAACTAGGGTCGAAAATAATTCACGTTAATTATTCTTTCCAGTCGTTAACCACGGCTATATTTTTTGATTGCCACTCGTCTGAAATCTAACCTTAATTTCCAATGCATCTTTTCTGCTCGTTAATACATGGGTTGGGAGTGTGGGGTGGTTAAGGGGAGCCACAAAATTCCTCTATTCTTAGGTGGGGGAGGGGGAGGGTTTCCAAGGTTTTTTGGATCAGACAAATCTCTTTGAGACGTCTCAACGACGTGTTAAGGCGCTGTATCAAATGCAAGGATTATTATTATTCTAAATAGAGTCTGTGCCCTTTTCTTTTGGACGTTATGAAGACCCCCCCCCGGTGCTATTCGCTTTGTCTCTCCCGGAGCCCTGGCCAACAATCCCCCAGATAAAATTGGTCATTGAGCTCATGGCTGTTCGTGGCACGTTGCTGTACGCAAACTGGCGTTCTCCCACAAATACACAGCGACTGCACTTTGCAGTGTTTCCTGTGAGGCGCTTTGAGACGTCCTCACGATGTGAAAGGCGCTGTGTGTGTGTGAATGAGTGGAGGGAGGTGGGAGGGAGGGGTGTAGTTTCTTAGACATGCTAGATTTCCTGAGATTTAATAGCCAGCCAGCCGTCCTCTGTGACTGTAAACCATAAGGTCATTCACAGCAGGTTTGAGAGCACCCACTTCTTTTCTTCCAAAAGGTCTTTGATTGATCACAGTTGACATCTTCTTTGAATTATTTTCCAATTAATTAAATCTAAGTAACCAGTCAGATAGCCCAAAGATCTTATTACCATCAGTTCAGAGCAGGTGGAATCTTTAGTGTGTTTCCTTGGAGTGATTTATAAACCATTAAGAACCCAGGTGAGATGTGGTTGCCGTAGATCTTCTGTTGTTATATCAAATAATCCCTACATTTGTTATAGTGTTCATAACACTGAAACGTCTAACCATGCTTTAAGGTCATTTACTGCCAAGTGTAGTGACTGTGTATTTTGTGGGTGAGTGCGGCAGGCAATGAGAGAGTTTGTCTCTCCCCGGTGTCCTGACCGGCAATCACTTGGATCAAATTGTTCAGTCACTGCACGACTGTTTGTGGGACGCCGCTGTAGAAGTTTCTTGGGAGAGAATGTTTTGACATGAGAAGGTCCTCAAAAGACAGGTTAAGTAGCGAGGTATATAGGAATCGAACGGTTAGTTTGGGTGACGAGATTATATTAGTGTTGGAAACACTGCTCATTCCAAGAGCTGTGTCTCCACTGTGTTACTTTTTTTCCGGCACTAACATAAAGACCTGAATTAAAGATAGATTTACTTCGCACAAACCTTCGGCCCGTTTGATTTCATCCTTCTAAAAAACCCGGCAGGACTGCCCTCCCGACCCACCATCGAGACGTTTCTAAAACAAGTCCCAGCGAACTGGCCTGAACCACCCCTTCAAGCCCCCGACGCAAGATATTGATTGTCTGAGGCAGGTCAGGTTTTTAATATCAATAATCTCATGCAATTTTCCATAAAGGTCACCGGCAAATTACCCGGGGACACAAAATACGTTTTGAGAACGAGAAGGCGGAAAAGCTGACAAGAGTTTCCATTCGAAAACACGGTCCCGAAAAATAGGTGTAACTTTCAATAAACCACAGAATCACAAGATCACAAGGTTAAGTTTGGTTGAAGAAGGTCCTTCGGTCCATCTGATCTCATCCCTCCAGAACTTTCACCCATCCGTCGCCCCCCCCCCCCCCCCCCCCCCCCCCCCCCCCCCCCCCCCCCCCCCCCCCCCCCCCCCCCCCCCCCCCCCCCCCCCCCCCCCCCCCCCCCCCCCCCCCCCCCCCCCCCCCCCCCCCCCCCCCCCCCCCCCCCCCCCCCAACCTCCATACTTCTCCAGTCACAGCTTTAAGCTGCTTTTAAATGAGTCGCAGTGTCCTCGCCTCAACTACCGTTCCTGGTAACCTGTTCCAGTCATTAATTAAAAGAAATACTTCCTGGCATCTCTCCTAAAAGTGCCCCCTTTGCAACTCTAAACCTACAGTGCTCTCTGACGTATTATCCGTATCAATAGCTTAATGTTTTTATAAATCGAATGTCAATGAATTCATTAGGCACTTCATGAGAATCGAGGTTTCCTGGAAATCAGGGCTGGGAATTTCACACTGGATCCCGCGAGGGTAAACCACCGATCCTTATGTTCCCCCTATCTACTCCGCAATTCCTGAAGGATTAATTCCTGTCTGTCTTCTGTCTGTCTGTCTGGTTGTTGGTTGTTGGTTGGTCTGTCGGTCTGTGCCAAAGGGCTGATCGTTTCATTCTTACAATTCATTTTCCCGGCTATCTGCCATTTTAAACTTTTGGCAAGTAATAAATTCCCCTTTTGGCCACAGAGTGAAAGGTTTTCGAGCGAAGGGTGAAGTTCCCCCACCGATTTACTTTTTTTTCCCAGCACTAATGTAAAGACCCGAATCAACAACAACAAATTAAATTATACTCACGGCCTTTCGCTGTGCGGTGGGACATCCCGAGGCGCTTAATGAAGGGATCCGAGTAAAACGAAAACCCGGGAATTAGTGCCCTCAAAATTAAAGATGTATTTAATACACGAACCACCCACCTTCACAGTAATCTTCGCTTTGCTTCTGCTCTAGCGGGGAGAAGCCAAGTTAAACGATAGCAAAAGCGTTGAACGAAAAACAGAAGCACTGAGAGACCCAAATGACTAACTCAGCTACACTTAGACGGCTGCATTCCCAGCGACTTTAAAAAAAACACAAACAATTAACAAAGCTCTTCGCGAAGCACTGGATCCTGGTGTGAAAGGCACTAGGATCACCCACCCCCAGCCCCTCCCTCCATCGAATTGTAGGGGGTCTAACCCCAGGGTTGAACGGGGACGTTGTTCATTAGACGCTGTTGGGGTTGTAACACAACACGTTCAGCTGAAGGTTCTCGTCCCAGTGTCTCAGCAACACGAAGAGTTGTCTGGCCGAAGCCTTGATGGTGGGGAGGTCTCTGCCCTCGGGGATGGGCTGGGAGTTCAGCCAAGTGCTTGCTTTGGCGGCCACCAGCTCCCACTCGATGAACGACGTGGCCGAGCTGTGCTCCAGCCAGGCCAAGGCCACCGCCGTGGCCCACAGAGTCCCCCCGGGGTCCGTCCCCCCGTTGCCCCCGCTCGGCAAGCAGAGAGCCTCGCTGCAGTCCGTCTCGGATCCTCTCCCACTGTCAGCCTGCGAGGGGCTGGAAGCCTGGGCTTTCTCGGTGAGGAGGTCCGGCGGCCGGCCACTGAGGGTGGGGAGGGCTCCGAGTCGGCGCTGGGAACGCGTGGCTGGCCCCCAGGATACGGCCCGACCCCTCTCGCCTGCTCCCCCAGCTGCTCGCTGGCCTGGCCGTCGAAGCCGGCCCAGAGGTTCAGCCTCTCCGCACTCCCATCGGTGAGGCTTTCTCCATCCCCGGTCTCTTGCCCCCTCATGGCCCCCCTCTCCCCCAGCCCCGTCCGGTCTCGCGCAGGGGAGCAGCAGCTATGGACGGTGGGGCTGGCGGTGGCTCGGTGGCTGGGGAAAGGGGAGCTCCACCTCAGCTTCTCCATGGGGATGCTGACGGCCTCACAGAACGGCTCGTCGAGCAGAAAGGCTCCCGATGCCAATTGTAAAGTGATCTGCGAAAGGCAGTGGCAACAACAACAACAACTTGCACTTGCACAGTGTCCCGAAGTGCTTCACCAACACGCAATTGGATGCCTGCGACTAGTGTTGATGCAAAGACTACTCAACAACAACGACAAATTATATTTACAAGGCTCTGGGCAGTCAAGCATTTTGGACCCAAGTTGGGGGTTGGGATCAGGAGGACTGAAGGAAGGTCTTGACACGGGCCTTGAATGAGGCAAGAGAGGGGGCGAGGCGAAGGGACTTTGGGGTGGAGTTCAAGAGGCAGAGAGGCTGAAGGGTCTGATCGACGTGATGGAACAGGCAGGGCGGGAGACATAGAGCAGGCCGGAGCCCGCTGAGCGGAGGGAACAGATAGGTCCATATGGAATTAGCAGCTCACAGTGGTAGGGAGGGGCAAGGCAGTGGAGCACGAGGACTTTGGACTCTATCTTCTGGGGGATGGGAAGCCTGTGGAGCCAGGCGAGGATGGGGGTGATAGGGTCACGGAGCCTGGCGCGGGAGAGGACACGAGCTGCAGAATCTGAACGCACAAAACGCCACTTCAATACTCACGAGGGGAAGGTAGTCATTATTCTCGTTCTCGGTTTTGCAGATGGAGTCGCTTGCTTTACTAGGCGATCGGCTCATGAAGCCCTTGGCAGCTCGTGTGAGCATCCGAGCCTTGCTTAGGCTCAACCTGTGGGAGAACATGGGATCCCAGGTCAGAACTAAGCTAGCCTCCAAGTCACACACAAATGCATCCCAATCCAATCCTGTCCAACCCACAGAACAGTGCTGGGAGCCTCATCACCACCACAACACCACCAACAACAATAACTTCACACCGTATGGCATCTGGGAGCTCTAGAGGTCTACAAGGACAGTCTTTAAATAGAGGGTCCCACATCCCCACCCTTGCCCAGGGGGAACTAGCAAGGGTCACCCACGTCCTAAGACAGAGCAAAAGAAAGGGCGTATTTTTCACCCCATAAACTCCTTATCCGTGCAGGGGAACAGCTTCAAGCTCCACGAACCTTGCTGTGAATAAGCTTTCGATGGACCTCTGGGACGAGACAGAGAGACTTCTCTGCGGTGCTGGATGGAAGAAGCAGAGAATAAGTTCCAAGGATGAATTTAAGATGGAAAAGGCAGAGACAGAGAGAGAGAGAGAGAGAGAGAGAGAGTGAGAGAGAGATAGGGAGAGGAGTTTGTTACCTTCAGTAAAGCTGCACCTCTCCCACCCGGAGGAGGTTGGAGCGCTGCAGGGAGACAGGCTGCTCTCCTCAGTCGCTGGCAACGAGAGACAATAGAGAAAGCTGCATCAGGCTGCATTTCTGTCAATGTCAGTGTAAGACTGGGGGAAGGAAACATGTTTGTTCCCTATAAGTTCGGAGCGCAGCGAGTGTGTGGGTATGTGTGTGTCTTTGTGTGTGTGCACTTGTGCTTGTGCGAAACATAGGGATAGACCATTCAGCCCCTCCTGCCTGATCCACCGTTCTATAAGATCATGGCTGATCTGTACCTCAACTCCAATTGCCCGCCCTCGCTCAATATCCCTTGATACCCCGACCTAACAAATATCTATCTTGAAAATGTGAATGGATCCAGCCTCCTAATCCAGTGTGTGTGTGTGTGTGTGTCTGTGTTTGGGGAGGGGGTGAAGTGGGTGGTGGTTGAGCTCTTGTGAACCTAGACGGTGTTACATCTCACCTAATCAAGCCTTGCAATTGTTGCATCGCACAAAGCAAGTGCTCATTAAATCCTGTGACGCTCAGTGTGCTGAGCTGCAAGTCTCCAAAGGCACATGATGTTCGTTCGTAGCCTTAATTTTCGGGGTGGGGGGGGGGGTTCCTGGGAGAGGGTGGGGGAGTCTGTACCCTCTGCCAGTTATTCTCTTCCAAAGCTGAGTGACTGGAGCAGAGCCTGTGGCACACTGGGACTCTACTTGTTTGTTCTGTTGAGATTAGCTGAGATAGATGAGTTCCATTAAAGCCCACATCACACAGGGGCTTCAACACCTTATCACGTCCGACCATCTCAGTACTCAGTACTCTCCGCTTGCAATTACTGTCAAGTGCAACAGCAGGGGCTCAGGCTGACACTCCAGCTATCCCAAGAGACGTTAAACCCGACTACCTGGGTGTGGGGGGGCGGGGATGGGGAGGTGAGAGGGAGAGAGAGAGAGAGAAAGAGAGCACAATGGGGAGCGTTCTCCTCGGTATTCTGACCAACGATCCCGCAGATTAATTCATCTTGTGGGATCTTGTTGGCGTAAATAGTCGCTGCCTTTGCCTCAAAAGCAGTCACTGCACCTGAACAATAATGAGCTGCGGAAACACTTTTGCAGACGTTTTGAAGTGGAAGTCGCTGTAAGACGTCAAGACCCTTCCCTCCCTCCTTCCGTTCCTCCCTCCATCTCAACTCCCTGCTGTTCTGCACTGCAAATCACTGAAACACGTCTCCCAATAATAATAATAATTGATGCTAGGTAAACAGAGGCATGTGGAGTAAGCAAACTTGCCTTATGTACGAACTTGCCCGAAGTGCATGCTATATCATTGCTTATGATATTATGGGTACACAAGTATTCACAAGTTAGCCATTATCATTACTGCTATGGAATAACAGGCCACATCCCCCCCCCATCACTGAATGCCGGCCAAGTCACTGCCATTAGGACATAAGAAAGGAACGAACAAGCTTTTAGCGAATAGATTTTCCTGTTGATCAATGACGTCTCCCAAGGATGTGCAATGGAAACCAATCTCAATCATGCAGAAGGCCCAGTCTTCAACAGGCTCTGTGACTTCTATTAACCCAATAGCTCTTTCTAATCAATCTTTAACGAGGAGCAGTGAAGAGGGTCGCAGAAACCTACGGATTTTGAACCGCCGTGCGTGCTCCTGGACGCTTCCCCACACGCGGGGGGGGGGGGGTGTGTGGGCTGCGCTATACAAACGCGCCGTTGCAGTAGTATTCACAAGTAAGCCGTTCTAAAGCTTGCTGAATCAATCAACCCTTTGAACGAGCAGGAGTCAGGAGTGCAGATGGGATTGAACCAGCGACACACAACCGGCTCCATCCTGAAACAGTTGTCGCACCGCCACCTGGCGTCGCCAAGCGGGTACTGCGCAGAGCTCGGCCATCTCAGTGCCTTGACCCCTAGCGAGTGAGATAAGAGCCTTACTCATCACGGCGAACCCATCGTCACCCCCATCAGAGCCGTATCCGGACTGCGACCTGCCCAGGCCCACGCTGTAAGTGCGGTGTTTCTGGCTCCCTGTGTGGGAGCTCCTCTGGTTGCTGGACTTTGACCCAGGCGCTAGAGCGGGAGCGGAAACGAGGCAGAAGGAAAAGACAAGACCAAACAGGTCACCCAACACCATGGACACCTCGACGGGTTAATAATCACAATAATCCTTTGCATTTGATACAGCGCCTTATCACGTCTTCGAGACGTCTCAAAGCGCCTTCGCAGGATGTACCGTCGAGTGAATCGACTGCATATTTTGTGGGCGAAATAATCCTTGTGTTTGACACGGTGCCAGTAACCTCAAGCTGTCCCATTGCACTTCACTTCTTTTTTTTTTAAAGTGTAGTGACTGCGTATTTTGTAAGCGAACGCCTTGCGCCCAACAATAACCCAAAAATAGCCACGAAGAGAACAGCCGGCCTAACCTGCTGGACACCAGGAGAGACGTGAAGTGTCCACCTGAAGGAAAGGACCTCGATTTGAAGTCTCAGCCGAAGGACGGCACCTCCAACAGTGCAGCGTATTTGGGAGGGTCAGCCTTGAATTGTGAGCTCAAAGTCCCTGATATTGGGGTGGGAGGGAGCTTTGAAACCACAACCGTCTGACCCAGAGGCGAAAGGGTGAGCGACTGAACCAGGAGGGGGTGTAGGGTAGACCCAAGTGGTTACATTACCTGAGTTTGAGTACTCAATATTGTTTGGCAGGTATTCATTGTTCTCCAGATAAACAGGCACAAAGGCTCTGTACTTGCTGATAATGTTGCAGGCCTTACTGGTGTGAAGGACGTTCAATTGGTATCGTCTGCCAGACCCTGGGGTAGAAGGGAACACAGAGAGTGCAGACAACAACAAACAACCTGCACTTACACAGCGCCCTTCATGCGGGGTAGGGTCCCGGTGCGCTTGACTGTGGTGGGGTCTGACCCCGAGCCAGGGGGAGAGGGAGGGGGGAGGTGACCGTAAACACGATCAAAAAGGAAGGCCCTTAGATGGGATTTGAAAGTGGGGAAGGAGGGGGCAAGGCGGAGGGACTGTGGGTGAGATTTCCAGAGCTTCAGGGCGTAGTGGTTGAAGGCACGGCCGCTGATGGTAGAGCCGAGGGGGGCGAGGGGCGAACAGGAGGCCGGAGCTGGCCGAGCGGAGGCAGCGGGTGGGTGGAGTGGGGGGGGCAGGGTAAGCAAATCGGAGAGGTAGGGAGGTGCGAGGGCATGAAGGGATTTGAAAGCAAGTGAGAGGATCTTGAAGTCGATCCACTTGGTAATCAGACAGTGATAAAGCCATAGCACAGAGCACAGGAGGAGGCCATTCGACTCTTCGTCCCCTCTCAGAACTCCCCGTTGTAGGTTGTTGGGAATTCTATCGGGATTCCTTTTCCAGTTGGGAAACACCTCAAGTAAGATACACCTGCCCCCCCCCACCTCCCCAAAGAATTCCTAGCTCCCCACCCTCATAATAATTCAGGATGCTGGGTGGCGAACTGGATGGACCTCGGTCTTCTTTCGTCCAACAATTCTTAAGTTCCTTATGCCTTTCATGTCAGGAAGGGGGGTGTCTCAATGAGAGCTGATGTGGGGGCTTGAACCCACATTCATCTAACCCAACAACAACAGCCCTTCGCGCAGGATAGAGTCCTGGAGCGCTTGAGCGTGAGAAGCCAGAGCGCTACCCACGGAGCCAGGCTGATGGGCCGAGGTTACCTTCCTCGATGAATCTTACCGTGTTCTATCTCACACTCTTTTTCAGCCATTTGCTCAAAGTCTCGGATGACGGACTTGGCAGCCAGGTGATGGACGGTTTCGTTCCACGGGTCCTCCTGGAACCCGCCCTGAACCTTTCCGTGGTCAAGTAGAGATCCGAGATCAAAGGTCACTTCCCACCGAAGGACTTCCCCAGACAGCAGACCGCTGATCACGGCCTTGCAGTCAGGCTTGCTGTGGTGAGGCCCCGAGTCCCTGACTCCTTGCGGTGACTTGGCCTTCAGAGTTGGCGAGAATACGTGATATTTCCCTGCAAATTGATTCCAGTAGCAACGTTAGCCTTGGGTGAATTCGATACGGCGCTTTATCGCATCGTCGGGACGTCCGAAAGCGCTTCACGGGATTTCACAGCAGGGCGCGGTGAGTGTTAGCGAACACGACACAGCAAGACCCCTGAAACAGCCACGAAGCGAGTGACCGATTTTTATCCGGGGATTGTCGTCCAGGATGCTGGGAGAGAGAAACTGCCCTTTCTCTTTCCGAATAGCGCCAACGGGAACTTTAATGTCCACCTGGCGCAGGCGCAGGCGCAGACGGGGAGTGAGGTTTAGCATCTCATCCAAAGGATGGAGCCTCCGACAATGCGGCACACCTTCGATGAAGGGATAAATCTAGACTATAAGCTCAACGTCCCAATGTGGGGGCTCGAACCCACAACCTTCTGGCTGGTGGGCGAGAGTGAGTGCTGCCGACTGTGCCAAGCTGACACCTCGCGGAAAATCGTGTGAACACTCTGCGTTCTTAACTCCTCGTCACTAGCATTGGTCCTGAAATTTATCGCTTAACACAGAGAAACGTTTCATTATTATTATTATTATTTGGTCATTACTTGCAGTAACAATGGAACTGTCCTTGAGAGGAGCAATCCAACCACCCTTTCAGACGAAACAAACACCATTTTGGGAAAAGGCTTTTTCTTCCGACGCTACTTTCAATTTCAGACCCGGTCTCTGTCTGAGTCACAGAGAAGAGGGGGGGGGGGGTCTGTCATAGCCTGTGTCTGGATGTGCTAAGCAATTCCATGGTCACCCTCCGTGAAATTGACATTGTGTTCCCTCTACAGATAATAAATTCTCCTGTCCATTGTGCACAGAAACAGGGCTGCAAGCTCTGCATCTTTTATAATAATAATAATAATCCTTGTATTTGACATAGCGCCTTATCACATCATTGAGACGTCTCAAAGCACGTCACACTGCGAGGTAGTTAAGCGTTCATCGAAATAGGGTGAACGTTTTGGTTCCTGGCGAGGGGGTCACAGGTGTTCAGAGCCAGACATTCTGTTAAATCTGTTAGATTGAGATATCAATCGATTTATCGCTCTTAAGGGGAAAAAATATTGGTTTGAGTGCTTTCGATTTATGACTTCTTTGTTAGATTTTGTGAGTTAATAGGTTTTATGGTCCTGTCGGAGTCTTTTAGTCTGAACAATAGTTGAATTAAGGAGTTAAGGTTTTCGAACTGTCAAAGTAGGAAGGATTGGTTGAAGGAGGTCATTCTTAGTTAATTAGGAGTATGAATTTGTCAAAGTACGGAGAACTGATTGGGTAAAAAGTGACACGGGAACATTTGAGGTATAAAAGGGAGGGAGTGGCGTTATAGGACGGTTGTTGAGTTTGGGAGTTTTAACTAACTTCTGATTTTAATATCACTAATTATAAAAGCTCTTGAATCTCAGTAACTTAGAAGAGATGTGAATTTGGGGTAAAGTAATTCTATTTGTTTACGCGTGGTGGTCTAAGTGTTAAGGCTCAGTGGTTAGATATCTTATAAAGTATAAGTGTTAAAGTTATATTTATATAGAAATGCAGTATTTTGCGTTTTATTTACATTAATGTAGTATTATCAAAGTATTATGTAAGATTTGGGTTTGTTATTTTTGCGTCGAATGCTATATATATATATATTGAATTGAATGGGTTTGAATAATTAAGAAATATTTTATTAAAAGCCAAGTGTTTGGTGTATGGTGTGAGACCTCTCTGATCGGGCACGTACCCTATTTGCCCGTATATTTTGCGGGCGAAACACGGCAGCCAATTGCGCACAGCAGCGTCCCACAAACCGTCGTGGTTTGATTGAACAAATTCAGTGTGTTGGCCGGGGCACGGCGAGAGAGAGAGAGAAACTCCCTTCTCTTGTACCAAATGCAAATATTATTAATATTATTATTAAATCCAGCCCCCAGGCGGGAGTGGGTGAGTGGGTGGGATAAACAGACATGAAAAAAAATAATAGAAAGTAAAAATAATTCAATAAGCCACGGTTCAACATTACTAGCTTTTCCGATTTGGCAGGTGGGTGTTTAGTGACTCACCCTATTTCAAAGTGAAACTGGAATTTATCTCCTGCTTTATCCTGGTTGATATTCGCGCGCGTGTGTATGCGAGAGGTGCCGTGTAAATGGAAAGCTTTTGTTGTATTTGGGACGCGACCCTGTGTGAAGTTATTGTCGTTGTTGCGTTAAGCCGGCATCTCAAACGGCCCGTCAGAAAGCACAAGGGCCACTTCACGTCATCCGTCGATCTCGTACGAGGCGCGGCTGAGGACTGGGGAGTAGAAAGAACCGCGCTCTAATAACTTACAATTTCCACCGCAAATTGAGGTGATCGGGTGCAGTTTGTGGTGCTGGCTGTGGGCTGTGATTTATGGCTTTGTGCTGGGGAGCTGAGTGGAGAGTCCAGGAACTTCATCATCGAGTGGTCGGAGATAAGCCCGTGAGTGGAAGGCATTGCACCCTCTCTGAGTAAATAACTACCTTGTCCTCCACAATCAGGCCGGAATGAGAGATTGCTCCGTAAGGCTTCTCTCAGCTGTGAGAAAACCAGATGCTTTCTCAAGCAAACAGCCCAATACGTCACGTCGTCCAGACAATAAAGTGACCGCATCCGTCCTTATTGTCTGGGAATCAGATAGAATCAGATAGCGGACTTTCCACGTGATGTGACGGGATGTGGTGTGACATGCTCCCGGTTATTCCAGGAAGGTCTCAGATTACAAGAAGAAGAATGAATTACATTGGCTTTCACGTCGAGAGGACAGCCCAAGGTGTTGGATTCCTTGATTAAGAAATCCCATTTTAGAAACGTGGCAGATTTGAAGCTAGGAATGGGAACGCACCAACACCACAGGGTGGGTGACATGATGGGTTCAGATGAAGAACGCCCTTTGGCCCATTTGATCTCATCCCTCCAGAACACCCACCCTATCGTCTTCGCAATCACAGGATTCAGCTTTTTCTTAATGTATCGATGAGTCCCAGTGTCCTGGCCTCAACCACCCTTCCTGGTAACTTGTGTTCCTGTCATTTATTACCCTCTGTGGCAGAGGGTCAGCAGTGGATCACCACTCTTGCGCACGATCAAAAAGACAAGAGGAAGGAGCGAGAGAAGTGTATTTTTGAGAATGTGCAAGGGCCCCACCTAGTGCCAATCGACCCTGATCTGGGGAAAGAAAAACATCCTCTGTCAGGTGCCTCGAAAACTATCTCTCAAGACTGGGCCCTTCCATTAAACTTGTTGATTTCATTTCGTCGGCTCATAATCCATGTCTGAACAACAACCAAATGGATTACTATTATTATTATTAAAGGCATCATCGAGTCGTTGAAAAAACAATAACCATTTTGAATTGCTGGAAATGTAATACCCGACTATTCTATCTGAGCAAACGTAATAATAATAACAAAAAAAAGATCCTTACAATTGATGCACAGCAGCATCCCCTCAAACAACCATGAGATGGATGACAAACTTTATCTGGAGGATTGTTGGCCAGCACACCGGGAGAGAGAAACTCCTGGTCTCTTTTTGAACAGTGCCACGGGATCTTTAACATCCACCTGGTGTCTCATCCGAAGGACGGCATCTCAGACAAGACAGCCCCCTCTCTACTCCACCCCCTACACCCCCAACCCACCCCGCACCACCGCGCCCAGCACTGCATTGGAGCATTTGACATTTTCCCCAAAATTGTCCGACACAATATGAACGGAGAAGCTCTGCACCTTTTAAGACCCGGCTTCTGACTCACCGGGTTCTGAGCAGCTGCTGGCGGAGGTGCTCTCCGTGGATGACCTGAAAGTGGTTGTGGAGTCACCGTGATCCGTGACCCCTGGGGTGGCAGTGTGGTGCAGGCTGGTCTGTCCCAGGGGCGAGTCCAGGTCCTGGCTGGTAGATACGCAGTTTTGGTGCAGCAGAGATGGTCGCCTACCATCAATCAGCTTGGACCTTGCAAGCTTTGTGTGGAGCTGTGGGCACACGTGACTAGAATGAGCTATTACGGTTCCTCTTCATTCAGAGGAATGAGCTATAGATCTCTCTTTCTCTCTTTCTTTCTTTCTCTCGACAATTCTCACCCTAGGTTCTAGATTTACCTCCTCATTATGTTGTCGAGACCTTTCAAACTCCTCCACAGGATTTTACCGTGCAGTGCAGCGTAAGAACATAAGGATTGCTCGACCAAGGTCCATCCAGTTCGTCTTCCACCATCCTGGCAGTTGCATTTGCATTTGCAAACTATCTATATACTGGTGTCCCTTTCAATTTCCAATAGGGCCACAGGATCTTTAACATCCACCTGAACAATTGCGTGTGTGTGTGTGTGTTTGTGTGTTTGAGGGCAAACATCCACAATAACAACAACTGGCTTGTATGCAGTGCCCTTCACACGGGGTAGCATCCCGGAGCACTGAACAATGGCGTAGTTTGATACTGAGCTGCGGAGAAAGGGAAGTCACGGTCGAAGAGAAAAATCTTCAGGTGGAGAAGCCAACACGGATACAATGGGTGAAACGGCCTCCGGGTGTGCTACATACAATAATCATTCTTATATGATAACAATTGTATATTTCCAAGGTTCAATTACAGCTTGGCCCTCAGATCATTGACGCACACTGAGAGGATATTAAATCACCAAACCCAGCTCTCGCCATTTCAGATGCCACTTGAACGGTATCAGACGTGACTTATTCTCATCACCCACGGCCTAATTAAGGCTCCACTGTTGTCCCTGGGAATTATTTGCTTCAAATCAACCTGTATTAATTTTGTGTCATCCTCCGCGCTCTTGATTGGGTCATTAATTTACAGGCGGCGGGGGTGGGGTTGTTGTGTGGGTGGGGGGGGGGGGGTTGGGATTGAAACATGGCAGTGGTTTCCATACCAACACACACAAACACACTGAACGCTTTGTGTTAGCTTGGCTCAGTCGGTATCATGCTCGCCTGTGAATCAGAAGGTTCTGGGTTCAAGCCCCATGTGGCACTTCGAACTCACAGGCTAGTCCAGGCTAACATTCATCTTACGACCGTTTCCGTGCCGTAACACTCTACGTGATCCTAGGCACATTGGCTGCAGCGTTGGCCTACAGATGCACAGTCACTACAGCTCACAGCAATTCGCTGTATGGAATGCGGTGATTGCTATTTAAATAATTTGGTCACTTAATCCACCGTGGTTGGTGGGACGCTGCTGTGCGCAAACGGCTACCGCATTTCGCCCACAAAATATACAGTCGATTCTCTTTACAGTACGGTGTGTCCTGTGAAGCGCTTTGGGACGGCTCAACGAGGTGATAAGGTGCTGTCTCAAGTGCAAGGAGTATTATAAAATATCCATTTATTTATATTATTTACCTATTTAACACTGAAGCAGATTCGCTTGGATTCCGGTTGGAGGGGAAACTATCAAGTGAAGAAGCCAACACCAACGCAGATGCAATGGGTGGGATTGGACTGGATTAGCTCCCTGCTCACGTGGCCGCAATCCAAGGTTACCCGTGCGTCACGCACTGATTGGGAACATGCGAGCGGGTGAGTGCATGTCAAGGGGCATTGATTCCCCCCCCCACCCCCCACCCCCTACTTGGGTTTTTCAATGAAGGGAAACGCGATGCCAGCTCGAAAAATCCTTTTGAAGAAGCCCCACTCAGGAATCATTTATGCAACGACTCGTCTGTTTAATTGGGTTATAAAATTGCTTTTCAAATGCAGAACCGAGCCAAAAAAAAAACACCCTCTATTGAACCGGAGGAATATGCATAAATCCTCGTGCTTTGTCAGCCCGGCTCGGGTTACAGTTTTCTCTTGCCTCCCGAGTCTGAGATTTGTGGGTTCAAGCCCCATTTTGGGGCTTTTAACTCGCACGATCTAGGCTGACCCCACAACCACAGTGCTGGGGGTGCGCTGAATTGTCAGAGGTGACGTCCTTTGGTTGAGATCTTAAACCGATTAGTCCCGTCTGTGCCTTGTTCAGGTGGATGTTTCATCTTCTGCCTTGCGCTAACAATTGTTATTATAATAATAATAGTAATCCTTGCATTTGATACAGCGCCTTATCACGTCGAGACGGCTCAAAGCGCTTCGCAGAATATACTGTAAAGTGGAGTGACTGTGTGTTTGTGGGCGAAACACGGCAGACAATTGCACACATAGCTGTGTCCCACAAACAGTCGTGGATTTCGTTTACGATGAAAGCAAGACAATTGCACTCTTATGACACCTTATCAATCGAGGGTCCAGGCTAGACTGTGAGCTCAAGGCCTGAAGCAGAGATGGGTAAGGGTTTGAACCCGCAACCTCCTGTCGCAGAAGCGAGAGTGCAACAACTGAGCCGGCTGCTTAGTATTCAATAGGAGGTGCTTGACAGATCTTCAGAAGCAAAGATTCACTGTTAATTGTGAGGAGGCAAAGGTTTGCCTCCCAGCGCAATATATTAAGCCTTTGAGCTATTTCAGTTTCCCATTTAGAGAGTAGAGAGGTGACAGTTTTAATACATTCCCAGATATATCCTTCTGTGCGTCTGATTTATATTCCGGATCAGCCTTTAATGTCCCTGACTCGCCCAAGTCAATTGCCATTTGCATAGGCGTAACTCAAAATTAGACGGGGAGGTGGGTGGTGTGGGGGGGGAAAGAACTGAGGGAGGGGGTTGTTGTGAAATCTCAGCCCAGTGCAGTTTCCGTACATTCAAGGCAAGGACCGCAGGAGGTGCTACGGGCAAAGAGCGGGGTCTATTTTGCGGGTCGGGCTAACCACGTGTGACGCATGTGTAGAACAACAACAACAACTTGCATTTATAGTGCGGCCGTCACCCCAGGTAGTGTCCCGGAGCGCTTGACAGTGGCGGAGTCTGAGTTGCACAATTAAGGGAACGTGGAGGGCTTTGCACACGGTTAACCCAACCTCTAGTTTTCTCACCGTGACCGCTTGCTGTTCGGAACCCGTCGGATACGATGACAAGAGTCGCACGAAGAAATTATTATCCGGCTGTTAGGCATTCGGCAACAGCTGCCTGTTTCTGCTCACCTGCCAGTCTCCCTGACCCAGCGAGGCAGCTTCCGGGCTCCGTTGACTCACCAGCTGCTGGGCTCTTGCTCTCCTCAGAGGGTTCTTACTCAGGGCTGAGGACGGGTCACTGGAGGTAAAGTACCGCTTAAAGTTGCCCTGTTCAGCCAGTTGATTGGCGCTATACGCTCTCCTTCTGGGAGACGTCTTTGGCTTGATGCCTTTAAGATGCATCGTGAACGCAGGTTACGACAACGAGACAATGTGTTACTCATAATAATTTCGGTACGACTAATAATAATCCTTGTGTTTGATACAGCGCCTTATCACGTCTCCGGGACGTCTCCAAAGCGCTTCACAGATTACATTGCAAAGCGAATTGACTGTGTGTGTTGTGGCGGAAAGGCGGCACCCAATTGCGCCGGGACTCAGGGAGGGAGAGAAACCCCCTTTCCCTTTGCGAATAGCGCCGCGCGATCTTTAACGTTCCCCCTGAACAGGGAACAGACCGGGAACTCGGTCGAATGGCACCTCCGAAGGACGGCACCTCTGACAATGCAGCAATTCCCCACCCCCCCCACCAGCAATGCACTGGAGTGTCAGCCTAGACTGTGTGACTTCAAAGTCCCGACGTGTGGTTTGAACGCATGAGAGCGTAACGGACCGAGCCAGGCAATTATAGGCCAAGCTCTTCCTGATTCCTTCTCCCACTGAAGTGCCCGCGTGACCTGGGGTCGGGAATCTCCTTCGATCCGCGCAAAAATATTAAAGACAGAAAATTCCAAACCCAAGTCTCTTTCCGCTTCGCATTCCTGCTCTTCCAGAGTCACTTCCCGCGACACTTCTCTCCCGGGATCCACGGCCGAATCCCGGGAACAACTCGCGAGCTCGAAACCCCGGTCCGATTCCTCCTCCAGCGAGTGGTAAAAGACTGAACCGCTGGAATCCTGGGACCACATCATGCTGTATCTCCGACGTTTTTCCTGGGTGGAGGGATGGGGCGGGGGGGGGGCATTGCAGAAGGGAGGGAGGGAGGGAAGGAAATTAAAATGATACATGACGCTACATGACATCTCACGACTGCGAGCCAAACTCCTTTGCCTCCAGTGATTACGTCACTCCGCAAGAACGATCCCAAATCTTTCCTCCGTTGGCTGAGGTTGTGGTCCCTCGGGGGTAGCCCCAGTACTGGACAAGTCCCTGTTCTCTCCAGAGCGCCTCCGACAATGCAGCACTCCCCCACCCCGCACTGGAGCGGCAGCCAATTCCGTGAACTCAAAGCCCCCCCCCCGATGTGGGAGCTTCAACCCCTAACCTTCTGGGAGAAGTAATGGCATTGAGGGGTGTGGGGAAATTGGACGAGAAGATCTGCCAGGGTCTTATACCACCACCAACAACAACATCAACAACTTGCGCCCTTCAAACAGGGCAGCGTCTCAGAGCGCTTGACAATGGCGGAGTCTAACACCGGGCAGTGCGAGGGAGGAGGTGACCGAAAGCTCGAGGAAGAGGAAGATCTTCAGTGATAAACTGGGTGGAGCAGGTTCGATGGGTTGTTCCCAGGTTCCCTAGCACGTGTCAGCCTTGTCGCCTCGTGTCGGATACTCACTGATCTGGGGTTGGAGTGATACCTGGACGTGTCACAGATCACGCTATACCCCACCAGCCTGTCCCCGGGGAACAGCGTGCTCGGCCCCACAGGGGAAAGGAGGACCTCGGTTGTTTCGGGGAAGAGCCATTCGATTGTGACGTCGCTGAGAACGGGCATCATCGCCTTCTTGAGGGACGTCACCATCTAAACACAAACGCACAAACACAACCGGCCGTTAATCACCGCCACAGAACCCAGCCAGGGTCTTGCCTGCGTTCTGCCAGGAGAGAGAGAGAGGGAGAAAGAAACTGCCTTCGCTTTTCCAACAGCGCAACGGGATCTTTAACGTCCACCCAAACAGGCAATCAGGACCCTGGTTTAAGGTCTCGCCTGGTGCCTCTGAATGCACTGCGCACCCTCCAGGCACTGTGGTGGAGTATCAGCCTTAAACAACGTGAGTTCAAAGACCTGATGTAGGGGACTTGAACCCACCACAACAACAACAGTAAAGTGATCTGAGAAAGAATGACAACAACAACCACAACAACGACCTGTATTTACACAGCGCCTTTGACCCAGAATAAAGTCTCATGAGCGCTTCGCAAAGACCTGCCTACAAATAGTGTTAATACAAAGTTTACTCAGCAGCAACGGCAACAGATTGCATTTAGGTAGAGGACGTCCCAAGGCGTTGGACGGTCAAGGATTTGCAGCCATGCGACATTCTGACTCGGGGTGTGAGAGGGCTACCGACTGAGTCAGGCTGACTGACACCTCGGACGTTCTTGTGTACTAAACCCTCGTTGATTTTGTAGGTTTTTTTTTTTTTGCTTGAATTCACCTTTGGTTGGAGTCTTTCACCGTCTCCAAGAAATTCCGCGGCTCCTTTGGAAACGGACGCAAGTCCCAGAACCAACCGTCTGCACGCATTCTGTCCGATTCCAAAGCTAAAGCACCTGTAGTGAGGTGACAGGTCAGCAGGTCAGCGTTTGATACAGACCATTCTATAATAATAATAGTGATAATAATCCTTGCATTCGATATACCGCTTTTCACGTCTTCTCGACGACTCAAAGCACTTCACAGAATACGCCGTAAAGTGAATTGACCCGTACATTTGTGGGCGAAACATGTCACATCTCTGAGTTGCCTCAGAAGCGCTTCACACAATATACCGTGAAGTGAATTGACTGCATATCTTGTGGGCGAAACAAACAGGGCAACCAATGGCCCGCGGCAGCGTTCTACAAACCGTCGTGGATTGAGTGACCAAATATTTTTTTTCTCTGAAGGATCTTGTTACCCACGGAAAGCGATCCGTCAATCTCTCGTTTGCAAGGTGAGTGCTCTAACCACTAAGCTACTGGACCCCACTATAGCACCTTTCATGTCGGGAGCATACACCAACAACTTGGCCTTTATACACCGCCCCTTAAGCAGGGTAGCGTCCCAGAGCGCTTTGGAGTTTGCGCAGCGCACCGCAGAGTGCAGTGACTGTACGTTCTCGTTCTGAGCATCCAAGCCCGAGTACCTGGTCGAATGAGCGTGGGCTCGGACGCTCTCAATCACTTTCCCCGTGTTGTTCACAGCCCCGTCAGTCAGAAGGAAGAGGAGTAAAGGATGTCCTCTGTAGGCCGGCTGGCGGAGGATCCAACTCAAAGGTGCCGAGATGTTGGTGCCTCCCATGTCGGCTCGCATCTTCTTAACGTGCTCACAGGCCAGGGCCAGCGTGTCCTGGGGGCACCAAGTGTATTTATATATTTTTTTATTAATGTGCGGAATTCGATTTTATCTACTAAAACGTTGGGTTATCTTATCAGTAACGACCCGTGCATTTGGTACAGCGCCTTGTCACATCGTTTCAAATCGCTTCATAGAGGGCTTTTGCTGACCAGTGTAGTGACTGCGTGTTTTGCAGAGGCAGCCAATTTACGCCCAGCGACGTCGCTGCGAATGGCCGCGAAGCGAAAGAGGGATCGACGGCTTGGACGCCGGGAGAGGATTCCACTTGCTGCTGCGTCGGTCCTGCGCCTTTCACGCGAAAGCGATATCTTTATATCTCGAAACGCTTCACAAATTGACTGGGAAAAGAAGCGGAGGATGTCACAGAGGCAGCTCGACCCGAAACCAGGGCCGAATTAGAATGAGGAAAGGAGGGTGGCAGTGGGGCCATGGGGAGAAGGGGGACGGGGAGAGGGGGCTGTGGGGGACAAGCAAACCAGGAGTAAGACCCCCTTGCTTTCCCTGAAACAGTCACGGCACGGAGGTCCCATTACGTATCGCCCGAGTGGTGGTGGGGGCGATTATTTTGTCTCAAGTTACAGTTCAGGCTGTGAGTGTGTGTGTGTGCGTCTGTGTGTGAGTGTCGGTGAGTGTGTGTGTGTGTGTGCACCCGCGAGTGCGAATTTCAGGTGTCAAATTATTCAAACTGTGCACTCACTGAGCCAGCGCAGGAAGGAAGGGAAGGCTTAATTGGAATTCGCATTGGGGAAGGCCTATGACCTTGAGGAGGCGTGGGTGGACAGCTCGCCCAGTCTCGCTGCGCTTGCTCTCTCTCTCTCTCTCTCTCTCTCTCACTCTCTCCGCTCCCAGGTTTGAGTCCCAGGGCTGCTCGTCAAGCCTTGACAGACCAGATCAGCATTCTATTCTGCTCAGATGGCTCCAGCCAAAGGCTGAATCTCCCACCCATCGAATAGTTTCACAGCTCAGGTCGGCAACAGAACAGGTCGTTTTTTTTTAATAATCAAAACTGAGAAGTCCCTGGGAACGCTCGGCAGGTCAGACAGCATCTATGGAGAGAGGAAAGGGGTCATCGTTTCAGGTCGATGACCCTTTCGCTAGCTCTTTCTGACAAATGGTCACCGACCTGAAAAGTTAACTGACTTTCCTCTCTCCATAGATGCTGCCTGACCTGCTGAGTGTTCCCGGCCACTTAATAATAATAATAATAATCCTTGCATTTGATATAGCGCTTTTCATGTCGGGAGGACGTCCCAAAGCGCTTCACAGAACACACTGTAAAGTGAATTGACTGTATATTTGTGGGCGAACGCGGCAGCCAATTGCGCACAGCAATGTCCCACAAACAGTCGTAGATTGAAAATGACCAATTTATTATTGTTTTTGGTTTTGGGGATTATTATTAGGCTCTGTGTGGAGTAAGGAAACTTGCCCAAGTTTCACCCTCTGCCTGGAATTGAACTCAGGTCTCTCACTTGCAAAGCGAGTGCTCTAACCACTGAGCTACAGGACTCCGAAGCTACACTTCTGTTTTTGTTTCAGATTTTCCAGCAACTGGAGTTTTTAACCTTTAGTAATTATTTTTATAATCCTTGCATTTGATACAGCGCCTTGATACACGTCGTTGAGACGTCTCAAAGCCCGTCGCAGAACATATCGTACAAGTGGATTGACTGTGTGTTTTGTGGGGCGAAACCTTTTACGAAAGCAGCTCCAAGAATCCGACAATCTCACAGCGTGGAAGAAGACCAAAGCAATAGCACAGTCACTATACTGCACAGTAAATCCAGTGCAGCTCTGGAGCATCAGCCTGGACTGTGAACTCAAAGTCCCCAAACCCATGGGGGCTTGAACCCTTGGCTTCCGAACCTGCAGAAGAAAGACTGAGCCAAGCTGACACACACTGGACTGTGCCATTCAGTGATGCTACAGTGGAAGGTGGACTGAGCGGACACTCATACACACCAGAGAGACGATAAAGAAGGCAAAGTGTTGACTTACTTCATTGTAGGGTCTGCTGGCCGGGAACAGGGTCCGGAAAGTGGATCCGAATCCAATGATATTGAAGAGACAGGAAGGCACAAGACTCTTCAAGACCACAATCATTGCGTCCTTCTCGGCCGCCAAAAAAAAAGGAAATTGCAAGTCGTCAGTGAGGGTTAGGGACACAATACAAGAAATCTTTATAAGGCACCATTTTGGGTCAAAAGCTTGAGACTTGAGAGTGTAGTGTAGTGACTGTGCATCTTGTAGGCAGCCAATTGGAGCGCAAATTCCCGCAAACTGTGGTGAAGTGAACGATCAATTTTTACCAGGACAAACTGGGCTTCTGAATAATTATAATAATCCTTGCATTTGATATAGCGTCTTATCACGCCTTCAAGACGCCTCAAAGCGCTTCACAGGATATACAACAACAAAATTACAATTGTAAAGGGCCTTTCATGTCGTGAGGACGTGCCAAGGCGCTATACTGTAAATATATTGTACATTCTTTACATTATACTGTAAAGTGGAGTGACTGTGTATTTTGGGGCCGACCGCGCCAGCCAATTGGAACGAGCGTGTATCTCGTAGGCGAACCACAATGTTTATTCTGGGCAAACATACATCATAGGGACCGACATCAGAAACAGAGTGAGTGTCGGCGCTGTGTATTTTCCCATTATTGTGAATAATTAATTGGCGCTGAAGGATTCCATAATTGAAAACGCCATCAATTTGCCCCTTCACAGAACTCCAGAGCTTTGCCACGACATTCTCCATACTAATGCCTTCGCACAATTCCAAACCTGCGCCTGACCCGCCTGGTCTCCAGAGGAGACGTCAAACCCAGGTCCCATCTGTCTGATCTTCAGAAATGTACAGCAATAAACCTTTCCCCTCACCCCCAACCTCTCGTTAACCAGCCTGAAATGCGATCATTTTTGTTTAAATTCCGTCTTAATTCCTTCAGAAATAATAATAATAATAATAGTTAATAAGTCGGTCACTTCAACTCACGACTGTGCGCAATTGGCTGCCGCGTTTCGCCCACAAAATGTACGGTCAATTCACTTGACAGTGTATCCTGTGAAGCGCTTTGAGGCGTCTCGAAGACGTGATAAGGTGCTGGATCAAATGCAAGGATCATTATTATTATTATTATTATCTGGGTTGGGTGTGCTCGGCTGACTGCTCATCAGCCGTTACCTTGACGCGGCCGATGTTGACTCCGCTCATGCTCCCGCTCCGATCGATCAGGAAGATGAACTCGCCCTGAGTCCGCCTCAGGTCGGGCTGAACGGCCTTCAGGTTGGGGCAGAAGTTTAGCATGACCACTGGGTTGTGAGGGATGTCCTTGTTCAGCCGCTTTCTGATGATCTCTGTCTGTCAACAACAACAGCACATCGCATTTACACAGTGCTTTTCAGGAGGACGTCCCCAGTGGTTTAGATCCGAGCTGGTGGGGGTGGGGGGGAGGGGGGGGGGGTTGGTGGGATCAGGGGCGGAGGAGGGCAGGGAGCGTAGGCGTAGGAGAGTGTAGGAGATTTTGGTGTGAATTTTGAATCCTTCGGGATGTTGTACCACCAAAGGTTCGGGATACGAGTCTGTCAGAGTCTCTCGTTCCCAGCACTATGTTCTATTTATGTTTCCATAACACATTGTAAGTAATTGCTGGATCCCCGCTGACTGCTCATCTCCCATTGCTTTCATGAAGCTTTTGATTGGAAAATAATGACCCATTTTCACCGTGCAATTAGTGCTCGATGGCTGAGCATTCAGCCTTTGGTCAACACCCTTCCAGTTCTTTCCCTGCTCCCACCACCACCCCCTACCCACCCCACTTCGGTCACTCAATCCACAACTGTTTGTGGGGACGCTGCTGTGGGCAATTGGCTGGCGCGTTTTGCCCACAAAATATACAGTCAATTGACTTTATGGTATACTCTGTGAAGCGCTGGAGACATATCAAAGACGTGATGAGGCACTGTATCAAATCAGAAGTCACCTTTTTCTCCGAGCTGGGATCCTTTTTGCTTCCTTTGATGAAATCGCTCTTTCCTTTCAAATGCTGCTCGTATTCATCTGGTGACATATCGCCTCCTTCCATTAGGATGTGCGGCAAGTGTGGCTCTAAGGAAGACATGACGCAAAACCCTTCAGAGACGTTTCATGGTGTGCCCCCACATTGGGAGTTCGAGCTCATAGCGTTGTCGCTTACGAGGCACTGAACCGAGCTTCCGTCCGTCTGTCCCTCTGTTCGGGTTAAAGATCCATTGGAAACGACAACAGTCAACTTGGATTCCTGGCCAACAATCCCCTGAATAAAATTGGTCGTGGCTGCTTGTAGGATGTTGTGCAAATTGGTCGCTGCATTCAATTACGAATTCACGATTAAACTGCGACATTGCAGACGTCATATCAGAGGCAAGGATTACTTTTTTGTTACGTTGCAATGAGGAGAGATCCAAGCGCAGACCCAGTCATCCTTGCGTCCGACATTAAACCTACAATGTCAAAAAACGATTGGCATCTAATTGCTGCAAAGTGTAGTGACTGTGCGTTTTCTGAGCCAGCACAGCAGCCAATCTGCACCTTGTAAAGTCTCACAACCAAAACAAAACTGGGGGGATTGTTGACCAGGTCAGAGGGAAATTCTCTTCTCTTTTCCAATAGTGCCACAGGGGTCTTTAACACCTGAACGGACACATAAAAAGCCTCGGCTAAATCTTTGCTCCCCCTCCAAAAAAAAACGACGTCGACTCACTCAATGCAGTACTGAACCATGTGACTCCACTATCAAGCCATTTACATCTGTGATCTCACTGCAGCATAGCGGCTAAAGCATCAGTAAAGATCGGTAACCAGAATTTGGCACCAAACACAGCATCGCTCTAGTCTCTTATCTCACTGCACCTCTGTATGGCCACCGGCCCATTTTACGCTCGTCAATCAGGATTATTCCGCAGCTTGTAGATTTTCCCAACCTCTTGCCAAAGACTTTTCAGCAAATTATCATAAATTCAGTTAACCTTGAGCCAACTTTGTAAAACACGCACACACAAACACACACACACACACACCTACCATTGTATAAACCAAACGTTAGCTGATTTCCAGTCTTAGCACACCTCTAAGGTTTTTGCCACGATGGTTCGCCCTGCAGAAACTTTCCAAAGAAATAAAATGGACACCACCTTTGGATGCGGAACGTGGGACTGATCAACTGGTTGGAAAATATCTCCGAGGGGTGGGATGGGTGGGGGGGGGGGTGGGGTGGTGGTTCCTGATCTCAGAGAATGGTGTAGCCCTTTGCATATTAATCGGATAATGGCCAAGATGCAAAGTTGTGTTCAGATGCCTCCCGCACGCGGATAAATTGTGTATTTGGTCGAGCGCCTCAAATCCAAGATGGCAGCATTGGCGCGAACCATTGGTTTGAAGAGGTGGGGGCGCTGAGATCAGTTTTGTTGACTGAAATCCCACCATTTCTGTCGTGAAAGAAAACCGATTTCCCTCCTCCCCTTGTGGCACGTTCTCACACGGGCACCGTGGCTGCCGAAAAAGGCGACATCGAAACGGGGAGCCGGAGACAAAGGAAGGAGAGGGTTTCCCTACCGCTGGGGTGGATGACGATCTCCACGGGTCTGTCGCACGTATGTTTCTTGGCTAATGTGACGACGACGCTGGAGGCACAGAACGCTTTGGGGTCCGCGTCGACCCGGATCGAGTGGGTTGGGCTTTCCACACCTGCAGAGCAATGGTGAACAGGCAGCAGTCAAGGCAACAGGCCAACGGGTTTGCTTTAAAACAATGGACATCGTTGACGTGACAAGACTGAGGTGGATGGTAAACGGGTAGTAAACTTAATAAACAGGCTCCCGAGGGAGACAGACGGTGGAAGCAGAAAATGTTGTTTGTTTCAAGAACAAATGAGATAGATTTCTGCTAGAAAATAATATCTGGGGGATAGAGTGTATAGTTTGGGACATAACATGTCAAACGACTGCCGGGATGGTGGAAAGGCGAACTAGATGGACCTTGGTCTTCTTTCACCAGCAAATTCTTATGGTCTTATGATGGATGTTATTAAAGGGTATTAAAGGATTCAGGGCAAAGATGGCTAATTGATCTTATACACAGAGAGTTGTTACACTCTGGATTGCACTGTCTGAAAGGGTGGTGGAAGCAGATTCGACAGTAGCCTTCTAAAGGGAATTGGACGTGTACTCGAAAAGGAAAAGTGGGACTAGTTAGTAGCTCTTTCAAAGAGCTGGCACAGGCACGATGGGCCGAATGGCCTCCTTCTGTGCTGCAAGATTCCATGATATCATTTAGGACATCTGCATTGAATTCCACGCAATTTAGCGAGGCAGCCGATGTCAGGGGTCACTTGTCCAGCCCTGAGCTCTCGTCGCTTCGATGCTTATGTACATATGTCAGTAGCTTCTGACCTGCTAGTAAGCAGGGCCCTCGGATCTCGAGCTGGAAACTGAACTCGTACACGCTGGGGTTGGTGACTTCCTCATCCAAGCATCTTGCCAAGCACAAGCGGTTGCCGCTCTGCGCTGGGTTGCGAGGGCTGCAATCACACCGGTGTCTGTCTTTGCTGCGGAGAAATGCATTTGCGCTGAACGTGTAGCCATTGTTTACGCCCGTCACACCGCTCTGCAGACCGTCGGTAATCCTTTCTTACGCTGGGATTCTGTAATACTCTCCGTAATACCCTCGCTTTCTCTTCCCCGCACCCATACGCTCCCCACAACGCCCCTCCACCACCTCCGCACCCCCCTCCCCACCCCACACCAGCCCACTGCGTTATTATGTGTGTATGGGGCAGTCAGCAACTCCAGAAAGGGAATAAGCAGTACCCACCGTACCCCCGATGCTGCATTGGAGCGTCAGTTTAGACTTGAAGTGATTCCGAATCCCAACACGGGGCTTGAACCCACATTCTTCTGACCCAGAGGCAGGAGTGCTACCACTGTGCCAGGCTGAGCATTGCAATGCTCAATGGAGGCAGAGAGAGGGGGGTAATTGGAGTAATTACTACAGCAGGGGACAAGAGTATGTTCTTAAAATGTTTAGCTAAGACACGTTGCCTACTGTTTTGTAGGCAACATGTCTTGGCTATGTGACAGCTACGGTACAGCTAAGACGTGCTGAGTCCTTGGCTCACCTCCTGAACTGGTTTTCAGCTGAACTTTGCACGTCAGGATCAGGTTGAAGCACCCTGGGGGTGTAGACTGAGGACAGCAAGACCCTGACTGCCCCACTGGGGAGGGTCTGGAGTTCGGACGAGGTGCTGAGCACCACAGAAACAATCTCAAGGGCTGGAATCACGCCGAGGCTTACCACGAACATTGTCCTCTCCAGGTCCTCGTCCAGCGTTAGATGCCCTGTTGCCAAAGGCCAAAAAGAGCCGGTAAGCGCTCCGAGAGGCCGTCCCGGCGTGAAGGCAGCTGTACACATACAAGTTGCGGGTTGTTCTTGTTGTGAGGTTTCGCGACGTAAAGGGAAGTTTTTATTTGATTAATTTCGCAAATGATAGAGGGTTTAAATTATTAAATGGCGCAGAACCAGAACGAATGGTTTAACCAAAAGGCCATACAGCTCTAATACGTTTAGCCTTCATTAAATGTTTGCAAATTATGTTTCAATCAAGTTAAGGCGAACGCAGCAGCACAAACTGATTTTGATAATAATTTTATTTGGAGGTTGTTGACTCGGACACCAGGAGAAACTCCCAGCTCTTTTTGAGTAGTGCCACGGGATCTTTAATGTTGACCTAAACTGGCAGATGCGATCTGTTTAACCTCTCATCCGAAGGACAGGACCTCCAAAATGCAACACCCCCCTCAGCGCTACACTGGAGTGCATTTCAGACAATGCGATTCCAAGTCCCTACTTGGGGCTTGAAGCCACAACCTTCTGACTCAGAGGCGAGAATGCAAACCAGGATCATTAATGTCATAAGAGCGGTGACTGTTCTGCAGGCAAACACAGAAGCCATTTGCTCCAGCAGGGTCCCACATGCAGGTGGCTGGACTGATCAACCGGATTGTCATTCAGGATATGAGTTGAATAGAAATATAAGTTGAGATGAACTTCCACCTAATACTTTACCACTGCCGTGCTGGAACACTCCATTTGAAACACCGCAGCAGTCGAAATAATAGTCATCAAGTTTGGCTTTGTCCTTGATTTGCACTGTTATAATACGTCCAGAAACGAAAGCTTCAAATCCAACCACAGCTGTGTGTTCGCCCAAAGGGTAAATGAAAAGCCCTGGAATTAAACAGAATTGCCCCACATAGTTTGCAACGCTTCTGAAACTCTTCCAACACGTGGAGGAAGAAAGAGCAAGAGAGAGAAAAAAGAAAATTAAAACGAAATTGCACTTTATAGCACGTCTCAAAACGTTCCTCGGATAATTACTGTGAAATATAATGATTGTTTTGGGTAGGCAAATGACATTTTGCACATAGCAATGGCTCACAATCAGTCATTTTAAACCGAGTAGTAAACTTATGAAACAGGCTCCCTAGGGAGACAGTGGAAGCAGAAAATGTCAATTCTTTCAACAACAAACCAGATAGATTTCTGCTGGAAAATAAACAGGGAACTTTTGCGTCAGCAAAATAAATTCCATTCTTAGTTAAACCCCCCCCCCCCCCCCAAAATATATTTTATTCTGTCTTAAAACCGAGATAAGGCGTTCATTATGTTCGCGGAGGTACACACCTTCAATTGGATGATCCTCTGGGTTGGCGTATGTTAAGGAGGCTGATATGCCCAGTGTGTAGCCCATCATACATGATGTAACTTCGGATGAAGTTAAAGGCAAGTTGCTGCCGTTGTTTTGGTTGATAAGTCCTGGCATTGTGTGGTTTGTTCTTGGGGTATTTTTTTTTTTGGAGTGGGGTGGGAGGATTCCGAAAACTTACAGAGAAGTCAAGAGGCACTCATTTGAAGACATCTTGAATCGGCTGGAGGGAAGGACAACCAGTTTCTGTGTGAGTGCGCGTAAAAGGGAAAATTATCCGTATCATCCCACAGTATTAATCCACCCACACACTCTGCAAGTCCATCTCCAACGCAACACAGCCAGCCAGTGCATTTGTGAATGTATTTACCATATCTAACGTGGACTGAGATTCAAGCCAGCAGGTAAGTGGCCTTGATAGCAATTTCATGGTTTATTGTGCACTGTTTACACACAAGATTCCTAAAACAGAGATTCTTTTGGCATTCCTGAAGCGAATGCCCACCAGGCTCACTTCCGAAGGAGAGTCTACATTTTCGCATAACTCGGATTTCTTAGCAGGGAATCCCGTGAAGAAATAGTGCAAACTAGACCCAAACATTGACTCACAATCTAACGGCTGCCAAGCACTCAACCCCATTTTTAATTTGGGCAAAAACAGGTGGAAATTTGCGGCACATCCTAACACTAACACTCTCTTTGTGAACAATTATGCAAAGATCTCAGATTCCACCCCAATTGTACATTTCTTGACATTTAACTGAATAAACACTATACCATTCCTTTGTCCTACCCTGATTTATAATAACAATAATCCTTGCATTTGATGCAGCGCCTTATCACATCTTCAAGACGTCTCAAAGCGCTTCACAGAATATATCGTAAAGCGGAGTGACTGTGCATTTTGTGGCTATATCCCCAAACTAAACGGTGAATCCGGTTATTAAAAACGAAATTCGGGTGAAAAAAGATGGGTATTTATCAGTGAAAATCAGAAAGAAAAACTAATTTGACGGGTCTCGATTACATCCGAGCTGAAATTCCCAAAGCGTTAGTAACAAAATAAATATTCCAGTCGATCGATGATGTCTCGACGACGGCTCAATTCAGGTTATTATCTCTCTGCGCGTGATGTGCATTCAAGCGGGGAAGACAGACTTCAGGAGCGAGAGGAAATTAAAACGTCTGGCAGAAAAGGACACAGTCACAAAGTGAGGATCGTTGCATTAGATTATCTGTGACATTTCCAGTCTTGATTTCCAGTTTGTTTGCAGTGCATTGATAGGGCACAGACCGTTCTGAGCTCCTGATACCTTCCCAGCCAGCCCGCCTGGCCTCCGTACCACTCTCTACATTAGGCGTGTGCCTCCACACACGCCTGCCTCATTAGCTTGCGACCTGCGCTCTTTAGGGTAACAGAGTGTTGACGCTTGGTAATGAAGGGATACAGTGGGCGATGCAGTCTCATTAGCAACGGTTGCATTTTGTACTTCAACGATCATGAACCTTATTAACGCCACTACCTTCAGGATGAAGACAGATTTGAAACCCCTTTGATTTGGGGTTGGTCGCTTGTCTGGTACATTCCTGAATCACAGTAATACTGTAGCGTATTACCATCTCTTCAACAGCGAACTCTGATTCCGAGGCGAGTGCTCTAACTACTGAGCTACAGAACTCCTACAATTGAATACAGTCAATTCACGTTACAGTATTTCTGTGAAGCTCCTTGAGATGTCTCAACAAGGTGATAACACGCTATATAAAATGCAAGGATTATTATTATTGTTATTATTAATCGGATTCCAAATGAAGACTGAAGTTAGGAAATCAGGCTGAGCCTGAGTGGAACTGGGAGCCTTTTTCCTCCTTTACACCTACTCCAATTGATGTTGCTTTATGCACGAGACATGAATCCAATGGTGGTGTGAGGTTAGCGTTCCAGGCGGCCTGTCCGACTGTTAAAGAAAAAAAAATGTGTAATTGTGGATTATAATCTTTGCCTTGAGGCTAGTGAGGTTTCTTTCAGTCTGCTGCATTATTAAGTAACTCATACAATTCTTAATTAAAGTAGCCTAATTTCAGGGGGCTGGGGACCCTTTGATGTCATCTTCCTTATATACACCCTCCATACCATCAAAACATCTCAAAGTGCTTTACGGAGTATTTTCACTCAGGTCTAATGTATTTTGGAGGCGAACGCAGCAGCCAATCTGTCCACAGTAAAGTAAATGAAGCTATTTTATCCGGGTGGATCATCGTCCAGGATGCCGGGAGCGAAAAATTCCCCTCTACTTTTTGAACAGTTGCCACGGCATCTTTATCTTCCACCTGATCGGGCACGGGGGGGGGGGGAGGAATTCGGTTTGAGGTCTAATCCAAACGATGGCGCCTCTGACAACCAAGTGCTCTCTCCCAGCACAGCACTAAAGCGTCACTGTGAGCTGTGTTGGCACGCATCACCTCGGCTAACTGAAGCCGTTCCTACGCATTCCCTCTATTGGTGCTAACGTCACAAGAGATGTTGAGGTAAAGAAGACACTTCACCCGTCGGATCTGATCCTTCTGGATTACCCACCCCACCATTCATTCATTAACCATCAAGCTCTTTCTTAAATGATTTCCCTTGTTCTAGCCTCAGCCACCCTTCCTGGTGAGACGGACTCTATATACGTGCAGGTTGTTGTTGTTGTTGTTGAACCTTCTGTGTAAATAAATATGTCCTGGTGTCTGACCTAAAATTGTCGCCCCCACACGTATCAACAATCATGCTCTTCACTTTCTGTCTTGGTGGAGCTGAATGTATTGTGCTGGGTTTATTTTCTCGATCTCATTCTGCACCGTGTAGACCTCTATAAGGGTTCCTCCAAGATGGCTCCCTCCTAAGTTTGAAGAACCCTAGTTTATCTCTAAACATTTCCTCCGAGCTCATCCCTCTGTCACTGGGGATCGATCGTCCTTGTTGCTTTGCTCTCCGCTGTGATTTGAGCGGAGAAACTTTGAGAAGTGCACTTTTAGATGCCAGCTGGGAAGGGCATAAGGACAGCCTGGGAATGACTCACTCACCCGCTAGTTTCTCTTCACTGACTCAGAGAAAGCATCTCACTTCAGCTTCACACTATGCACACCGGTCGTGCTGGTGACATTTCCTGTCCCCCTATTGCTTAGGACCCCCGTGTTTCCCTGCAGACAGAACTACAGTACATGTTATATATACGTGTACACACACAGTATGTATCGCCCATAAAACACACAGTCACTACAGTTTACAGTACATTCTGTGAAGCGCTTTGAGATGTCTCAAAGACGTGATAAGACGCTATATCAAACACAAGGATTATTAATATTATTACAGTAAACGCAACCTTCACAACAACAACAAACTTGCATTTATACAGCTTCAGTCATGCAGGGTAGTGCCTCGGAGCACTTGTCACAACCACTCATAAGTCATCATGCTGTCAATTTCTCAGCCACATTTATTTACGTATTTATTTATACATATGCCTAACTCACCACACCTGATAACTCGTCACTGAGCCCTTTTCCCTTGGAGTGACGGGTTATAAGTTTATTAAATTTAGACAAGGTTTACACATGGCGCCTAATAGGTCTGGATTTACACACAAGTTACACATATGGGGACTCAAAAAATAATCTCCCCACTGATAATGAGCAAAAATAAAAGGGATGGCAATAAAATATGGAAGGGTGAAAATAACTTCGTCGGGGAAGGAAGGAAGCAAAAAGGAAGAATTAAAAACATGAAAGAGGAAATCGGAACACGTGTGGGGGCAATCTATTGGCTGATATCAAAGATATGCTGATGATAATAATAATAATAATCCTTGCATGTGATTTAGTTGCCTGATCACGTCTTCGAGACGTTTCAAAGCTCTTCACGTAAAATGAATTGTCCGTACAAATTCTGTGGGCGAAAACGCGGCAGCCAATTGCGCTCAGGAGAGTCCATCAGACAGTCGTGGGTTGAGTGAGCGAATTATTATTTTGTTTGTTTTAAATAATAATGTGACAACAACAACGACGACAACTTGCATTTTACACAGCGTCCCAGAGCGCTCGACAGTGGGGGGTGGAGTGGGGGGGGGGGTGAGGGGGGAGTGGGGAGGGGGTAACCGGAGGCACGGTCGAATAGGAAGGTCCTCAGGCGTGACCTGAAGCGGGCAAGGCAATGCTCCGTGATGCTGGATGGAGAGACGAGCACCCACTTGCGCCCCTCGCGCTGGGTAGGTTCCCGGAGCAGGGTCATTGCAATCCTTTTGCCCCACCGCCGCTTTATGTAGCAGTAAATCACGGCTCAAGTTCTCAAGTCACTTTCTCGGAAATCGGATCATTCAAGAAATATGCGGCAATATATGGTCGCTAAGCAACAGGTCGACCCACCACAACATATCTTTGAGAGTTTCACCCGTGTAATCCAATCTCAGTTGATTTACCGGTGGGGGGAGTGGGGGGTGGGGGGGGTGGGGGGGGAGATTAACTTTCTGACCCCTCACCCCCACCCCAACACTAAACCAACCACAAAATCCGCATCAACATCTGTGACAGCACCAGCATTGATCTCACACACACACACACACACAGAGAGAGAGAGCGCGAGAGACAGCCACACATCTCAAATCCCTTTCAAATGTAAATTGATTATATTTCATAGGGGAAAAGCATGTGAAACAAGTGAATTTCTCCCCTTCATCCAACCTCCCGCTACCCCCCACAAGGCTAAACGGAATACAAAATTGCCAAAAGCAATATATAAAAAAAGATAAGTCTTTTGGTGCATTAGCATTCAATTTCCCTGTCAAAATTTCCCCCAAGCAACTGGATTGATTGTACAGAGAGAGAGAGAGAGTTGAGTTATTACTGAACTGCAAAATGTATTTGGCTAATAGCTTAAATCATCTGCATTTCAGATGTCTAACACACAGAGATCCAGACAGCTAAAGGGTCCTATAATGTCCACTCAACCCCCTCCTTATTAAAAACTTTTTGTTTTAGTTTATCCGATCAACAATTTTGTAAGGAAATTAACTTCTTGCTAAAGCTATAATTCACCCCCGCCACCCTCCAAGCCCGTTTTAGCACTAATTATCAAATGCAAGGGTTATTATTATGTATTATTAATTTGGTTTGGATTAAAGGGGGTGCAATTGAAATTGATTTCATCCTTTTTAAAAGGCTAGAGTGAGTTGATGAGCAGTTAACAGTCAAATTAATGTTAAATCCCCCCCCCCCATACATATACACACACACGTTCACACACACGCACTCTCCCCCCCAACCCCCCACTCAGGACAGGTTTATTGCTCAAGAGATGCGGTTCAATAGAAATTGATTGGCTTACCTGGTCTGCTGCAAATCGTGTGTCAGTTTCACTGCTTCTGCTTGTTATCTTACCCCCTCCACAAAAATAAAAGCCTGAATACTTGTAGATCTGTGATGTAGCTTTTGCCTTACCTTATCAGCACCCCCAGAAGTGGGGAGGTGGGAAAGAGGGAGAAAGAGAGAGGGAAAAGGGGTGTGGGGTGGGGGGTGGGGGATCTGTCTTCATCAGTTAACTCGCAAAACACATCACCGGCAGCAACATGTGTACTTTCTGTAATCTGTCAGCTCTGCCTCTCCCCCTGTATCAATCACTGATCACCGTTGATCGATAGACTTTCCGAAGGAAACACAGGTTGCAGATGCAATACTTGGGTTTGAGAGACTTAGCGTTTACGTGACAGAGTTGAGACTGCATTATATGGGTACCAACATGAGCCAGATGCTAGTTTGTCAGCTTGTCACCATGGCAATTCATGCCTGGTTTAATGTTTTGCTCAAATAAGAGGATTGTAAAAGTCTTTAACTGGGCAGTTAAAGGCCCTCCCTCCCTCCTTCCACTGTGCCATCGATTCCACACCCGCTGTTATAGTCACCGGGATTTCAGCCTTCCTGTTATTTCACATTAATTTCTTCATGATTGAAAAACAACAATAGTAATCCTTGCGTGTATCCCCATTTTAGTCACTGATCACAATACGATTGTACAATAGATTATAATACAATTCGCATTCGCACAGCGCCGTTCACTTCGGGAAGAAGTCTCAAAGCGCTTGTGTAAGATTATATTTGTGATGCTTACTATTTTTAAGGTTTTTAATTAGTCAAATTGGCTTGACCTCGGCTGAGGTCAGGTTCTGATAACTCTCCCTCGTTCGGTGTTTGGGCAGATGTCACCCTCCCATCTGTGACTTAAGTAATCGTTGTCCTTGAGCACAGATATGAAAACAAGGGCTCAGAGGGAGAAGCGCACTCCTGGACATCTGCTTATCTCAATACTAAGAAACAGGGAGATGGCAGAATTCTCCCCAAAAACTGACCATCTCTCTTTCTCCTTATCGGTTATTTTCCCGTGTGAAAAGAACCTGCTCAAGATCGCTAGCAGCCGGCAAAAGGTGGGGGCTATCTCTGTGACAAGGGGAGGTGGAGTTGGAAACACATAAACGGAAGATGTAACTTTGGAATAGTTGGAAGCTGTCGTAGAAGGTCGGCCCACTTCCCAGTGGAATCAATATCAACTTTACTGTATCTTTACAGGTCTCGGTTTTAAGAATAAGTTAGTCTATTTGTATTACTTAATAAACCTTGGATTATTACACCACCTTACTGGTCGTCTTCATCTGAATGTCTTACACTGATAGTGCTGGCTGGACACCCGAGCCTGGGATGCTTTAATAACAATGAGAATAATCCTTGCATTTGATATAGCGCCTTATCGCGTCGTTGACAGAATATACCGTAAAGTGAATTGACTGGATGGATTTCCAAAGGGGAGGAGAAAGATTGTAAGCCTCTCTTACTTGACTCCAGTGTTTGGCTGAAGACTATCTGTTTTTCTTACCAAATCTAAAAATGCCTCTCTCTCTCTCTCTCTTTCTCTCTCTCGCGCACTAGAGAGAGGAACCCCGTTCCCTCTGCCCCACTGTTACCTTTATCTTCTATAATTGATTGGATTCACCAGTGATCCTGGCAATTAACCTGCATTTAAAATCGATTCCCTTAGAATCACAGCAGACAAACCGTCTACTCAGTCTGTGCTGGTGCTTTCTCTCGTTTTGCCCCGCCACCCACCCTAATCACCTTACTCTGATTCCTCTCTTTGCCTCCCCCTCCCTCCTCCGCACTTTTTTTCCATATGTTTCATTTNAAAAAAATAATTCTTCCAATTTCTCTTTTGAAACATCCAGTGGATTCTCCTTAGACTATTTGTTTTGAATGCAATTTCGCAACATGGTCTACCGGGGAGTCGTTCATTTGGCGACCGATAATAAAATGTAATACATTTGTGAAATGTAGGTGGATGTAAATGACCCTTAATTTTGGGTGTCTCAATTGATCAAGATATTGTTAATATCTCCTACCATAAATAATTCAAAGGCTCCCACCCAATTCCTAAGAACTAAGCGACTATGATTCAGGATTGCGTTTCTTCTGAGAAATTCTGTTTCATTCCGTTTAAAATGATCACATTTTCACGAGTTTACTCACTGCCATCTGCCGTGACACTCTTTAACATATGTGACCTTTATATTTCAGGAAGACGAAGTCTTCAACCTCTTCGTTTGACTCCGGATCCTGACGAGATCTCCCTTCTTCATCTCGTACAGTTTACCTTACAAAATGCACAGTCACTGCACGTTACACTATATCCTACAGAAGGAGGCCATTCGGCTGTGCCGCTCTTTGAAAGAGCTATCCAATCAGTCCCACTCCCCCGCTCTTTCATCATAGCACTGCCAATTTTTCCTTGTTAAGTACCTATCCGATTCTCTTTTGAAAGTTGTTATTGAATCTGTTTTGCACCATGGGATTGGCCGATGGGATTAAATGGATCGCATCTCAGGCGGTATCTAACCTGCATGAGAGGCGCTGGATAGTAAGTTATTTGTTGCTCCTTCAAAGGGCAGCAAAGACTCTTCTTCTGTGCAGTAAATGTCTGTGGTTCTACAGGTGCAAGTTGTTGTTGCTGCTGCTGATGCTGCGGCAGTTAGCAGTGATTATCATCAGGACGAGGGGAACAATTAATAATAATAATAATCCTTGCATTTTGATACAGCGCTTTTCACCTCTTTGAGACGTCTCAAAGCGCTTCGCAGGTTATGCCGTTAAGTGTGGTGACTGTATGTTTGTGGGCGAAACGCGGCAGCCAATTGCGCCCGGCGGCGGGCGGCGGCGTCCCTCAACGTGAACGGTCGTGGTATTGGAAGTGACCAAGTCGGTACTTTATTTATTTATTTGATTTCTCGAGGGACTATTATCAGGCGTGAGCGAGCGCGCGGAGTGCGGGGGGGGGGGTGGGGGGGGGTGGGGGGGGACGTTTGCCCGAGGTCTCGCCCTTGACCTGACCGGCCGGGAATCGAACCGGCGAGGGGCTGCAACTGACCGGCGAGCTACGGCGGTGGGGGGGGGAGGTGGTGGTGGGGAACGTCTCAAAGCGCTTCGCCGAATGTACCGCCGAGCGTAGTGACTGTGCGTTTTGTTTTGCAAGCGGGGTTCACAGAGGCCGCGGACTGTATAGCAACAACAACAACAACAACAACGATAACAAGATTCCATTTATTGAGCGCCTTTCACGTCGGGAGGACGTCCCAGGCGCTGAAAGGGGCGTATAAAAAGGGGGGGGGACGAGGGGCTGCAAAGTATTTTTCTTCCTATCAGTGAGTGAGTTGGGGGGTGAAGGAGGAGTTGTGTGTGGGGTGGGGGGGGGGGGGAACCAAAATACAAGACCGGAACCAAAATCCGGCGCCTGGTGTTTGCGGGTCGGAGCCCATTGGGGAGCGGGACCGCGCCTGCGCACTCGCCGCCGCCGCCCTGAAGCCCGGGAGACGATGGCGACCGACTCGTGGGCTCTGGCTGTGGATCTGCAGGAGTCGTCGGCGGCCGAGTCGGTAAAGTAAAGTGACCGGCGTTGGGGGGGGGACCCGGAGAGACGGCCTCTCCCCTCTCCCCTCCTCTCGGGGCGCGGGGGGGAGTGGTTGTCCCCCCACCCACCGGTGGCGGCGGCGGCGGCGGCAGGGCCCGGCTTCCTCTGGGCCCCGCATCCTGGGCTTCCCCCCCCCCCTCCTCACGAGGCCTCTCTCTTTATTTTTTTAAATTAATTTTTAATATAACTTAAATCAGTCTATAAATGTATATATATAAATCTGTGACTGTTGTCGGTGTTGTTGTTGTTGTGGTTTGGATCCCGTCTGTCCGGTGGATTCGAAATGGACGTAAATATAACGACCACAATTTCGGCCACTGCGCCCCCCCCCCCCCCCCCGACTGCCTCCCCCCCCCACTCCCCTCCCAACCTCTGGAACTCCACCCCCCCCCCCCAGTCACTCCGCCTCAAGACCCTCCTCTTTGACTGTGCCATTGGCCATCCCTCCCCCCCCCCCCCTCCTCTCCCTTCTCCCCCGCCCCCCACCCCCCCCAGCTCGGGTCTGAAATGCTGTCACTGTCCAGCGCCTCGGGACGTCCTCCCCGACGTGAAAGGCGCTGTACAAGTATAATCTTCTTGTTGTTGTAAGAGGGTGAACGAAGGCGGAGTCGGACGTGTCTGTGTGTGTCTGGGGTGGGGGAGGGGGGGATTATGGAAGAATATTTAATCCCCCCGTTTACCTGCCCGTTTCTCCACACCTCAACAACAACAAGATTCCATTTATAAAGCGCCTTTCACGTCAGGAGGACGTCCCAAGGCGCTGCACAGTTGGGTCATGACCTCCTAATGTTCCTTTTGCTTTCCCGAGCGTCTCAGCTCTTAACGTACCCCGATCCGTTCGGCCGATACGGGCTTCAGACGCCGGAGAACTGGGTGAGGAAACGTTCCGCTCCCGTCACCTGCTGCGCTCGGGAAATCGCGATGCGGTGGATTGTGGCTTCGGACCTGTGGTGAAACGAGCTGCTGCTCCCCCAGAATCCACCCGTCACGGTTTCGACTCTTTACCACCAACCAAAGGTGACTCTTTGCTTTCTGTCTCGCAGCTGAGCTCCCTTTCCCTGAAGGAGGATCGAAATGGTGAAGCTAAAGAAGCTGCGGTCCCTTCGGAGACCCCACAAGCGCCAGGTCAGTCACCTCTCCCGGGGGATTCCGGGTTTGACTTTTAGCCCATTTGTGTAAGTTGTCCCATTCTGCAGATAAGTTCAGTTTCTAACCCGGTTGTTAGTTGACTGGCGGATCGCTTTTCCGGTGGTAATAAAACCAAAAAAAAATACTAATAATAATTTGGTCACTCAATCCACTACTGTTTGTGGGGACGCTGCTGTGAGCAATTGGCTGCCGCATTTCACCCACAAGATATGCGGTGAATTCACTTTACAGTGGATACGCTGTGAAGCGCTTTGAGACGTCTCGAAGACGGGATAAGGCGCGGTATCAAATGCAAGGATTATTATTATTGTTCTGTGGATAGCGTTGTGAACCGTGCTTATCAGAAACCTTAACAAGAACCCGCAGACAGAATGGTGACCGTGTTAACAGTGTTATCATTCAGGCCTATTGTGGATTGTTCGCTTGTAAAATTAGGGGATTTTCAATTCTAGTTTGCTATATAAAAAAAATTTACCAGTGAAGTCTGGCTCACGCTGCTTTTTTTTAAAAAAAAGTTTACATGAAACCATTTTGACTCAGAATTGCAATTTTTTTATTTTAGCACCTGTCAAATTGGATAAAACCGATAAACCAGAGAAGCTCGATAAACCTGACAAAGGTGGGGATGCTGTGGACAAGCAAGAAGATGACGATAAAGGTAACTATCATTCTGGGAATTGGGGCAGTACCCTGTGAAGATACTTTCCTTTGCCAAGGGGAAACACTTGAACCATGTTAGCATCTTACTAGCATACCACTTTTTCAGGCTATTTTGAATCTGTGTTTCTCATGTATTTATTGCTATAAGAAGGAAAGAAGAACTAGTTTTTATCTGGTGCCTTGTATGTCAAAACATCTCACAGGTATTGCAGTAATTACTGCCTGATAGTGATTTCTTTTGCAAGTAAATGCAGCAGCTGTTTTGTCCACACCAAAGTCTCACCAACAGCCATGAAGTAAATGACTGATTTTTGTCTGCCAGACACAAGCAGAGACTCGCTTCTTTTTGAATAGTCCAATGGGATCTTTAATGTCCACCTGTATAGGCAAGTGGGACCTTGGTTTAAAGTCTCACCCAATGGACCTTAGACAATGCAGAAAATGGTTTGTGAGCAGTTACTGTCTCAGTTGTGCTGCTGCGTTTGCCTTTTAATCAATCAATCTGATTCTGTGAAGCGCTGTATACATGTGAAGTTAGCTCTAGATTTCCTAAACTTGCAAAGAGTTAAGTTAAAAGTAACGAATAAATAAATTTTAGCTTTAGCCGATGTTCCCTGGGGATAACTTCTTTCTTGTTGCTGTTGTTGTAGAGGATAAAGCTGCCCAGTCGCTGTTGAATAAGTTGATCCGTAATAACCTGGTTCAGTCAACACATCAGGTTGAAGTGCTCCAGAGAGACCCGAATTCCCCTCTATACTCTGTGAAGTCTTTTGAGGAACTGCATTTGTAAGTTTCCGTGTCGCGTTGTGGTTGGAAATTTCTTTCTATGCTGTCGACTCCGGATAAACACAGTCAAGCCTGTTATTGTAACGTGCTAAGCCTCGCCATTCACATTTAGTGTTTAGATTTCACAGTCGACGTTTAACCTTTAAATGTGTCGTTATCAGTCATCGCGTCTGAATTTGTTCCAGTTCATGTTTCCAACGTTGGCCACCTCAGGTAATGGTTGCCAAAGCAAGCTGTTTGTTCAGTTCACAGTAACACCTTGTAAAATGGCATTTCACTTCATAGTTCAGAGTCAGATTAAACTGCAAAATTACAGATGAAAGGAAATACAGTATTTTCATTATTTTCAATCTCTCACAAATCACTATGTGTGTGTGTGTATAAAAGCTATGCTCCTGATATCAGGAAGGGCAACAGATTAAAGCCACATTGGCCGGGTGTGCTGAATATTCAATTCTGATACGCACCAGGACATTTCAGAAACGCTGACCTAAGACAAATGCCGGTTGTGCGTACTTAGTGCTGATAGTTGGCCGGCTGACAACAGCCTATTGTTGCAGGTTTAAAAGTTAAGGGCATTCTCTCTTAAATTGCCACCATTAGAAATCATTTGAAACTTGCAATCGTTTGAAAATATGGGAAACAAGATGATTCACAATTAGCCTGGGTGCCCCCTGGAATAAGGACGGAGTAAAATCGAGTAAATCATTTGGGACAGTTGAGTTGATTCCTGGCCAAAGCGATGGATAACCTGAGCTGATTTATTTCCAATTCGCAGGAAGCCAGAACTTCTGCAAGGAGTGTACGGAATGGGATTCAACAGACCCTCGAAGATCCAGGAGACCGCTTTGCCCATGATGTTGGCAGAACCGTAAGTTTAGTAGAGTCATTTGTTGTACAGAGTGTTGCGTGGCTATACTTTAGGCAAACGATATGACGCCTCGCGCTCTCTGTTGGTTTTGCAGCCCGCAGAATCTGATCGCTCAGTCACAGTCGGGGACCGGCAAGACAGCTGCCTTCGTCCTAGCCATGCTCAGCCGGGTGGATCCCTCGCAAAAGCACCCGCAGGTAAAGGACCACAGCTCTGCAACTCCGTCTGCTTGTGGGGAGGGGTGAGGGCGTAAGAGAGTTCCTTTCAGCTTTTGGAAGTGGCTTTTGTTCTTAAAAAAAGAAAAATCTAAACCTGAGCCTAACTTCTCGTGGGTCCTCTTTGAGAACAAGTAGCTTGGGTCCGTCCACAAGGGAAAGGATTTGATAAAGACCACTTAAACATTCTGGTTTCAGATTGGCAGGGAGAATATGGAGATAGAAGAGAAACCAGGGTTCCCTTATAATATAATCCTTGCATTTGATACAGTGCTTTTCACATCTTCTAAACGTCTCGAAGCGCTTCACAGAATATACGGTAAAGTGAATTGACTGTATATTTGTGGGCAAAACCTGGCAGCCAATTGCGCACAGCAGCGTCCCACAAACAGTCTTGATTGAAGTGACCAAATTATTTCTTTTGAGAGCCTTGGGGGATCGCAGTGACTCGCTGCACTGCATTTAAAATATTAAGAAACATTAGTCGTTTTTTTCCCTTCCTTCCTCCATCGCCTTAACCGTTAAAACGCTAACCTTTCACCTGGTTGTCTGTGACAAGAAGCTCTAACCAAGTGGTAATGTTGCACAAATTTCCCTGGCTCTCGCTTCACTGGATTAAAATTGTGACCATTTCTTTCCAGTGTTTATGCCTCTCTCCGACTTATGAGCTGGCTCTGCAGACAGGGCAGGTCATTGAGCTGATGGGGAAGCAGAGTCCCGATATCAAACTGGCGTACGCAGTACGGGGCAACAGACGTGAGTAGCGGCCGCGGCAGACGTGGAACTGGGTTTATAACGCATCTCGGCATAGCACTGGTCTGTAACACACAGGAAATGGCTTTACTCACAACCTGGCAGTGCTGACTGGCTCCCTTTTTTTTTTTTGCTTGCTTGCCTGCCCCATAATAACACTGGGGTCTTAAGTTTACGGACGCATTACGTTACTATTGGGTCAGCCTACATGAGGCTTTGCTGTGCGCAAATTGGTCGCTTACAAATAACGCTCACTGCACTCGATAGCGATCCTCCGGGAAGCGCTCTGGGATGGTTCAAAAATCGACGGGCGTCTCGGAACGGGAGGGTTATTATTAAGTGCCGAAAGCTGCAGCGGTGAAGCCGGGAGTGTCGTGCGCTTCAGAGGGGAAGTTGAGGACTGACTGCATTGGTTTGGATCTGGGCCGGGAAACACCGAGCCGGTGCTGCCTCCTGCTGGAGCGACGTCGAATGATTGGAAAATAAGTAGTTGTTCAAACCCAAGCCGGTGGAATGGGCGTGCACTGCTTCTTTTGTTTAATGTGCCGCCCCTGTTTATGTCCATTATTCTATTAAGTTGTTGCACCCTGTTCTTCAGCAATCCCTCTGTCCCCCACCCCCATCTCGCTTTATCCCAGCAAAAGTCTTGCGTGCTTCACACAGTGAGTTAATGCACTTTCACTCGCTCTGCCTTGTGCAGTTTAGTACAATGCATAATCCTTCTAATAATCCTTGCATTTGATTTAGCGCCTTATCACCCCCTCGAAGTCTCACTCGGTTTTTTGCTGTTCGTTTCGCCAACGTTTCTGATGGGGGGGCGGGGTGGGGGGGGGGGCCACAAAAAAAAAACCACGTTTCTCTTCACAGTCGAGAAGGGTCAGCGGATTTCAGAGCAGATTGTTATCGGCACTCCCGGCACGGTCATGGACTGGTGCACAAAGTTGCGCTTCATCGACACCAAGAACATCAAAGTGTTTGTCCTGGACGAGGCTGATGTCATGATTGCAACCCAAGGTCACCAAGACCAGAGCATTAGAATTCAAAGGTGAGTTGGCCATTGAGGGGGAGAGTGTACACAATACTCTCGATGTCTTTTGGTTGCCCTCTGACACTAGTCTGCTTGATCGGAGATCCCAACCTCACCGTTTGGACCCTCGCTCGCTGTCTCTTCCCTCATCCAGGCCGCTGCAGCTCCCACACTGTCTCCCCAGCTGAGCAAGCTCTCTTCCCAATTTTTTTAAAAAAATGTTTTGTATAAAAACTGTAAGCAGCTGTGGTGTATAGTGTCTCGCATTAAAATGCTCCACACCGAGAATTTTGAGGTCAATCGCAATGTGTACTATTGTGCTTCCCCCCACCCCCCCGGCTCAAGTATTTATTCAGTCGCTTCAATATGTCTTCTGCTTCAGCAGCTACTAGTGGTGAGGTGTGCCATAGTTCTATGCGTGTGTGAAAGAAAATAATTCTAGCTCCTACGTTAAACCTCAATTTAGGTCATATTTCTGGACAGTTTTCCGTGGGTACTAAAGTGTAAGTGGGTTAATGGTTTGGAATAACGTCCAGTGGTTACAGATGTGTCGGGAAAGCTTTCATTCAATCTCGACCGAGTTTATAACACCTTGGGATGTCCTCCCGACGTGAAAGTCGCTATACAAATGTAATTTGTTGCTGAGTTTGATCCCAGGTCTGTGTGTTGACTGACCTGCTGATTTCTGAGAACTTGTTGACGAAACATTTTTTTTAAAAAAGAAAAAGAATTTTGCTCCATGGGTAGCCGTTTTACAGTTTGTTTCCATTTGCAGATCGCTACCGCCTGGCTGCCAGATGCTGCTGTTCTCGGCTACGTTCGAAGAGTCCGTGTGGAAATTTGCCCAGAAGGTTGTCCCCGAACACAACCTTATTAAGCTGAAGCGCGAGGAGGAGACATTGGACACCATTAAGCAGTATTATGTCCTGTGTAACAACAAGGAGGAGAAATACCAGGCTCTTTGCAACATCTATGGAGCCATTACCATTGCACAGGCCATGATCTTCTGTCACGTGAGTAATCTACTGTCTGACCAATCTTTACTGAATCTGACGTGTAGTTGCAGTCTTACTGGGAGGAGAGCTTGAGTTGCGGTCGTTCCGTGGAAGAGCTGGCTGAAGGCAGTGAATACTTATGCACCACACAGAGATTCGGATTGTTAAATTAGTTTACCTCCTGACCATATGCAACAGTCGGTTTTGGAACATGTCCCAAGAGTTGACAGCTTAACCTCTACAGCGAAGCTGACCCGCAAATAATTTTATGCGATGGGAGTTTGTGGGAACAGGAAAAGACCACTTTATCCCACAAAGTCCACTTCACAGGACAATTCCATGGCACTTCCCCTCCTCTAGCCCCGCTTCCTTGCTTTCTTCTCCTACATTTCTCCCAAGGACCTACCTTTCTCGAATCTCTTGTATATCCCCAATTATCTTCATGGTGTTTTTTTAATTGCCGTTCGTTCCCCTTGCAGACCCGTAAGACTGCTGGTTGGTTGGCAGCGGAACTGTCCAAGGAGGGACACCAGGTGGCGCTTCTCAGTGGCGAGATGATGGTTGAACAGCGAGCTGCTGTGATCCAGCGCTTCCGAGAGGGCAAGGAGAAAGTGCTGGTGACAACCAATGTCTGTGCGAGAGGTGGGTTAAGTAACGTCGCTTGTGCAGAACCTGAGATTTTCTCTTGTTTTTTTTAAAAAAACATGTAATCTAGACAGAATGGTATTAAGTGTTAGACCTACTGTCGTTTGGTTTTCAACGGCGCTCTAAAGATACTGGATTAATTTTCAAATGATCTTTCAAATGATATTTCCACTTGTTTGCAATCCATATCAATCAGAGAACCTCAATCAGAGATATTCATTTTTAACTCATTCTCCTCCGGATCTTTAGATTGTTTAAGATGATCTCGATCGATTTATGGCCCCGTTACCAGTCGCCACTGAGTGCTTTCACGCCACACGTACCTTCCGACGACCGCCCAGGGCTTGAGGTTGCTGGCTTTGTATAGCTAAAAATGCATGGATCCTCCAGAGCCTGGGTTAACCTAACATGGTCCTCACCCGGTGTAAGCAATTTCTCTTATGGTGAAGAGAAATTCTGGTGCTGGAAATTCATTTTTTTTTAATGACTTGACTAAGGGATAAACAGATTCTGTTGCGAAGCTTGATGTGATATTTTTCGCTTTCGTTTCAAACCAGGTATTGACGTTGAGCAAGTGTCCGTGGTCATCAACTTTGACCTTCCCGTGGATAAAGACGGCAACCCAGACTGTGAGACGTATCTGCACCGGATTGGTCGGACGGGCCGTTTTGGCAAGCGGGGACTGGCTATTAACATGGTGGAAAGCAAACACAGCATGAACATCCTCAACCGAATCCAGGACCACTTCAGTAATGCCATTTAGTCTTCAAAGCCGCCTGACGCGTTGACTTGTTGCAAAATGCGGGAAAATAAGCTGCAATTTGTCATAAGAAATCTGCCACGAAATGAACTGGGCTTTGTAGTGTGGGGAGGAAGGTCCCATGTTAAGTCTCCAATCTAATGTACGTGATGAGCATTTACTTTTCAGTGGAGTGAGCTAATGTTTTCTGTTTCCTTTCAGACAAGAAAGTAGAAAAGCTCGATACAGATGACCTTGACGAGATTGAGAAGATCACCAATTGAGAACCCGAACCAGTTTGAAACCTTTTTCAACCCTGTGAGATACACTCTGTCTGCTGCAAATTGGACTTTTGGACTGGGATTCCAATTGGTTTATTCTGCAGCCAATCTTTTGAGAATAGACTGACTGAATCAAATTATATTCGGTTTACCTCATTTAAAACTTTGCAGTTGGGCTGTAACATTTTGTATTTTTTTCCTCCAAGGAGTGAATAATAAAATTAAAACAAAGTCAGGAAAATGTTTACACTTGAAAACATTCAAACATATTTTTAAAAAGTTTGTCTTAGTTATTAGCCTTAACGAGAAGCCAGAAGTACTGATTGAATATTCAGGTTTGAATTTTAATTGCCAAAAGACTAGGGGTAAATGATGCAGGGTCTTTTTTTTTAAGTATTAAAAAAATCTGAGCAGGAAAGATTTCGGGGTTAATAGTGTCAACTAGGGACTTAGAAGATTCAAATCTGCTGTGAGATGGAATGGTTACTGAAAGCTGTTAGCGCAAGGTTAAAAACAATAACAAAAAAATCACACTTGTTTAGTTGTATGAATCAGAGTACTATTTGCCTGTTGTGGTACTTCTGTCACTCACCTAGAGCTAGTTGTGTGGAGAATAAGCTAAGCTTACTTTGGCGTATCACGTATGCATGATTTTATTCCTAGCTAGTTTACGTCTGGACATAAGGAAGTTCATTTTTATCTGGTTGCTCTGGCCGCCCTAGCCTTTTGAGGTGCAGTTCAGTAATAGGTACCTTCCGGCCTATCGTTTTCAGCATTGTTAAAAAGGAGACTGACTGAAATGCTGCACGACAAGCAAAATATCCCACCTTGAAACAATCCTGTTCTGTATCCAAGTCACTTTAAGGATGGAGCAGTAGATTAAAAAAAAAGTTAGAGTATCCCAAGCAGTTTAACCACAACCAAGTAGTATTGCCAGTCAGCTAAGAAACTTAAAACCTCAGTGTGCTGTCAGCTGACGATCTAACACACGTGAAAACACATCAGCATGCTTAAGAGTCTCCAAACCAAAACCTTACACTATCTGTGTTGTTCACCCGTTTATTTAAAGCACCTTTGTTTAACAAGTAGTTGACATTCCTTTGAAATGCGTTGATATGCTCAGCAGTGTTAAGCCATTCCACAAAACTGAATGTATTCCTTTAAAATGTGGATTGTGAGAAAAATAATGTTTTTGTTTCTTACCTGAAACCCGGCAACCAGATGGAATAATTTTCTTGTGAAAGTGATTTTTTTTTTTCTTTTCTATCCTTTCTGTTCCTTTCCCCCGTCTGCCCATTCAATGGCTGCTTCAGGTATCTACTTGCAGTGTGTCGACTTTGCCACAGAAAACATTTTCTTTTGAATTCGAGGAACAAGTATTTTACAATTCTGCTTCAAAAAAAGGAATTCCTAAATTGGCAAAAAGAAAATGAGGAAGGATATTTGTGGCTTACTTGTCAGACACGTTCGAGGTAGACTGGAAGCCATTTGACGATTCAAACCATTATTGACCTGTTACAACAATTTTAAAAAAGCGATGTCTCTTAGTGGAAAATGCATGTTCTTAAACAAAATATTGGCTGTGGAAATTCTGTTCAAAGCAAAACAAAAAAAGACAGGAACAAAGCAAACTTTTACCAAGTAAAAAAAATTGAAGCCAATTTGAGGCTGTTCCTTGAAATTTTAGGAACATTTCACAAAAAATGCCCTGTACTCAGATATTTGTATAAAAAAAAACTTTACCTTGAAAACGACTTGTGCAGCTTCAATGACTGTGTATTGAATTTTGTACTATGGGGTGTATGCATTTGTACGCAGTGCATTTTTGGTTGTGAATTGGACTGTGATCTGAACTATTTAAGCTGAGGAAATGAATGAGTGCTTCAAGTGTCACGAATAAATTGATTTGAAATGCTTAATTTTACAAAGTATACAAGGCCTGTTTGCAGCTGTTACTATAGAGGTAACTTTACACTGCCATTGCTATGGGTTTACTTATTCTCATGTACTTCTAAATAGAATAAAGAGAATACCTCAAATGTTCTGTAACTTTTTCAAAAAATGTTATGAATTTGTGGCACGTTACCTGCTTTAACTTCGTAAACTGTTCGTAAAATTACTTTTAACTCATCCTTTGCTCACCAAGATAGATAGGTCTTGCAGTAGTTTATAAGGTTTTCTGTGAATTTGTGTAAGTTAACACAATTCGGAATAAGATACAGAGAAATTGATTTGTTCAGCTTTGGTCATTTTTTTTGTGTGGCATAAGTTTCTCCCTCAAACCCCTATCACAGGCAGGGAGAAAGTTTTCTTAAGTTTTTATATTTGTTGATATCAGTTTAAATTTGTTTCACATATTCATAATTTTCCTTTAATCTTTTTGTAAAGCAAGAGCAAGGTTTTGGGGAAGATCTTCTCAGCTGTTGTGTTGAGCTATAGCTGTGAGAAGTCCCAATGTATGAAAGAATCTTGTCTATGAGAGGTTGCTGTAATCACTGAGAATGCTGTAGATTTCAGGAGTGTGAGAAACTGGCTCTCATAAGCCTCGAGTGTAACAATAATCCCTATATTTGATTAAATGCCTCTCGTGACAGGAGGACGCCTTAAAGCGCTTCAAAGGATACTACTGTAAAGTGCAGTGACTGTCCCATAATGGAGTGAATGACCATTATATGAGTAAATGAGGAGAGCTTGGGTTTCAGATTTGCTGAAGAACATCAATCGACCTTTATGACAGGAGGGACAGTCCTGTTGGAAACTGCCAGCTGTGTCTTCTCCAAGTTTCTAGAGAGAGAGAGAAAAAAAAGGAGAGAAACTCGCTTTCAGGCCTCCACCTTTTTTCCATGAAGATTGGAAAAAAATATTAAACAAAGACCCAAATCTGAAATTGTCATTTAATTTATTGTGTTCTTATACAGTGAATTTTAAAAGGTAAGACAAAAACATTAACTTGAGTGTTATAATGGGAATTATTGAAACCACAAATTGCGTTACTATTATACCATAGGTGATTAGACCTGCACCTTTATGTAACTGGTGCATTTATTTAAAGTGCACTTTTGAATCCTCCAATATTTTCTATACATAAAAAACAAATTATTGGAATAGATCTAACACCAATCAGCTGCATCCCCAAATTCCCAGCGGGTTTATTAAACACAGTGCAAGCATTAAGCAAATGCATAAATGGAGCAGGATTAAACATAAAACAAGCAATCTGAAAATAAGGCAATTGTAGCAGATGCAGATGAAATAAGTTAGCAAGATGAGGAAAAGGTTAGAGCAATGATGCAAATTTAGATGATGAAAGTAAGAACCAACACAGGTTTATCGACGTACATACTGGCAAAGTGGGAGAAGCAATAATTCTGTTTTGGCTCGAGGTGCTTTAATATTTTTTTAAAAATAATTAAACCCAAAAGGCTATATTTCAGAAAACAAAATCTAACAAAGCCTTAACATTGTTTGCGTGTAAAACACACCATGTGGGATACGACTTAGTTTCACTTTGCCAATAGTTGCTCAGTATTTTATCTGCGGTGCCCGAAACGATCAGAGCTGGAGATGTTTTGATTTCAGTACAACTCTTAATTCTTACTGTACTCACCTGGTGAGTAACAAGATTTAAAATAAAGTTTCAAAGGCACAAGGAAACAGCAAAATTCAAATTTAACATTAAATTTGCAGTGCAGAGTGAGTTCCTCCATGTGAAGAAAACATACATACATACTTTAAAATCAGCGAGCTAGTGAGCTTTTGTTTTCTACAATGCTTCACACCAGCCAGGTTGGTAACTTCCTCATCCTAGCTACTGGCTATTCATGAACCTTGCCTTAAAACACCTGCTTTATAATTCTTACACCAGCATTCAGTTGAATACTTGGGGCCAAATGCTGGAGAGAAAGTATCGTTTTTACTAGATCACAGACTATTTTCCGGACCTGACCATTTGGAACTGATTCTCTCAGTAAAGAAATATACTCAATCCACACAAGAAAAGTGTATGAAAACAATAAAGACTGCAGTGCAGCAAAACAAAGGCACTCTGCATCATTAATATAGGTGATTATGAGGCTCCTCTACCGTGCCGATAATTATAAATAAAGGAGAAAGCAATGGAGATTAAGAACACATCATTTCTTGAATTTCACCCTATATTAAAAATCCCCTGTATCAACTGGAGTTATAAACAGAGCTTTATTTTTAACATTCGCTTGTATTAATTCAACCGTTATGTACTCTACACCCACGGTACCTGTTATTAGAGGCATCTTGTCCAGAAGTTCTTAAAAGGAATACAAAACTCAAATGCTGCCCTCTCACTGTGTTGTAGCTGCATTACATACATTCTCTTTATAACAAGAACAACAAAGGCCATTCAGTTCATCTAACTTGCCTCAGCATTTGGGTCTGCATCTTTGCTGAATAATGAAAACTAGAATTTGGGAAAAAGAATAGACTTCATTCGCTTGAAGGATTAATCCCCATCTTCTTGTAAAATGCAAAGAACTGATTTATTCTGAATGCCACACTCCTCCAGGGTCTTTGATAAGTCCAGAAAACTTCTTCTAGGTATATCCATCGTTTCAACAATACATTTTCTGTACTTGGTGTTGTTCCTGCATTCGGCCACTGACAGTACTGTTTGCAGCGTGTCTGAAGGCCTGAAGCAGCGTTCAAACCTCTGGCCCGTGGGAGATTTCACTGCGAGGTGTAGTTTTGGCTCCGATCCTAAGGGTTCATCAGGTAGAGAGGGTGCCTCGCACTGGGACAGCTGTGTTTTGCTGGTCGCAGCATTAGATTTGCAGAGTGGCTGTTTCTTTTCCCTGTAGAGGGATATTGTTTCTTCCCGATCTGGGTGCAGGTTAAGTTTACTGGTTTGTTGTAAAATACTTTTTACTTCGGGGTGCCTGGGTTCCCTCCTGCCAATGGATGGGAGCACCCTGTACCTATTTAGAGATGAAGAGGGCCGAGATGGAACCTGATGGAAAAGTTCTGGGACCTCCTCTTTAGTTGCTCGACTTGTTCGGACTGGTGGGTACGATGCTGGGAGAAGCGGGGGTGCAGGAGGACTGCTGCTCAGCTCACAGAAAGGAGGTGACACTGGGTTGGAATACAAGCACGCTTCCGTCTTTTGAGCATAGCTTGAGGTGGGACGACTGCGACCTTTGGCAGATTTTGGCCTCGGGAGGCTCATGGTACCCCTGCTTGGCTCTATTATGGAATGTACAGGGGAATCAAAGGAAGAAATGCTTTTTGAGCCTGAGGGTGGCCTGTTTGTAGGTTGTGCTGTCGCCATTTCATTCTCTCAGGATCTGAAATAAAGAAAAGATGGTTCACGAAATGTACTTTATACTCTGCGGTGCATGTTAATAGTCAGACAACCTCCCCAAAATAAATAGGAAGAAAGATCTCTACTGTACATTACTTAGCAGGAGCTCCATGAACTTGCTTATTTGAAGATAAATAGTACTGTATTTTTTTATAAATTCCTTCCCTCTGTTTTTGAATAGAGTCACAGGATCTTTAACGTCCAGCTGAACAGGCAGACAGGGCCTCGGTTTAACATATGATCTAAAGGACATCCCCTCTGACAATGCAACACCTGCCAGTGTCACCTTAGATTTGTGATTCCAAGACCCGAGGCGGGACTTGAACCCACAACCTTCTGACTCAGAGACAAGAGCACTACATACTTGGTTTACACACTTGATTTAAATTGTACATTTTTCTCACGTCCTTATTTACAGGAGTATACAATGACACATTGATTCTGTTCGCAGATGAACAAAATGTAGTGAACAGTATTCTGCATGGAGCGAATCACTTTTGCTTTCCCGCTTCCAATGTGTGGCTATAATTTTGAATTGTGCAGACAAGAACAATGTTTAAGCACATCATAGCACTGCTGAACGTAATGTGACTTTGCAATTGCATATTTGGAAGGCATTATTGGAGATTTCCCCACCTTAATCCTTTACTACCTCCAACGGTAGAACATTAGAATTTATCGTTCTATTGATGTGCCATTAAGGGCATTAGTGCAATTTAGACCTGATCAATATAAACTATTGGCCAGCAGTCAAACCAGTGAGCTGAACTGCTGGTGCGGCTGACCTTTAAGACAGCTCTGATCTGCCGATAGTTACAGCATGTCCATGCATGCCCTGGCAGGAGGAATTCTAGCAGACAACAGAGAGAAGAATGGATAATAATCACACTAAACTATACACTAAACCAACAATGCAAACAACCTAAACTAAATATGCTTTAGTGACAGGGTAATAATAACTTTTTCTTTTTAAGTACTTCCGACCTTTAACTTGCTGTTATCAGTAAAAAGTGTATAAGTTCCAAATCTATTTTTTATATACATAACAAGCGTTTTGGGAGGGAGCATAAATGACAGAGTGCTGTTATCAAAGAGCTTGGACATTTTGGCAAGGTAACAATACGCTTAAAGACATGTGTATAATTAAGCATTTGTTATGCCACCCAATTGCATGCCAATACGTGAGGCCAAATTAAGTCACTCACAGCGCCTGGTAATCTGGAAAATAGAATAACCTTCATACTTGCCCCCGAGTCCCAAAGTTTTCTGGAAATGACAATAGAATATTTAAATAGCAATCCATCATAATCTGAAAGCAGGTATTCTGGAGCGTGTACTGGTGCTTTATAAAGATGCATGTCACACACTGTAGACAAATGTGCAGATATCAGGTATTCTATTGCAGTCAATCCATCTGATTAATTTCCGGGGTGACATTTTCTTGGTGGTACCTAGAAATCACTCTGTAATCTGTGGATTGTCTCTAATACTGCTTATCCATTCAACTAGTTCTTTTTCCGATTGCTTTGTTGAACTTTTTACTGTGAAATCAATTGACAGAAAGAATTTTCCCCTGAAAGGAAAACAACACAAGGGAGAACTGAAAAGAACGACAGGGCAATTGGGCAATGCACAACTCTCTTATGCTCTCATCCAGTTCAACATCTTACTTCAATTGGGAGATTACCACGAGTGATGGTCCCATGAGCTAACGATAACGGCTGCTTTTCTTCGTTTTGTTCCAAGCACACAATTCATCAATAGTTCCCAGTAATTTATGACATAATTCACCACAGAACCTTCTGCATGATAGCGTATCTGTATAAACACGCATTACATTTATATCATTTATAATACTAACCGTTACAAGTTGGTGCAAAGCTGGGCTATTTATTCACTCCGTCCCATTGTTCCAAATGGCAAACAGAACAGTCTGAACTGCGAATGCGCTTATTTTACATTCTTCTGTCACCAATGATCGATGACATTTTGCTTAATGTTGCACTACATCACAATAATGCATCAAAGTGACTTTTTTTTTAATATTCCATTTGCTAATTAAGAACCTTTTCACTGCCTCCAGATAAGGGCCACGGAGATCTCCAAGGTAGCTAATGACCAAAAGATATTCTTACATATAAATCAAGCCACGAAAGCACTAACAAGCACTAACTTTAGATCTTACATCCGTTGACGTGAGAAAAGGTAGATAAGCAGAATCTCCTCTTCGCTCAAATTATTTAATTCCACCCCCCCCCCACCCCACTCCAATTCAACCCAGATAATATTCTTTTGGTCACCCAGGTGTCTGACACATGCAAACCCATCACCGTGCTCAAAAGCATAATTGAAACCGAACACGAGTTCCTTGCAAAACTACCGCCACATGGTACTTTTCGTCCACAAATCTACAGTCAACTCACTCTCAGTGTGTCCCGCGAAGCGCTTTGAGATGTCTCGAAGACGCGATGAGGCGTCGTATCAAATGAGAGGCTCATTGCTATTATCATTACTATTACATGGAAATTCCCGCGCATTGGAATGGATAAGTGCGCAAATAGGACCAACCCCCCCCCCCCACCCACTTGCCCACCGCCACCCCCCCCCCCGACCCGGCTCGGAGTCGTGCTCCGCCACTGACGCTAACCTGGGTGAGGGGCGCCATATAAATGCAAATTGCTGTCGCCGTCGTCATCGTTGAAGGGGATCGCTCCGGAGGAGGCCAGAATGGGTACGATGAGATGGGATGAGATGGGATGAGATGGGATGAGATGAGATGAGATGAAATGGGATGAGATGGGATGAAATGGGATGAGATGGGATGAAATGGGATGGGATGAATTGGGATGGGATAAGATGAAATGGGATGGAATGAAATGGGATGGGAGGATATGGGATGAAATGGGATGAAATGGGATGAAATGGGATGAAATGGGATGGGAGGAAATGGGATGAGATGGGATGAAATGGGATGAGATGAGCCGGACGGCTGCCTTCTGTACCCTTAAGCCTCTCCGGCCCTTATGGCTGTGTGGTCAGCCCGAGGCCTGGAGGAGGCGCTGGTGATCACAAACTCCTCCATTGGGACCATGGCTTGAAGCGGGCACTGATGGGTCACACACACACACACCGCAACCTAACGTGCTGCCGGCGCGGGCACCGCCCACTCCCCGCTCCTTTCCGAGCTGCCATTGGTCGGACCGAACGCCAATCATTCAGTCCGACCAATCAAATCAACCAACCAGGAGCCGTCTCCCCATCGCCCCGCCCCTTGCCTCGCGCCCAGCAAGTTAGATGGGCTGTGCATGCGCATGCGCCTGGGTCCCTAACGGCCCTGCCGCGGCCCTGTCGTCGTTGTTGTTTGCGGACTCACCGATTCCAACGGCGATATTCTCCGGGAGAGCGGGCGGACGGGCGGAGCGAAGGTGTGAGGAACCCGGTCCGTTTAAGCCCTTAAATAACCACCCTCCTCCTCGTCCTCGACTCTCGCCTCCGACACCTGCGCAATACACCGCCGGCGCCGTCCCCGCCGACCTTCTTTTCAACAGTCTCGTCGTTCCCACGGCAACGTACGCACGGCGCGTACGCACGCAGGGCACGCACGCCAGGGCACGCTCGCCAGGGCACGCCAGGCAAGGCGCCGCCCACCTCACGTGACCCAACCTCTCACGTGACCCGTCACTTGGGCAGTGTGTGTGAGGGAGGGGGGGGGGAGAGAGCTGCGCATGCGCGGCTCAGATTTGTCCCCCCATGTAAAAAGTTTGTGAAGAGTTTTTTTGGTTTTTTTTTCTATATATGATGTTATATTCTATTAAATGTCACATCTCCCAGACACGCCCTGTCACCCGCTTCCCCCCCCCCAGCACCACCCACCCCACCCCACTCCATATTTGTGGCGTCCTGTAGCTCAGTGGTTAGAGCACTCGCTTTGCAAGTGAGAGACCTGAGTTCAATTCCAGACGGGGCCAAACCTTGGGCAAGTTTCCTTACTCCACACAGAGCCCTAATAATAATCCCTCCAAAACCACAAACAATAATAAATTGGTCAGTTTCAATCTACGACTGTTTGTGGGACATTGCTGTGCGCAATTGGCTGCCGCGTTCGCCCACAAATATACAGTCAATTCACTTGACAGTGTGTTCTGTGAAGCGCTTTGGGACGTCCTCCCGACGTGAAAAGCGCTATATCAAATGCAAGGATTATTATTATTATTATTATTGTGGGCGAACGCGGCAGCCGATTTGCGGCAATTTCACGGCCGCGGAGTTTGTGACCCGATTTGTTTTTTACACGCGCGCGGAAGTATTGTTTACACAACAAACAAAAAAAAAAAACCCACACAAACATCACTTTTGTACTTCAGAACGGGTCCATTTTATTATTATTATTATTATTATTAAAGAATATTTGTATGTCATTCTCTAAATACAAACAATATGATGTCCCTCCGGTTACATGGATCACTGATTGAAATAAAAAATATATACTTTGTTTCTTCATGACTGATATATTACTTGCTACTTGCTAAATTGCATATACATTATGTACAAAGGCTGTATATGTAAACTGTATAGATTATACCTGTATAATCTACACTTTCAGTCCTTAGTTATAATACATTATGAATGGACAATGTGATGCAGTCGATTATAGCAAATCAAATTGCGTGCTTTAAAAGAAACACCTTTCACAGCGAACTGTGCCTTTATATGCGTTTTTCTATGAATTGGCAATAAATAACGTGTTATTTCACAAAGAGCAAATGATCGGATGATTATTCTGTCAGAAAGAGCGCAAATTGTGCAGCAACGATTGCCAACAGTCGGGTGAATCTTTCTGGAAATTCAAATCATTACTTATTCCTTGTTAAGAAATCTGTTAAGAAATACCGCAAACTGAAACTGGTTGTGCAGGTTGATCCTGGGTGCACTTGGGATGAAATAATACCAACCTGGCTCTACATTTCTGAATGATAGAAGTATGAAATCAACAACGCTGTGTTCATCCATTATACACAGCTCAGTTTTTCTATCTCATTCATCCCGGCAGTAAATTAATCGATCAGTTGCCTTCAAAGGGTAGCCTGCACCTTCCCAACTTATTCCTATCACATATATGAGGACTTGCATTGTCCCGACCAGTCCTACTGGAAACATACCAGCGACTGGCATTAACATCTCCCATTCATAAAGATCCCCCGGCTTACTCCCCACCACCTTATGGCTGGGGAGCGATTACACGGGGTTAATGATCGTGGTACCAAATGTGTCTGAATTGAATTGAGTGGTCGCTAAGCTACAACCAAACGTGGAAGAAATTGCACTCCGCCGCACGTCTAACAGTATTGCACACGTCACCGAGGAGATGGGGGTCAATAGAGCAAACGAGAGTTTACATTCATGAGCTGAACACACAAGTCTACATAAGTGTGAACAGTGTAAAGCAGCCAGCATCTGGGTTTTGCACTAAAAATCTCGCCACAGTGGCAAAGTGGGAGACTGGAAAGGAGAAGTGTCGGGAATCCAGGATCCAATACAATACTAAATTACATTTGTACAGTGCCTTTCACGTCGGGAGGATGTCCCAAGGCCCTGGGACGTTGAGGCAGAACCTAGCTTCTTGTTGACCTACTTAGAAATTGGGAAGGAAGTGGGGTGGGGTAGGGGACAACGACTAAAACCACGTCAACTGTCGATTAGAGTCGACGACAATTAAGAGTCAGAGGTGGAAACCACCTCTCGGTCACGAGGCTCTCTGGCCATGATTCACTCAGCGGCCGCTCACTCTCCCTTCCTCAGAGCCTCTGGTGTTTGTCACCTGAACTGTTCCTGACGCTGGGGCAGAAGAGGCCCGCTGTGCAGGGGAACACCGCCTCGCCGTGCCGTACGAGTGGCTGAAGTGGAAACTTCTTCTGTTGAGTTTCTCTGGATTGTTGGACGCCATGTGGGAGAACTCCCTGAAGATGTCCAGGTACGTCTCGTCGCCTGCAACGGACAACACAGTCACACGTTATGGCGAAGGAATCTCCACCGCTATCTCCCTCCCTTCCTCCCTCTCTTCCTCCTATCTAAGCCCCAAAGGTCACACTCTTCGGTTCAGCTCTGGGGGCTGAAAAAAAACACCACTTTTACTAACGGAACCGGAAATTATACAATACGTTTCTGAGTTAGTTTCGAAACGCCATATTTTAATATCTTTGTTAAGGGCAAACTCTGTCACAATGGTTGCGCCCATGGATATCAAAGACGGACACTGCTGTTGTTGATCGCAAATTCATTCATTTCAACCGACCACTATATGGGGGGTGGTGGGGGGGGGGGTTGAGTAGGGAGCTGAGGAAATAGACGACACTAGGAAGTACCTTTTTACCCAGAGGGTTATTAACAGCTGGAACAGATTGCCAAGAAAGGATGGGAGAGGTCATCTATAAAGTGGCTTGATGCTGTGATTGGAGGACAGTAGGGTGGACATTCTGTTGGGATGAGATCAGAAGGGGCTGACGGGCTTTCTTCATCCAAAGTTATCCTGTGATCTTATGAATTAATAATAATAATACTTGCATTTGATATAACGCCTTATTGCACCCCTGTTGTGTTTGCTGCCACCTATGGGATGCAATATGTGTTGTCCGTGAGAGTAATAATATAATACTCCTCGCATTTGATTGATTATCACGTCGTTGAGACGTCTCAAAGCGCTTCACAGCGTATACTGTAAAGCGAATTGACTTGTGCATTTTGGGCGAAACAAGGCAGCCAATTGCGCGCAGCTGTGTCCCACAAACAGTCGTGGATTGAGTGGCCAAATTATTACCAGTGTATTAACAGGTCTGAGATTGCTAACGCTCCACAACTGAGGACTCACGAGGTACAACAGAGAGAGAGTGCGAGAGAGAGAGAAATAGAACCAGAGGAAAAGTTACTCTGCTCTGCTAATCTACACCTCCGGAAAGCTGACTCAAGGAATAACCATAACGTGTAGATGCGTAGGAAGAAGCAGTGATGGGTTATGCACAACTGGTGCTGCAGACTGACCGGTATCTGACAACAACTATCCGTTACTGAAATCTGAACAATTCAGCAATTTTTCTTTTAAAAAAAACTTTACTCAGAATATTAGTGACATAGAAATTACAAACACAGAGGGAGCTCACTTGACCATCTTGCCAATGCTGGGGATTGAATTTGTCCACTCTACTCACAGACCTCAGCCACTGCTTTCTCCCTAATCCCTAACCTTTATTATTATTTCCCTTTCCAATATTAATCCAATTCCATTTAAATGTCATTTAATGGTCCCATTCATTTAATGGACCCATTTAAATCATTGAAATGAATGGACAATTTAATAGCAAAGCATGCCATAATAACTGTCTGGATTTATTTATATCGTGCTCTTCCTGTCCCCCAAGAAAGAGTGCCCTGTTCTTCAATCATTGAAAAAATCCCTTTCGAAATTTATTGACGACAACAGCAGCTTGCATTTATGGAGCGCCCTTCACACAGGGCAGCGATGAGGGGCACTTGACATACAGAAAAGTATGTTGAATGCTGAATGCTGTTTGTATAATAACAATAATAATAATAATAATCCTTGCATTTTATACAATGCCTTATCAGGTCTTCTAGACGTCTCAAAGGGCTTCACAGAACATACTGTAAAGTGAATTGACTGTATATTTTTCTGGGCGAAATGATACTTTCAGATATGTCAAGGGCAGAATATGTAGAATTTCAAACTTCTACCCCTGGATTTACTTTCCCCTTTTGAACCACACGGAGGGAGGGAGTGAGGGAGATGGGATGTGGGGGGAAGAGAAGAGAGAAAGACACAGAATTAGAGGTTATTGTCTCAGCCACCAACAAACACGCAGAGGACAGGGATCTGGTAAGGGATTCGCCCCGGAGAGGTTTAACTCCCTGGTGGTCTGAAACGTGAGTGAGAATGGGTGAAAAGAAAGAGAAGACAGCACCCGTGAAGTTTAAGATCTCAAACAGAGTTTATTAACAGTATTTCAATAGACAATAAGAAAGCAGACACAAGCGTAAACAGTCAAAAGTGTAAATTGTACAAAGATATTTTGGATGCAGAATGCACCTGTCTGGTAACAATATTCAGTAACAGATTGTATAAGACAGAGAGAAAAAGCTAGCATGTCAAAAGCAGGCAGTGATAAGAGTTAAATCGCATTCAGCCTATGTACAGTGAGATTTCCAACCTACAAGCAGGTTTCTGTGCAGTATTACCCAAAAAAAATTCCCACAATAAACTTTTCACTTAAATTGCCAAGTTTGGTACTTCCTGCGTTAAACGGGTACCAGAGAAGAATCCAATAATTCCTTTAAATTCAGTCTACATTACAGACTCCGGGCAGGAAGTAACCAGCCTCTTTTATGCGCAGGATAAAACTCTTTCCAGCACTTTTCATTGCAATACGTGTCCTGGGAATTTTAAAGTTCCAAGTTATTTCTCAGGCAATGAGCTTAATGTATTGTCTGCCCTTTTCCGGGTGTCCATTCAGGGGTGTGTTCCTGATTTGCCAAGTGCAAAACGGTCTGAAACTGCAAATTGCCACTGAGACTTTGCCTCCCTCCCTGTCCGCCCAGTCCACGTTATGTTAGCATGTAAGACCTTTATGTCTCAAATCGTGAGCCTTTCTTAAAACTCAGCCTAAATCTGGAAGCCGGTTTCCATTTGGGAACTGCAGAAACCCTGAATTTTCCACAATTCCACAATTCCAACTGGATTTCCATGCCTCGGGAACACCTTGAGCACTACATTGGTTCCCGATGTAAAACTCTTCTCATTTGCAAGTGGTTTAGTCACTGATTCGGTTCACGAGAGACTCACAAGAGAGGTTCGAGGAAAGAAAAACCCTCTGATCTCACCCTTACTGAACCCCCAGCCTATCCACTGTCCTCTTCGACTGGACCTTCAGCATACTTTAAGAGTATCCAAACCAACCTGAGAATTCCCTGCATCCCACTTACACGTGGAAATCCCAGCGACAGATTGCTGGAATGGAATGGAATGTTCTCTCTCTCTCTCTCTCTCTCCCCCCCTGGAGGGACACATCCTGCTTACTTAATTCCGGAGAGTATTAGGCGCAGGTGGGCAAGAGCCAAGGCTTGGGGAACCCAGAGCGTGCGTCGGGGTAACTGCTGGAGTCTAACCAGCTAAAACGGCACATAGCTTGTCACTGTCTTTTCAATGCAGCAACGTAGGGTGGCGGTGGGGGAGAGGGGGTTATTTCCATGCAATGGGGACCTTTCTGTCCAGACACGCAGGAATGGTCCTTTTTTTTTTTGCATTGGCCTTTTTGCAAGGGTTAAGCGCAGCGTTTTAAAATGACATCAAAATCAGCTTGAGAAAGCTTGCTCCATGCGTGGGAAAAATCACGACGAGCTTGGGTGGGGCTTGGGTGCGGGAAGGAAGGGAGGAAGGAAGGAAGGGGATAATAAAGGGGGAGGAGAGGGGAGGACAGATTAAAACCTTAACCACAACAAAAATAGGAAAGCAATCATTTTTTTTTGTCCGGCAGCATGATTTTAAAACAGCGTTGTAAATTCCGTGCAAAGTGCTTCTGCGATGAAAAAAGCTTCGGGGCAATTTTCTCTCTTTTTTTTTGCACGTCCGCACACCGGGCGGGGAATGGGGGGGGGGGGGGGGGGGATTGGGGGGGAGTCAATCGATACAAAAAACGGAGCGTGTTGGTTTAAAAAAATACAGTCTATGCTGTTACAAACAAGAAGAAGAAAAAAGGTCACGGATTCTCAACAATAATACACAGCTTTTACTTGTATTCAATTTTCATTGCACTAAATCCTCTGAGCAAGTCATTATAAATAAAAACACTTCAACAATCAAACGACCGACAAGAAAGACCACAGCGATTTACATTTATATAGCGCTTCTCACGTCTGGGTGGTGGGGGGGGTAGAGGGTGGGGGCGAAGGAGGGGATATAAAGGGTGTGTGTGTGTGTGTGGGGGGGGGTGGGGGTGTGGGGGGTGTGGGAGGGGGAGTTTCAAAGCGCTTCACACCAAAACAACCCTTTAAGAGGCTTCAAAATGTGTTACGGAAACCAATACTGCAGATAAGAAAAGTGCACAGTTGATTTATACATATAATCTAATTCATATTCTATTCCGTTTTTTTAAATAAATTGTCCCAACCTGAACAAGAGTTCATTTTAATATTTACAGAACTTTTTTTCTTTACTACTTTGTTTCAGTATTCCACCCCCTTTCCCTCCCTCTCCACCCGCTCTAAACTCCCTCCCTCATCCCGACCCACCCACTGCCCACCCTATGCATCATTTTCAAGGAAATAAAACTTACAACTGGTATTGTTTCCCTTGAATAAATCACATCAACACACCTATAAACTGTACAAGCCCCGGGGAGGAGGGAGGTGGGGGGGTGGGGGGAAGTGGGGGCAGGCAGGGGGGGGCCAGGGGTCTCTGCCCTTCACATTTGCCCACAGTAGTAATCAGACTTCTAGCAAAAGACCTGTTGGCAACATTAATAAGCCAGATCCGTCTTTGCCACCAACACTGAACAGTGCGGATAAATAAATCGACCTCTCTAGCTGCTCGGTGGGCAGTTACCACTTGTGAGCACGGTATAAATTCCCCCTCCCAACCCCCCCCAAAAAAAACAATCTCACAGCTCAACAGCTTCTCTTCATCCCCCACCCCAACCCCCGCCCCCGTTTCTCAGATCATCTCGACTTATTAAAAAACGGAGTTTCCATATGTGATATAAAGCAAGAGTGGGTTCACTCGCTGCTCAGAGTGATTTCATAGATGCCCCCCACCCCCCACTTCGGCATTAATGGGGGGTGGGGGCGGGGGTCTAACTTGCCCTTTAATGACTGACTGAGCTGGTGGGTTGGGAGTCCCATGGGGTTAATATCAACCTTAAGAGCTGTCGATTAACTCTTTCAAAGTGCTTGAACAAAGTCTTTTTTGTGAGTAAGCTGTGTGGGGGTGGGTTAAGGGAAGAGGGGGGATCATTGAGAAACTAACTTGAGGAGAACACTGCATATTAGTGGGACGGGAGGGGGGGAGGAAGGTTGGCGGGCAAGGGTTAGGGCGGTGGCTAGGGGCTGAGGGACAACTCTCAATGTTAGAGAGGTCTCGATCGCAAAGGTAAACCACTCAGTAAATTATAATACAGGGTGACCGAAAAGTCATGATACCATTACAATGCCTTTAAAGAAACGACGAAGAAATAAAGTCACTATTATGAAATAAAATAAACGCTATTACGACTTGTTTGGTCACCCTGGATTTATATTATTTTTTTAAAAAACAAGACGACAAGTTTAAAAGCTGAACTCAGCAATTCTAAGATGACTTCATTTGCAAGTCAAGGCCCAAAGGGAGGTTTGGGACCATTTTTAGGTTAGATTTCCCAGGGCCTTCACTGTCTAATTAAAGGGAGGGATGACACAGGCCTTGAGCTCAGTGCATCTCCTCTGAGAGTTTGGAATGTTATTGAACCGTTATCTAGTCCCTTGTTTTTGGAGGAAGGGAAGTGATTGCTAAACATAGCAGTCAATGTGCTGTCTCGTTATGATGGGGTGAGGGGGGAAAGGCTTATCGAAAAGGTGTCTATTAGCGAGCGAGACAGTAACATAACCCACCTCCCCCACTGCCCCCCACCCCGCATCTGCCTCCCCCCTCCCAACCCCCACCCGCCCCCACCGTCTCTCTCCCACGTGGCCTCCGAAACGCCACCCGGGAGAGATGTAGTCACAGGCGGCCCAGAGATTAGCACTATGTCACCTGACACAGGTGGGAAGTTTTGGGACGTTTCCTAACAATCGTCTATCTTAAGACTGATGAACTCCTGAATGCACTTCCTGTACTGGAGCTCAGTGGGGCTGCTAGTGGGATAGTGACCTGGCTGTCCGAAGGGTCCCTCGGCCTCTCGCATCTCTTCGTTCATTCTTGCCAGTCGCAACCTGAGGGCAAAGAGACGGCCTCGATTAACACATCACTCAGCAAACTCCAACCAAGGCAGAAGCAGCGTAATAATAATAATAATAATATTGCCCGCCTTTGATAGAGCGCCTTATCGCATCTTCGAGATGTCTCAAAGCGCTTCACACAATATAAAGCAAATCGAATGTGTATTTTGTGGGCGAAACGCGGCAGCCAATTGCGCACAGCAGCGTCCCACAAACAGTCGTGGATTGAAAGACCAAATTATTTTTCTTTTGAAGGGATTATTATCCCGGGAAAGCGATCCACCAGTCACCTACCGGGTTGCTACTCGCTGCTCGATAAACAGAGGGGTGTGGAATGAGGAAACTTGCCTAAGGTTTCGCCCCGACCGGGAATCAAACCCGGGTCCTCTCGCTTGCGAGGAGAGTGCTCTGACTGATACTCTACAGGACTCTATGGAGGACGCTGAAATGTCTCAAAGAGAGGAATGGGGTAGGAGGAGATCAGAGGGAAACTTGAGGGTGAGAGCCTTGCAAGGGGCACAGTGAATTTCGTGTGTGACAGAAAACACTGAGGTCTCGGCGAGGGAGTGCATTTTAAAGAGGATTTCTGATCACCAATGGGCTATGGAGTAACAACAGATGGCGAGTTTCGCAGCAGTGATGAAACTCACAGTAAAGCACCGAGACATTCAACCATCTGCACTTTGGGAGCCGATGGGCTTTTTTTTAACCCGATAATGACCGGTTTAAACGGGAATTTTGTTCGAAGGGAATAATCTCGCTTCTGGGGTAGAAGCTTGCGGTTCAACCACCCAAATCAGGAGCTCACAGTCTAAGCTGGTGCTTTAATGCTCCAATGGGACTGGATAATAATATTATTAATAATAATAATAATACTTGCATTTGATGGAGTGCCTTATCACATCATTGAGATGTCTCAAAGCATCTCATATTTATTTTGTTTGCTTATTTATCTAGTTATTTATGTATTTGTTTGTTTAAAGGGATTGGGAGGAGGAGAGGGACATTGTCCGAGCTGCTATCTTTTGGATGAGATGTAAACTGAAAGGTGGAGAGGGGGGGGGGGGGGGTAAGGTGAAGAGGGGTGGGGGGGAAGGTGGAGAGGAAGGGGAAAGATGGGGGGAGAAAAGGTGGAGGTTTGGGGGGGAAGGTGGAGGTTTGGGGGGGCGGGGAAGGTGGCTTACAGTGTCACAATGTCTGCGTTTGCAGCTTGCACAGCGATGCTCAGTGGATCCTGTCCGTCCTCATCCACAGCGTTCTGACTGGCTCCGCGTTTGAGAAACAGACACACCTGGCTGCAGGGAGAGTTACACACAGACAGAATGAGGGACACCCCTGAATGCCGCCGCCACAACCCCCGGTGACTTCGCTCTCCTGCAGCCACCCACCCTCCGACCTCCCGTCACAGCCTCGATCGAGACGTCTCTTAAACGGACTCAATGTCCCCGTTCTCAACCGGCTCAGTCGGTTGTCAGCTCGCCTCGGGCTCAGGAGGTTGTGAGTTTGAGCTCGCCACCCCCCCACCCCCCCACTCTCCCCCCCCCACACCCACTCCAACGTCAGGGGCTTTGCTCTCACGGTCCAGGCTGACAGTCCAGCGTAGTGCTGGGGGTGGGGGGCTGCACTATCAGAGGTGCCGTGGTCCGATTCAGACGTTAAACTGAGCTCGTGACAGCCCAGTTGTGGTTCTTACAGACCCCGCGACGACTATTGAAGACGCTGTTATTACCCGGTGTGGCCCAGGTAGGTGCCGTGGTGAATGGGGCCTCGACCCCGGATGTCCTTTTGATTGACGTCAGCCCCGTTCTGCAACAGAAACTCACAAGCCACCAGCGAGCCCTGTGGAAGCCACCGAACAGCAGGCAATGAGGAGGAGACTGGTGTCCCATCAACGCGATGCTTTAACCGTTTGGAACATGCTGAATGTGTTCCCTCTACACCTCTCCTTCAGCCTTTCCCACCCTCCCACCCACCCTCCCTCCCTCCCTCCCTCCCTCATCCTCCGCCTTGCTCAGCTTTCTCCTCGCTCCCTCCCCATTTCGCTTCCCCCTCCCAGTTCGGGACAAAGCCAAGGATTGTCCATGGAATTGCTCCGTGACAATGGTACCAATGAGAGAGGGACCACTCACAAGAGGAACCGTTTACCGCTTACAACCCCCTCACTCCCGGATCCTGGAATTTGAACGGCCGCCATCGCATTCCCAAAGATCCCTGAGCTCCGGGAGAGAGCCTCCCACCCCATTAGGGTCTGACACCACCCCCTCCCCCAACCACCCCCGGGGCTCACACACACCCCGATCACCGCCTGGATCAGTGGCGTCTTGTTCTCATCCTCGTCGTTGACCCAATTGACGTCCGCGCCGTGTGCCAGGGCCTCAGCCATGACGGCCAGGTTCCGGGCGTGAGCCGCCTTGTACACCAGGATCCCGGGGTGCAGCTCCCGCAGGTCCTCCGTGTCCGACTGCTCGTGCTCCATCTCCGGCTCCCCGCTCGATTCCTCCGAGACCTCGCTCACTGTGCACAACGGCAGAACACGGTCAGAGGGCAAGAGGGTTGAGGGCTGAGGGCTGAGGGTAGAGGGCAGAAGATAGAGGGAGAAGGGTAGCGTGTAGGGGGTGGAGGCAGAGGGCAGAGGGTAGAGGGTAGACGGCAGAGGGTAGAGGGTGGAGGGCAGAGGATAGAGGGCTGAGGGTAGAGGGTGGAGGGTGAAGGGCAGAGGATAGAGGGCTGAGGGTAGGCGGCCCCAGCACTGACAACAGGAACTGTAACGAGTGTTCCAGTGAGGAGGAGCAGGAGGAGAGGTAAACACAGAACTAACCTTCTTCAGTGACGATGTCCACTATGGTGCCAAACACCAGAATATCCGTGCTCCCGTCCGTGCTGCCGCCCAGCCCACTGTCACTGCTCAAACCTGCGGGACCAACAGTTGGAATACAAGACACACTTTAGTGCCTGAATAAACCGCTCCGGAGATAATGGCAGTAAAGAGCAGGACAGGGCCTGTTCTCCATCCCATTGTAGATATGAAAGCCTCTATGTGCGCCCCTCTTTCTCTCTGCTTCCCTAATTGTGTGCGTGTCTCTCTCTCTCTTTAATTCTATGTGCCCCGTTCCATCTCGCTCGCTCTCTCTCTCTGCGACTGTCCATCTGTGTGCATGTGTCTTTCTCTCCAATCCTATATTGACCTGGAATGGATCGCTAGGATAATGGGAGACAAACTCCTTTCTCATTTCCAATAGGCCACAGGATCTTAAACGTCCACCCGAACGGGTACACCGGACCTCGGCTCAGCATGTCACCTGACAACGCAACCCTATCAACCCCACCGCCCCCCCCCCAACCCCCCAAGCGCTATGCTAGAGCGTCAGCTTAAACCATGAACCCAACGTCTGTGACGAGGGGGAGTGGGGGGGGGGGGGCTTCAACTCATAGCCTTCTGACCTTCAGAGGCGAGAGCTGGCCAGCGTAGGGGGTAGGAGGTCACAGTGTCAGTGCCTACTCTACTCACTGCGAGGCCCGGCCGCTGTGGTGTCGAAGTAGGAGAAGAGCGAGTCCAGTTCATCCGGGCAGAAGAGCGAATCCCTCCGGAACTTTCTCTCCAGCGCGGCGGCTGCGGCAGGAGAGGAGAGGAGGAGATGAGAGGAGACGAGGAGAGGAGTGGAGAGGAGGAGAGGAGAGGAGAGGAGTGGAGAGGAGTGGAGAGGAGAGGAGAGGAGAGGAGGAGAGGAGAGGAGGAGAGGAGAGGAGAGGAGAGGAGTGGAGAGGAGGGGAGGAGACAACAGGAGAGGAGTGGAGAGGAGGAGAGGAGAGGAGAGGAGATAACAGGAGTGGAGAGGAGGAGTGGAATGGAGAGGAGGGCAATTGTCGCGACCGAGAAAAGAAAAAGTAAAAAAATGCAGAACTTTTAAGTTTCAACAACAAAATTTTGGGGCATTTTACGCCAACCGAGTAAATCCAGGCCTGGGTAGAATTTCCTAGCGATGAGTTCGACTAGTTTCCCCCCGTTTTACCCGAGAATCGAACCCGGGGCCTCTCGCTTGCGAGGCAAGTGCTCTAACCAATACACTGCATACGGGAAACGCCACTTGACCGCGAAGTGTAGTGACTGCGCGTTTTGCCAGCCATCGCAGCGGCCAATTCGCGCTCTCAGCGACATCCCCGCCATCGGTACCTGAAGCCAGCGTTGCCGGGGAGGCGTTGCACGTGTCCTGGCGGTATCGTCGGCGAGCGGTCGGGGCTTTGGACGAGCTGTTCTGCCGCCGGCATTTCTTCACGCTCCAGCGCCGGGGCTTGCGCTCGCTCTCCACCAGCACCTCACTGTTCGGGAGCTTCTTAAGGAATTTCTTCTCCACGTATTTGGCTTTTATCCAGGTCTCCTTCTCCTGCCTGGAAACGTCACCAGAGACGTGAGCACCAGAGACTGTGTGTGTGTGTGGGGGGGGGGATGGGGGGCGGTGCTAAAACGCGAGTTGGGCTAATTAGCCCATGGTTTAACCCACGCTCAGTCTCAGGCAGGTGGGCAACTGAACATTGTATCATCCTTTTCCTTAGTTCAGTGGTGACCAACCCACGGCCCCAGGGCAAAAAGTGACACACGGGGACATTAATTTGATACCGTGCCTAATCGAAGCGCTTCACGGGATCTACATGAAGTGGAGTGACTGTGTATTTTGTGGACGAAAGGTGGCAGGCACATTGCGCACAGCAATGTCCCACGGACAGCCATGGAGTGAGTTGAAGCGACCAATTTTTTATTCAGGGAGGACGACTGTTGGCCAGGACACCGGGAGAAAGAAACTCCCTTCTCTTTTTCAAATAGGGCCACGGGATCTCTAACATCCATCTGACCAGGCGGACGGGAGGATCACCGGTTTAGCATCAAAACGGATCGGACGTGGGGCCATCTTCATCCGAACACATCTGGTGAATTTTGTGGAGCGCAGGGGTTGGGTTGAAAGGTTAGCTGAGGGTTACCTGGTGCTTCCTGGCTGTGGCTTCTTGGCTGCCTGTTCCCCACATTTGCTCTCGTAAATCTGGTTCATAGTGTTGTTCCCCAGCTCACACATCAACTGTAAAAAGACAAGCTTTGTTTCATCTTCAAATTGTCTCTGACTATGACCCCCACACGCCCACCACCACCAAACTACCCCTCCTGTATGAGGGTGGGAAGCAGAGGGGTGAAGGAGAGGGGGAAGAATAAGAATAATAATCCTTGCATCTGATATAGCGCCTTATCGTGTCGTTGTCATGTCTCAGAGCACTTCACACCAGAATATTTTCTGGGTGAAACGCGGCAGATGATCGACTAACAACCGGGTTCCTGGTTACCGCTCGGTAAACAGAGGTGTGTGTGCGTGTGTGTGTGCGTGTGCGGAGTAAGGAAACTTGTTTAAGGTTTCGACCTGCTCAGGAATCGAACCTGGATCCTCTCGCTTGCGAGACCAGTGCTCTAACCACTACGCAACAGCACTCCACAGATACAATAGGATTTTACCTGGAAACTTGTAAATCTTACATGATTAACTCAACGGGTGAATAAAGTTCAGGATAGTGTCTGTCATTACCTTGAGCAACTCAGGCTCCCAGGAATCCAGGGTGAGCGAGCGGACTTTGGAACACTGAACCCCAAGACTCCTAAGGGGGATGAGATGGGGAGTTGGGTGGGTGGGGGGGGGGGAAAAAAGAAATAGGTTTGCTGATGTTTGAGGGTGATCTCACAGTGTTGGAACTCTCTGTTTTCCAGTTCTTTAACGCTACAACAACTGCAAAACTCCAACACGCTTCATCGACTCAACGGATGAACTCTCGCTCGCCTCAGGCAATGACCCAAATTGTCTGAAGTCTTCATGTTTAATTTCAGATAATGGCCTTTGCTGTTCTCTGGCCATCCTAAAGCTGGTTGTTTTTTTTCCCTTCTCTCCAGCCCCCCCACCTTCCCCACCCTCTCTCTTCACCCGAAATCCGTCTACACGCACTTTATATAACAATGATAATAATTCACGTATTGGATATAGAGCTTTATCATGTTGTTGGGACGTCTCAAAGCGCCTCACAGGATACGCTGTAAAGTCTAGTGACCAATTTTCATCCATCAATGTCCCACAAGCAGCCGTGGAGTGAGTGACTAATTTTATTTGAGGGATTCTCAGCCAGGACACCGGGAGAGAGAAACTTCCTTTTCTCCTCTTTTCGAATAGCGCCGCGGGATCTTTAATGTCAGGTGGAGACGGGGAGTTCGGCTTAACATCTGAAGGGCGGCACCTCCGACAATGCAGAACTCCCCCAGCACTGTATTTGCCCGTCAGCCTGGATTGTATGGGTTCCAAGTCACAACACGGGGCCAACAGGAGTCAATTGGTTGTGTGTGTGTGGTGTGTGTGTAGCATGTGTGTGGGCGTGTGGGTATATGTGTGAGTGTCTGTGGGTGTGTGTGAGTATGTGTGTGGGCGGGCGTGTGGGTATGTGTGTGAGTGTCTGTGGGTGTGTGTGAGTGTGTGCGTGTGTGGGTATGTGTGTGTGTGTGTTGGTGTGTGTGGGTGTGTGTGAGTGTCTGTGGGTGTGTGTGTGTGTGAGTGTGTGCTTGTGTGTGTGTGGGTGTGTGTGTGTGGGTGTGTGTGTGTGTGTGTGTCGGTGTGTGTGGGTGTGTGTGTCGGTGTGTGTGGGTGTGTGGTAGGGTGGTAGAGATTCTTCACATTGTTAACTTCAAGGCTTTGGTTTCTGGTCCCATCATCGTCCGTTGAGGTGGGTGGAGGGAATAATAATAATAATAATAATAATCCTTGCATTTGATAGGGCACCTTTTCACGTCGTCGAGACGTCTACAAGCGCTTCGCGGAATATACTGTAAAGTGTAATGACTGTGTGTGTGTGTGTTTTTTTTTCTTTGCGGGGCGAGGGTACCTGTGAATGCCCGAGCACTCGATGCACAGAGTGATGCCCAGGTTGATGCTCGCCCAGCGGGGATCCGGCTGCCCACAGTCGCAGCACTGCTCGTTGCCCGCGATCCCCTGAACCCGTTGCAGGATGCTGTCGCCCTTGCCACCGCGCTCGCGGGATTCGCTGGCTGAGTCGATGCTGCTGGTGGACGGGGAGGCTGTTCGGTCCAGTCTCTGCCGGGCGGGGGAAAAAAATCACGCGAGTCTTACCCTCAAAATCTCTTCCGATGCCACCCTCTTCTACCGTTCGTTGCTCCCGCGCTTACCGTCTGCACTGAATCCCCTCCCCGCCCCCCCCCCCTCCCCTCCGGTGGAAGAGACAAGCCCTCGAGATGGGCTTTGGGAAGGTGAGGTGAGGTGGCGGCGGAGACGGAAAGGGGAACTCGCCCGCGTTTCGGAGATGGGGTGGGGGGTGTTCAAACGAGCCGTCTCCCCTTCCGACCTCGCCAAACCCAATAGGTTCCATCGCTCGGTGGTGGTGATGGAGGAGGGGGAGATTTGCACTGTTGCTCAAAGTGTTCCGCGACTTATCTTATGGCACCCTGGACCAGCAGGTGGCCCCCTTCTCCAGCTAAGTGTGTCTCGCTCCTCTCAGTAAGAGCCTGGGACACTAGGACCAGCAGTTTACAGAAGGTTGTACGTTAAGGCTCCATTTCCCTACCACCAAGACCCCCACCCCCACAGGTGTGAGACGGTGGGGGCTTACATTGATGTAGTTGTTGTCTGGGCTTTCCCTGTATGCCGTCGCGATGCTGGCCTGCACAGCCTGGATCCAAGCCAGTCGCAGTTTCTCAGAGTCCGCCTGCAGCATACAGCTCCTGCGTCAACCAAACACACAAGTCAACAAGACTGAAAGTTTCCGTCGCGGCCGCCCATCACTGGAGTCCCCAAGCTCAGTGATTAGAGCACTCGCCTCGCAAGCGAGAAACCTGGGTTCTATTCCCGGACAGGGCGAAATGTTGGGCAAGTTTCCTTACTCCACCCGCCTCTGTTTACCTGCCAGTAAATAGGAACCCGGTTGTTAGTCGATTGGCGGATCGCTTTTCCGGGGGTAATAATCCCTCAACAAAATAATAATCATTTGGTCACTCAATTTGGTCACGACTGTTTGTGGGCCACTTCTGTGCGCAATTGGCTCCCACAAATATACAGTCAATTCACTTTACAACAACAACTTGCATTTATATAGTACCCCTCACGTGGGGTAGGGTCCCAGAGCGCTTAAAAAAGTTTACTGCAATCGCTGCTGGGTGTACTTTGTTTTGTAGGTAAAGACGGTTGCCGTTTTGCGCCTTGCAAGGTCCTGTGTGATTAACCTGAAGGGATTGACCCGACAGCCAGGACACCAAGAGAGAGGAACTCCTTTTCTTTTCCAAAAGCCGTGCGGGAACTTTTTAACACAAGTCGGTGTATGGGATATTGGTCGAACCTCCAAGAGATCCAAAAGACACTACCCACCTTCCCCCCCCCCCCCGCACCGCCCCCAGCGTTGTTCTAGAGCGTCAGCCTAGACCGTGAGCTCAAAATCTCCAGCTCAGAGGCTCGAACCACAACCTTCTGACCCGGAGGAGTCAGTGAGAGAGAGAGAGAGAGAGAGGGAGAGAGCGAGCGCAGTCAGCTGAAGCGAGCTCAGTGAAGCGGGATAATGTAAAACACTTTGAGACTCTTTGTGTGGGACGCAGTTGGTTTGTCCTGTTAGAAACACAAGCCCATTGATAGACAAGTGCTGCAGGAGGCTTCAGTTTGGTGCAGGTTTGTCCTGGTTCCCGACTGATGTACTGTTGACCGTGCTGTGCTGCTGCGTGCTGCGTTCTGACACAGTGAAGCCCTTCTGATTACAGCGCTCTCTGAAACTTCGGGACGGCCTTTAAACAGGTTCATGTTTTATTTAAAAACAGGGAACGCTTGAGAACATTTCCAACATCCTTCCGCATTGTTGCCTGAGATCCGTGGCCTCGAGGGAGGGAGGGAGGGAGGGTTTGCTTATGGGATAGCCAATGGATTTCCGTTTACCGGATTTATTTTCTCCTCCTCTGTCGACTGTCGTGTGAACACCCACCCACCCCCACACCGCCCCCCCCCACCCCCACCCACACACCCCACCATGTCGTCGCGAGACTTACTTACTTGTTTGGAGAGACCACCTCAAAGCAAAATCGCCTCTCGATGTCCTCGCAGGGTTTCACGGAGCAAAGGCGCAGGTCCTCGACCACAACAGTCAGTGCGTCCTGAGGCAAGACAAGAGAGAGAGAGAGAGACTTGGAGTCACATAGTCTAAGCTGACATGCCAATGCAGTGCTGGGGGAAGTGCTGCATTGTCGGAAGTGCTGGCCTTCGGATGAGACATTAAACCGAGGTCCCATCTGCCTGTTCGGGTGGATGGTAAACACAGGGCTCTTCACGTCGGGAGGATGTCTCAGAGCGCTCCACGGGATACCCCGTAAAGCGCAGTGGCCGTGTGTTTTTACGAACTAAATTCGGAAGCCGGTTTCTTTTAAGCGCTCCGAGACACCGCCCCGGGTGAAGGGCACTATATTATCAAAAGTTGTTGCTGTTTTTCAGGAACTGCAGGGATGGGTGGTGGGGGGGGGGGTGTTGGTGATGCCAATTATTATTAGTATTGGATCTAAGGCTGACAGCCACAGCGGGTTTTTTTGGGGGGGAGGGGGGGGAAACATTGCATTTCCTCCAATTAGTGTCTAAACTCCGGTATTAAAAACAGCGTGGGCGCACCTCAATCATCCAGTGTAATAACTCCTCTTGAATCTATCGCGCAGAATATTTTTGAGGACTGCGGTTTGACAGGAAACACCCACGCAACCTGGGACACTGACTGTGAGTTCGACATGTTTTTGCTCATCGCTCACCCATCTCCTGCCTTGTTCGTTGCTGCAATTAAGCGAGTTCTAGCTTTCAGCTCTCGCTCCCTGCAGCTCTCATGCCTCCTCCTCCTCCTCGGTCCACTTTGCCAGAAATCCCTCTCTCATTGAGCGAGTGCTTTCGGTCATCTCCCTCCTACTCTCCTCCCTTCCCCTATCCCTCTCAATCTCCCACTCCATCTCTGTCAAACACTTTGAGATATTTTCCTGTGTGAAAGGCGCTGTATAAGTCCTCCGAAAATAATAATAATAATCCTTGCATTCGATACAGTACCTTAATCTTGTCGTCCACACGTCTCAAAGCGCTTCACAGGAATATACTCTAAAGCGGATTGACTGCGTATTTTGTGGGTTGAAACGCGGCAGCCAATTGCGCACAGCGGCGTCCCACAAACAGCCGTGGAGTGATTGACAAATTTTATTTGGGGGATTGTTGACTAGGACACCGGGAGAGAGAAACTCTCTTCTCTATTTGAACAGTTCCATGCAACAACAACTTGTATTTACACAGTGCTTTTCATGCGGGCTAGCGTCTCGGAGCGCTTAACAGTGGCGGAGTGGAGGTATGATCGAAGAGGAAGGTCTTCAGCTATGATCTGAAGTCCGACAAAGAGTGGGTTTAGTCTGAAATTATCTCAACGCTAAGGCCATATAGAACTGCGGACCTCAGGGGTTAAAAACATCAGCTGGTAAAAGCAGGTGGTAGATGGCAAATTATCTGTTTAAGATTTAGTTGTGCGTCACTGTATGTGAGTGCGTGTGTGAGGGAAGGGAAGAGAAAGAGAGAAAGAGAGAACGAAAGAAAGAAAGAACGAAAGAAAGAACGAAAGAAAGAAAGAAAGAAAGAAAGAAAGAAAGAAAGAACGAAAGAAAGAAAGAAAGAAAGAAACAAACAAAGAAAGAAAGAAAGAAAGAGAGAGAGAGGTAAAGGTAGAGAGAGGGAGAGAGAGAGAAAAAGAGAAAGGCAGACAGAGAGAAAGACAGAAAAAGAGAGACAAAGGCAGAAACAAAGGCAGAGAAAGAGAAAGTCAGAGAGTCAGTGAGAGAGGGAAACAAAGGAAGAGAGAGACAAAGAAGAGAGAGAAAGGGGGAAGCAGTGAGAGAGAGAGAGAGGGAGAGAGAGAAAAAGAGAGTGTCTGAGGCAGCGAGACGAAAACAAAGGGAAAGAGAGAGCTCCTACCTTCATCTTTTTCTGATAAACCAATTGGCTGTTTTGAATGGAAAACCACCTCCTGAAAGAACAAAAGAGTTCCGTGAAGACAATGATCTCGGCCTTGGTTGAACGAGGTCGCAATGCAATACAAAATAACATTTGAACAGCGCTTTTCCCATCAGGAGGACGTCCCAAGGCGCTGGATAGTCAGGGATTTGAACCCGAGCTGGGGAGGAGTGAAGATGGAGGACAGGGGGCGTAGGAGGGTGGTTGAAGGCACGGTCAAAGAGGAGGGAAAGCTGGAATTCCTCCAGCAAGAACTGGGGATCAAATCCCTCCTCTCACCCCCTTCTCGCCCCCCCCCAACCCCCACCGCCCCAATCCACCCCCACCATCAAAGGGGTTTTGGGTGAAACGGTTCCACCCTCAGAATGAAATCATGGCCACCTTGGTTCCTAACGTAGTGAGCGAGTTTCCCCGATCCTTCCGAGGGTAATTCCGATGATTAGAAATTGGGAATGGGATGCATTTAGAGAAAACATAACAAAGAAGACCCTGGCAAACATCCCCCAAATTCCTTTATGAAACCAAATGCTTCAGGTAGACATGGGGTCAGAACTCAGACTCCTGATTTTAGCCTCAATTGTCCAATGGGCGTCTGCCCTCAAGGCGTGACCCTCAATTGGAGCCAGGCAGCGGCCTGGGTCAGGAGGGCAACACAATTGTTGTCTTCAGGGGACGAGGGGGACAAAGGAAGACAGGGACCTGACCCATTGCTACACAGACGCTGCCCTGACAGGACCCGAGTCCGAGACAAAAAGTCAAAGGGCCACAGGTCAGCCTTTGTACCATGTCAATCGCAGAGACAAAGAACATGAAGCACAGACACATTCGATGATCGTAAGAACGTAGGAATTTGCCAGGCGGAAGCACACCAAGGTCTCCGTCCAGTTCGCCTTCCACCATCCTGGCAGGCGTTTGACACATTATGTCCCGAACTGTGCACTGTATCCCGAGACATTGTTTTCTAGCAGAAATATAGATCAAATAGGACCTTTGTGCGTCAGGCTCAGAAGAAATATCTCCAGAGTTGCTCCTGACCTTTAGCTCAGTGTCCTGTGGCTTCAGAGGCTGTCCCGGGGCTGTGTATTCTGATTGAGGTCGTGTTTAGCCACACAGAGGTGTGTCCGATCGTGGGATTGGGAAGTTTGTCACAGCCAGAAATCGGAACAACCTTACAGATGGGAGGGTTTAAAGAGCAGTTGGCATTTTCTGCAAAGACTCTAAACATTGTGGGGAGGGGGGTGGGGGGCGTGGAGGGGGATAGTCTCGTTGAGTTTTTAACCATCAGTGGCCGCGCTTTCAGCCACTACGCCTCGAAACCCTCTGAAACACTCTTCTTCCAGCGCTCCGTCACTGTCAATCGCTCTGGAACACTACCCTGCATGAGGGGTGCTATATAAATGCCAGTCGTTGATGTTGTTGTCGTTGTTTGATGTTGAGTTATTCCCGGCGGGCGGGTGGTGGGGTGGGGGTGGGTTGTGGGGGGCGGGGGAAGAGTTAAACAGGAATGTGCTGTACGATGGGTACAGTGAGTCACTACGTACCTGTTCCACGTTTTAAAGGCATTGCTTGCCCTCTTGAACAGATACCCTTCCATCACCACGCCATTGGGAGCATCGACGTTGAACTCCGCCTTGGAATCATCGTAGGAGAAGTCCTGCGGAGAAAGGCGGGCGAGGAACAGTCACTTTTTGGGGGGGGGGTTGTTTCACTTTCTAAATTATTACCAAAGCTTTTCACAACACTGAACACCTCCGTCTGGTTAGGAGAGAAGCTTAAATCCTCTCGCTAGTAACCTGATAACATGATCCTAACAGCCAGAGGCAACAGGTTTTTGTTCCGTGTGACAACCGACCCAGAAGGGAACAGGTTTCCCTCTTATCTAAATGTTGTTCTTGCACGGTCCAGACTGACTTTCCAGCGCAGTGCTGTGGGGGGGGAGCAATGCTTCGTTGGAGGTGCCGTCCTTTGGATGAGACTTTGAACCGAGCTCCCTACCCTGTGTCCAGTTCGAGTGGGGACCTTAAAGATGTCATGACGCTTACGGAAAAAGCGAAGGGAGTTTCTCTCTCTCTCGGTGGCCTGGCTCACAGTTACCCCAGAGAGAGAGAGAGAAAGAGAGAAAAATTGATCATTCACTTCACGGCTGTTTGTGGGACGCAGTCATCCCATTCACAGTAAAATCCTGTGAAGCTCTTTGAGACGTCCTCCTGACGTGAAAGGCGCTGCATCGAACGCCCAATTTGCTTTGAGGTCACGAGCAGCCCCGCAGGGTGCAGTCCGAAAAGGTTTTTATACAATAATAAAGTCTCGACAAATTAAAGGCAGCAAAATATCAGACGAAATGCTATTGAGCGTCCGTCCAGCGTGCAAAAAAGAAAAAAGACCGTAAAAGGGATTCAATCAACGTTGCGTAAGACGTATTGATCCTGAAGTCTCTGTCCGTGGTGCTGAACGTCCTGTGATTTCATTTACACAGTAAAAATCACTGCGGCTGCACTTGTCTAATTACTTATGTCAACAAAACCCATTCAAGTGATGCTAATGATGCCTCATCTAATTTAACATGCCCAGAGGGTAGGTAGCAGCTCCCAATGGCAAAGGCGGTCTCTCTGCCACACAGAAAGGTCAGTTTTCTCTTCCTGCGTTGTACGCACGCTGAGGTTTTGTACGCTTCCGTCTCCCCCCCCCCCCCACCTCCATCCCCCAAAACGTACATGAAAGCATCACCACAATTTTTTTCGCCCAAGGTCTCTCTCTCGTCTGGAATCAGATCGTCATAATAATCCTCGCATTTGATACGCGCCTTTCACCGCGGTGACGGATCTCAGGATTTTGAGACATCTTCCTGACGTGGAAGGCGTCGATTCAAATGCAAGCATAATTATTATTATTATTATTATTATTATTATCATCTGCGACATTCCCAAACTGTTGGGATAACGAGCAAATCCTGAAGAAATCCGGGTGGGTCTCAGACTGACCCTCAGGAATCCTTCACCGATCCTCCTTTGCCTAGAATCTGGGATTCTTCGGGATCGGAGCATGAGCCAGGCTCCAATGGGACCGCCTGAGATGTACCTGCACGTTAGCAAATCTCGCATTTTAGCCCGACCCGGGATGAAGCTCACTTGTGCAAACCGGGGAAAGGCTTTCTCAAGGTCCAAATCGAGCTGTGAGTAGGAACCCGGTTGTTAGTCAATTTCGGCTCGCTTTCCCGGGTTAATAATCTATCCAAAAAAATAATAATACGTTGGTCACTCAATCCACGACTGTTTGTGGGACACTGCGGTGCGCAACTACCTTTCACCCACAAAATAAACCGCCACTACAGTTTACAGTATATTCTGTGAGGCTCTTTGAGACGTCTCAACGACACGATGAGGGGCTATATCAAATACAAGGATCATTAAATCCCTGACTGTCCAGCGCATTGTGACGTCCTCCCGAACGTGAAAGGCGCTATACAAATATAATTTGTTGTTGTTAAAAATGCTCTTCAATTCAATTCAGACAAAACAAAATCCCTCGAGTAAGTAGGCAACGGGTAGAAAACTCCTCAATCATTCACATCAAATTATTATCATCTCCCTTGTAGCCGTGTGACAACTGACAGCATCAAATAACAAGACTCAGGTAACAGCGTAAAGCAACAAACAAACAGAGATTAAAGTGCAGCCTTGGTTATTTTTTCCTAGGGGCTTAAAAAAGTCTTTTTTTTGTTACTCGAAGATCAGGAACTTACCAGGGTGTAATTGAGACGACTGAAAATCTTCATTTTCAGACCGTTTATTAAGCGTCCTCGAAGCCGAGCGAAAATTAGCCCCAAGTAAGGGACCAGGAGAGAGAGCGCGAACGAGAGAGAGCACGAACGAACGAACGAACGAACGAACGAGTGAGAGCGAGAGAGGGAGAGAGAGAGAGAGAGAGAGAGAGAGCGTCTGTCGGCTTCTCAGTGACGTGATATCTCAGGGGTTTGGGATTTCAAGCCTCAGCTTGAGTTGAGCAGCGAGGAGTCGTTGTTTAGCTTCCAACATCTAAGACTCCCCTTCTCACTACTTCTCTCCTCACCTCCCCGCACTGATCTGTCTGGGGGGGGGGTTGTTCTACAGCGATCGCAGCTTGCACTCCAAACCATCAGGTTCCTCCGAATGCCGATGCTCGCAATGATGACTAGCCTCCTCTCTCGTGCCTCCCTGTCCCTTTCAACCGCAGCTCATTAACATGCAGCTGCCAGTCCCCCCTGGGTCCATGGGAACAAAGTCGTGTTCCCCCCTCCTCCATCCTCTTCTCTCCTCTCCTCTCCTCTCCTGCTTTCACTCACTCTCGCTCTCTCTCTCTCTCTTTCTCTCCCTGACAGTTCTTTCACTTCAACAAGGTGCTGGCCTCTCACTGAAAGGGAGATGGGCGATCCTCCCAACCCCCTCGCCCCTAAATTCTCCCCCCCAACCCCACACACCCGCCGCCCTCTCTGCCTCTTGGGGTTTCCAACATCCGGCTCAGGTACAAACCCTTAACTGTCCTCCCAATAGGAAAGGCGCCATATAAATGCAATTTGTTGTTGTTCTTGTTCTCTTGCTTTCGAGAGCAGCGCAGGTGCGGGGGGGTGGGAGGGGGGGGCAAGAAAGGGTTAAAACAACTTCACGCACATTCTTCAACCACGACTGGTCAGGACAGCTCCGTGACAGGACCCCCCCCCCCCCCCACTCCCACTTCCCCCACCCCCACTCCAAGGAAACGGGATCGGCTAAGCAGGCGCACACGCTCAATCACAACTCCATCCAAAGGCATTTTGTAACGTCCAAAGCTCCATCTGTCCCCGTCCTGTTCACGTATTCCTGCTTAATCAAACGTACGACAAGCATTCACTCACTAACCCCCAGCCCCCACCCCCCCCCCCACCCCACACACACACACACACACATACCAGTCCCCTCGATCTCCTCCCCCTTCCTCCCCTTTACACTTTTGCTGCTAAGGATTAAATCATTTTTTTTCCTCTCTCTGGGGGAAAAAAAAAACCCCAACCCCACACAAATCACTCGGGACCGAACAGAGGACACGGAAATTTGGACTCTTCCCCCCAACAAGTAAAAATACTGAGAATCATTAAAAAGGCTTTAAAGATGCCTTGACTCTCAATTCTCGTACCACACACAAAGCAGCACCACTCGCCCCCACCCCACCCCTCCCCACCCCAACCAGCTCCCCATTCTGTCCGGCCCGAGGCACCTCCAAATTCGCAGCGGTCTCAGCCTTAAGCCCGTTCTTCCGCCTTGTAACCAGCGTTGACATTACTTTGACGAGTTTGGTCAGAGTTTGGAAACCGTCGAAGGTTTCTTAACAAGAAGCACCATGACTTGACTGGATCTCGCATGGGATGCATTTGCAGGGTCACTCTCCCTTACCCCCAACCCCCCCCCACCCACCACCCCATACCCACATCCCAATAACCCATCTCCCTGTCTAATCACCCTAATCCTAATTCCCTGCTCTTCACCTCAATTCCCTCGTGCCACCACGCCTTTTTGAGACCTGCAGAAAACAGGCTTCCGAATTAAGGCTGAATTGAAAGCTCTTTCCACGGTTCTGAAGGTTTGTGAATTTTTAACATAAAATGAGTCTAACGGCCAAAGACTGGAGGGAATTTCAGAGCCCGCGGAAGGGGCGAAGAGTTGGAAAGTACGACTGGATCGTGATGCAGGTTCAGCCTCGGCTGTCAGTGCCTTGTTTTACTAAGAAAGCGAAGGGACAATGGAGGAGAACAGCCATGAGGGTTATACAGGGAAGGTAATGGTGTGTGTCAGCAGCGAAGGGGGGAGGGGAGGTCTGACAAAGAGGGGCAAAACGAAAAAAATACACAAAAGACAGCAGATGTTCCCTGGAGGAAGGAAACAAAGTAAAACGTTGGCCAACGAGGGAGAAGGCAGGATGTGATGGGGAAAAAAAGCATTACATATTGGTCGCAGAGTGGGAGAGCTTTAAATAATAAATGGTAACAGCATTCCTACACGTGTGCTAATGCTCAGAAAACTGGGATTCCTGTTTTTGATCAGATACAGTCCTTCACTTAAGTTCTGGTATAATGTCAGTGTGGAGGGGGGGGCGGGTAGCGGGGAGGGGAGGGGGTTTGTGACAATCTAAGGGATTCCAGAGATGACCAGCCTTTTGTTGTTGTTGTTGTTGTTGTTATGGTCGGCCGACAAAATATATTTTCTTCCATTGAGTGTTTATTTGATTCGTGCATCGGATCAAGAAATATTAAACTAATAGAAAACTAACAACACACGACCGATCGAACAGGGACTTACCGAGGCTCGTGCAAATGTTCGGGAGGGGCCGACAGGGGTGGTAGTGGGGGAGCGTATATCTTGACGGTCTCGCGGGCCACTTCTGGCCCACGGGCCACAGGTTGACCACCACTGCATTATACCATGGTGGGTCTAGCTCCAATGTGTACGGCTCGATTTATAAATCGGTGGGGAAATTGTTGTCGGACATTGTCTACAGTTGACGTTGGACTGTATAAAGCCACGTCAGCAAGAGAAACACTGACTGATATTTCATCGCCTTGCTGTTGGTACAGAGTTGCTTACATAATGGAAATAGACTCATGTGTGTGTGGTGTGTATGTGTGTTTGACAAGTTATATAACTCCCTGCAGGAATCGCTCTCTCAGTTTTAAGCCCGGTTGAGAAATTGCGACAGGCGATTTAAAAAAAAATCCTTCTTGTGATCTTTAACGGGAGCTGACATAATTATCCCAACTCATCACTTCATTTCCAACTCTTGAAATGTGGCAGAGTTGAGAACAGCATCAGAATAGGCCAGCGGGTGTTAAGCTTCCACTGGGTTAATGACTGCTCGTCACATAAGCACAGATAAATCTGCAAGTGGGGGCTCACAGCTCAGTGCAGACTGTCACTAAGGCAAAACAGTGGGTGGGATGTCATCTCTCTCAATCCTCCCACCCCCCACCTCCCGGATTTAATTAGGGTGATTAGGCACCTCAGACCGGTATTGGGATGAGGGTATTCAATTTCCCGAAACTCTGCAACGCTCTCCCTCAATCCCTCCGCTTTACCCCCTTCGTTTGCCATATTCGGGTCATGGGTGAATACGGTCGTCAATTTGCAGGTAGTGACGTCCCCACAAACAGCAGCCATAAAGTGAACGACCGATTCTATCCAGGAGAATGTCGGCCAGGACGCCAGGAGAGAGAAAGTCCCTTCTCCTTTTGAAGAGCGGATCATTAAAGACTGCCTGAACTGCAATTGAGTTATGTCCAGCTCTTAATTTTTATTGATTGGGTCACATTTCTATCCTTCCTTCAATAGGAACCATAAATGATTCATATTTCAAGCTTCTGAGAGGCACTCAGAGCCAGAAGGCCTTCCTTCCGCTCGCCTCACATCTCTCCGCTGTAATTCAATCGAAGGTGTTCACACTCAGCACTTCCCTTCTCTCCTCACAGCTTGCCTGCTGTGTGATAGGAGACCTCCAACTGCGCTCACGCATTGCAATCTCTGAGCTCGTTTCCTCCTGCGTTCACAGACTGTAACAGGTGTCAGCCAGCAACCCGCTCACCTCCGGGTCTGGTCTGAAAAGGACGGAGCCTCCGACCAACACAACACAACACTTCCCCCCTCCGTCTCCCCGTCCCTCTGCCCTGCTCCCCCAACACTGTGCCCAATCGCATTAGCCCGAATCACGAGCTCAAAAGTCCCTGACAACGCCAAGATACCCACATCAGTCACGACAAGATCACTCCCAGACCCGCTCCGAGACGCCGTCTTGCGTGAAGGGCGCTACGTACATACAAGTTGTTGTGGTTGACAATGCTTCTTGGCCATAGTGACCCAACGTGCGCGCTGATACAAGACAGGGAGCTGCCTAGTGACTCAGAAGCACAGCCATCAAACCATCTGCGGCTGATGCAGTTCACAAGGCAGTGAACGGGAAGGGCTGTCTGTCCACCCACCAGCAAATAATTCGGAACTAACCGTCCTGGAAAATCTCAAGGTGCCCGAGTCAGCAAGTGTTCACTCGCTCTCTAAAGCGATGAGCAGTTACTACAGCCTCCATCCAGCCGGGAGGCAATCTGGTCAGACTGAGCCGGTCGTTCACTGAAGCTCCCAAGAATGAAACAATACTGATCCTCGCCAACGAAATACTGGGTTCGTCCATATGAGGCTGGGCTTGAGGAGGGATTGCGGGGGGGTGGGCCAGGAGTGATCACAGAGTCTTGATCTTTCAGATCAGTGGCGGCGGGAGGGGGGGGGGGGAATTGCTGGACTTCTCAGTCACTGGGCTTCGCCAGAGCCTCCACGACGTGATAATGCACCTTATCGACTGCAGGAGTTATTATTGGATTAACTATAGAACAACTTAAATTATCGCATTAAATATTAATGGAAAGCTGAACGTGGAAACATTCACTGCCCTGGAGGATGGTGAGGTGGAAATGATCCAAACAAAAGAGCTGTGCTGAAGTGCAAAGGACCCCGCCCCCACTCTCTTTCTTTCCCCGCCCTATCCCACCTCCCCACCTGCATCCCCCCCCCACACACACACACACACACACACACGCCCGCACAGCGCGCGCACCCACATGCGAACGAAGGTCAAAGAGATGTGAAATCAAACTGATTTGCAGTACTGTAGAGACAGCGAGTGATCTCATCGCTGACACAGGCAGTGATTTCCCTGAGGACACTGTACAGGCTGGGGCGTTGGGTGTCAAACCGCCCGTCCCTTTTGACTAGACTAATGCAGGCATTAGGTAATGCGGCTTGTGTGACAGCCTGTTTCTAAGGAAACTGGGAGCCTTTCTGATCCACTCGAGACTGAAAGGGCAGGGGAACAAATCAATGTTTGGGAGGCTGCGCGGGGCTGGGAGCGGAGTTTATTTTGCTAATTTTGGAATCCATGGCGCAGATTTTTTGCAGAGCAGAGAGCAGTGAGGCTGATCACAGTGTTAGAGACAGAGGAGAGCAGTGAGGCTGATGCCAGTGTTAGAGACAGAGGAGAGCAGTGAGGCTGATCCCAGTGTTAGAGACAGAGGAGAGCAGTGAGGCTGATGCCAGTGTTAGAGACAGAGGAGAGCAGTGAGGCTGATCCCAGGTTAGAGAGAGGAGCAGTGAGGCTGATCCAGGGTTAGAGACAGAGAGCAGTGAGGCTGATCCCAGTGTTAGAGACAGAGGAGAGCAGTGAGGCTGATGCCAGTGTTAGAGACAGAGGAGAGCAGTGAGGCTGATCCCAGTGTTAGAGACAGAGGAGAGGAGTGTGGTTGATTCCCCAGTGTTGGACAGACGAGAACAACAAATCATTTAATTTAACCCTCGATCTCATAACGCCTATAAACCTCGGCGCTGGCTGGCATTGGGAAAGTGCTGAAGTGGGAACTTGCTTTTACTCAGGTGCCTTCCTTACAAGTCAGAGAAACCGCAGAGAAACATTTAGTACCAATACACGTACCTGTAACAGAGTCTGGGGCCGTTCAGTCCAAGAACAGCAGAGAGATCCCGGGGAGGGAGAGAGCAAGGGAGAGAAGAGAGAGAAGAGATATGAGCACATTTCCTCATTTCGTCTGTTCTATTCACTCCCCACCACCCCCTTCACTTATACAGCACCTTTCATGTCAGGAAGACGCCTCAAAGCACTTCAACAGGCAGGGGACATGAAGAGCAATTTCAGGGCAGACACCAGCAAGTATTTCTTTACCCAGAAAGTCATCCATAACTAGAACTGCTATTGATGTAGACCATGACAAGCTGCTTCTTCTTGTCCAGAACAGTTGAACCAGAGGAACAGACCCTCAGGGTTTGCCAGGGAGTGAGGGTGATTGAGGCCGGGTCCCTGGGACTCATTTAAGAAACAGATCAATGCTATGGACCCCCATTGGCGGTCGGGCATTCAACACCTTTGCCTCCACACTCTGGAACTCTATCCCGCAATCCCTCCACCTCTCCCCCTCTCTCGCCTCTTTCAAGTCCCGTCTAAAGACCTTCCTTTTCGACAGTGCCTTCAGCCACCCTCCCACCCCACCCTGCCCTCCACCCCATCCTGACCACAAGTTGGGTCCCAAACCCCTGACTATCCAGCGCCCTGGGACGTGTTTCCGACGTGAAGGGCGCTATGCAAGTGTAATTCGTTGCTGTTGGGGCTGTGAAGGGAGGACAATAGGGTGGGTGTTCTTGAAGGGGATCAGACGGGTTAAAGGGAGCTTCCTCATCCAAATCTCTCATGCGATGTTGGGAGTGCATCACTGAGACAGAGAGAGGTGGTGCAAGGGAGGGGTTGGTGAGAAGTCCCACCGTTCTGTCACCTCCCAGGCCTTGTCTATCTGCCTCTTGATCAAGGGAAGCGCCACAGAGGTATCAGGGCAATGCTCCTTCCCAAAGAAAGACACTATCTGCTCTCGATCACACTGCCAGCCCTTGGTGTTGGCTCATATCCACATGAATTCCACCAGATGTGATGTGTGTGTGTGGTGGGGGGGGGTGGGAGAGAGAGAGGCAGAGACAGAGCACTCCGCGTGTGTGTGTGTGTGTATCACCGTGTGTGCAAAAGAGCGCCGTGTGCTTGTGTGTGTGCAAGAGAGACAGTGCTGTCTGTGTGTCCATGAGAGAGACACACAGACCGCTGTGCGCTTGTGTGTGTATGAGCAAGAGATTGTGTGTGTGTGTCTATGAAAGAGACAGACAGACGAACAGGCAGACGGACAGGCAGACAGAAGGCTGTGCATGTGTGTGTCTGTGAAAGAGACGGGAACAGAGGGGGAGAGAGAGCGAGAGAGAGGGAGCTGGCTCTGTGCCTCTATGTGTCTCTAAAGAGACCATGTTTAACCCTCCCAGGAAGAGCGCACCCCCCCACCCCACCCCCACCTTTGTGGTGGTTGGTCCTCATTACTGGGAGCGTTAATAAATGCCACCTCTGCCACCCTGCTTACCCGCTGCTGAATGAGCGCGTGCTTGTGCTCCATTTCCCTCTTCTCCACCGCCGAGTCGATCACCAGCTGGTCCAACTGAAACAACAGGGACAAGGTGACAGTGTGTTTGATTCACGCAAACCTCAGGAGAGGAGATTTAATAGAGGCGTTCAAAATGATGAGGGGGTTTCGATAAGAGTCTCCAGGGAGAAACCGTTTCCATTTGGAGGGTGGGTCAGTAACCGGAGGACACAGGCTTAAGATAATTGGCAAAAGGACCAGAGGGGAGACGAGGAGAAAGTTTCTATGATTCTATCATTGTTAATTAAATTTCGTTCACTCAATCCACGACTGTTTGTGGGGACGCGGCTGTGCACAATTGGTCACAAAATACGCAGTCAATCCGCATTACAGTGTATTCTGTAAAACGTTTTGAGACGTCGTGATAAGGCGCTAAATCAAATGCAAGGAATATTATTATTATTATTAATCACAACAACAACTTGCATTGAGACAGCGCCCCCTTTCACGTAGGATAGCGGCTCAGAACGCCACTCAGTGACAGAGTCAGACACCGAGCGAGGGAGGAGGGAGACAAGGCGTGGTGCCCGGCAGAAGCACATACCAAACCTCTTCATTGCCCCCTGAAATTGCTCTGCGTTGAATAAATAATCTTTTAACCTAGTGGAGGGTTTATTTTTTTTAACCGCTTCGAATGGCGTTTCAGTCGCCTTGAACCTCGGAGGCTGTCCTCTGTGGCAGATTTTGCCCTGGCAGATGCGTCCTTTTTCAAAAGGTCATTCTCTCCCTTAAGTGCTGAAGTCGTTCGGCTGTGAATCCATCCTCTCTGCCCTGACCATCTTGTGTTCCAAATCCTGGCAAATCCACTCCCAGTTTCTTTACAACTTTTTTTTTACCTAGAATTGCATAGAATCTGCAGCAACCAAACAGCCCCCTGTCGACCCAAATGGTCCTCGCCGGTGCTTATATGTCCAACCCCACACACTTATGTAAGGTGTTATATAACAAAGGCTTTTCCTCTCTGTAGAAGCAAGACATATTCGGAGACTTTTTTTTTAAAAGGAGGTCTCGCTCGCTCACTCACCTCTGTTGCTAACTTTCTCATGTAAGGATCCAACTCATTTAGCAAGTCGTAGCCTTGCTTGAAGAACGTGTACTGTGCGTGCATAAAGGATAGCATCTGAGGGGAAGGAGGAAAGAGCGAGAGTTAGTCCTCTGCGGGGTCGGTACATTTCCCCCACTCGCTCCCGCCTCTCTCTCCCCTTTCCTCCCGATTTCGCCTGCACCCACGGTTCATTTCTAACCGTTTATTAACGCCTGCCTGTGGGACACTGCCGTGCGCGATCGGCTGCCGCGTTTCGCCCACAAAACAAAACACACACAAGTCACTCCACTTCACAGTACGTAGTGCGAAGCGCTTTGAGACGTCGCGACGATGCGATGAGGTGCTGTATCAAAGGCAAGGTTTATTGTTTGTGGCTGTTGTTATCAGTTCGCAAAGTGCGGTGAGATTTTTTTCAGCTCCGCTTGAAAGGCTCTCTGTAGCGCGGCCTCACCTACGAACCTGAATCATTTCCTGCGTACGCGATCCGCAGGAAGTGACATCCGCAGCGGCCCGAAAGCAGAGAACGATGCCTTACCGAGTCCAGGATTTCGAACTTCTTCTTTGCCTGAAGGACATTGATCTGAAACAGAGTCAAGGTAAGACTCGTCAGTGCCCCCTGCTGGTTCGAACAGTTGGTTTCCCGGGCTGGAGGGTGGGGAGTGGGGGGGGGGGGAAGGGGTAGATGGGGGGGGCACGTGAGCGTGTACGGTTTGCACACGTGTGTGCGCCCAGTGTTTACGGGCATGCATAACGCGTATGTACGTGCGTTTGGATGGGTGGGCTCTTCGGGGAATTGTTTGTTCGCTCTCGGGGCTGCGTATCTCTGTGATGCCTCACGTTGTGGTGGGGGGTGGGGGGTGGGGGGTGGGGGGGCGGTGGTTGGGTGGTGGGGGGGTGCGCCTGGGTGGGGTCCATTCATTGTATTACAGTGCCATCGAGTGGTGAACACACAAACTGCACCTATGGCCGGGTGCTGGTTGGGTGACACGTGGGTGACTTCTGGTTTGCGTCCAGTCTGTTGCAGAGCCATCCATTCCTCTCCCCCCGCCCATCTTCCCTCCCGCCCGCAAACCCCGCTCACCCTTCCCTCGCACCTCCCCCCCCGTCCCATTCCCCCTGAATCCTCTCCCGATCTCAGACGGACGTTAAAGATTCTCATGGCAGTTTCTCTGTCTCTCTCTTTCTCTCTGACCCGGTGCCCTGGACGACAATCTCCCAGATAAGATAAAAGGAAAAAACACTCCCTCGCTCCATGGCTGTATGTGGGGATTTGACTGTGCACAGTCACTACACGTTGCAGCGTATCGTGCGAGTCGCTTTGGGGCGTNCCCCCCACGTGAAAGGCACTGGGTCAAATGCAGGGATTATAAAAATAATAATTCTTGCATTTGATGTCGGGCCTTATCACGTCTTTGAGACTTCTCAAAGCGCTTCGCAAGATATACCGTAAAGTACAGTGACTGTGGGTGTTGTGTGTTTCATCATCTCTCCCCCAACCGCTGATCGTCTCTGCCCCCCCTCCCCCAACTCCCCCTCCCCATCCGTCTCCGCCCGGTTCATTTCACTCACCTGAAGGACGTAATCCAGAGCCAGGTGTCGGAAGCATTTCCGTGTCATGGTCAGCATCCCCGTGGCCTCCTCCACCTCGTGGGTCTTGCTCCTCGTGGCTTGAGCGTTCTTCACCAGCGCCAGGTCCATGTCCTCCCGCACCTTGTCAAACTGCTTCTTCGTTTCCTTAAACTTCCGCACGTCCCTGCACGCAAACAACAGGCAGTCAGGTGGGGGAAGAGGGAAGCCGGTGAGGGGGGTGGGGAGGCAAACCATGATGGGCAAAGGGTCCTCACTTCTCCCTCTTGCCTTCTCCCCCACCCCCCCACTCCCCCCCACCCCCTAACACTTTGCAACGAACGTGAGGCAAGTGCTATTGTCGTGCCCAGGTGCATTGAAGAGGCCGAGGGCAATGGGAGATTGGGGGGGGAAAAGGGGAGCGTCCAGGGAGACCGTGTGGAAGGAGGGAAGGGGTTGGGGCTGGTCAGGAGGTGACCAAAGACACAGTCAAAGAGTGAGGGAGGGAGCCAATCGACTAACAACCGGGTTCCTGCTTACTGCCAGGTAAACAGAGACCTGTGGAGTAAGGAAACTTGCCCAAGTTACATTCTGCCCGGGAATCGAACCATGGCACTCCATGAATTTTCTTTCAGGTGTAGGACTTACTCTTTCACAAAGTTGTGCAGCTGCATCCGTACGGACCTCTGAGCCTGATCGAAGAGAATCTGGAATGGAGAGAGAGAGAGAGAGAGAGGAGAGAGAGCCAGTCAGTATCTGCCATTTACTGCATAACAATATCTTCTCACATTTTGTTGTTGTTGTTGTTGTTGCACTCCTCTTGTCATTTCCCCTACAAATTGGGAGCTTTCTCGTATTTTTTCTTCTCCTCCTCAAATATTTTGTCTAATTTCCCTTTTAAAAGCTACGGGGGGGACCCCCATGTATAGCGCGGCCTCCCTTATAGCATTGGAGAAACACCCTAACCCAACCCAACCCAACCGGCTTCCTGCGATGACGACCGAGGCACGAGCAAACCCTCGCGGCTGCCCGTTACCTTCTGTGAGCTCAAACTCCCTGGCGTTGGGGGGGAGGGGGGGGGTTTGAACCATTCCAGGGCTTACAAATCATGTCTGACCTAAAGTTGCCCTTCGCCCCTGACCCTCTGGTCCCACTGCTTGACTCGTGTCTGGTTCACCTGAGACAAGGGAACGCTTGACTTCAGATGCAGAGTCTATCGGGTTCTATCTCTTTTTGCTCAGACGGGGGGGGGGGGGGGGGGGAAACGACAGTTGGAGTTAATTAGGAAATGAGAACAGTCGGGTTTTAATGAGATTTAAGAATGTAATTACACGCTCTCATTGCCCAGTGGATCTGGTGCGAAGTCTCGAGGGTAGAAAGTGACAGACTTGGAAACCGTCTCGCATATGTTTTTTTTGCCGCTCAATTCTGCCACGAGATTTTTACAATCTAGTCTTTGCAGTCGATCCTGCGCCTATAATAAGAATATACTGCAAAGTAAATTGACTGTGTAATTTGTGGGCAGCGCACAGCAGCGTCCCACAAACGGTCGTGGATTGAAGTGACCGATTTACTTTTATTAATATTATTTTTTTTGAAGGAATTATCGCGCCCAGGAAAAGCGATCCGTCCTTCGACTAACAAACGACCAGGTTCCTATTTACTGACAGGTAAACAGAGGCGTGTGGAGTAAGGAAACTTGCCCAACGTTTCGCCCCGCCCGGGAATCAAACCCAGGTCTCTCGCTTGGGAGGCGAGTGCTCTAACCACTGAGCCACAGGACGGTAACATCGAAACATCTCAAAGCGAAACATCACACCGCAAGCACATTGACGATACTCCCTCTGAATTCTGCTCTTGTGTTTGGGCTGTTTCCCTCTCTGACGTGAATAATAATCTAATATATATAATAATAATATAATAATCCTTGCATTTGATATAGGGCCTTATCACATCTTCAGGACGTCTCAACGATGTGCGATTCGGATTCCTACCCATTTCCTCTCCAGATCGATTACTATCTATTTCCCCTTCCTCTCTCCCTTCCTCTCTCCCTTCCTCCCTCCCCGTCCACACTGCAACGTCCCTCCTCCCTTTCTCTAAAGCACGGAGAGGGAACGGGGGTGAAGGGCGCTATATAAATGCAAGTTGTTGCTGGTTCGCAGGATATACTATAAAGTGAACTGACTGTGTAATGTGTGGGTGAAACTCGAGAGCCAGTCGCGCACAGCAGGGCCCCACAAATAGCTGCGGAGTGAAACATAAATTGCATTGAATTGTATAAGCACTTGGGGACATTTTGACGTCATAAGGTGCTGTGGCAAACTCGACGATTGTTATTATTAGCACCGATGCTTATTCAGTGCTAGCACCATATTGGGACGGACATTTGGCTGAAAGGCTTGGCTGGGAATAAATGGACCAGTTGGATATTCTATCAACACTGCATTGGCTTGGATCAGGCTTTTGCGTTCCAAAGGATCAGCCTCCATGCTTTGTGGTCTTATTATTGCTGCTGACTCACAGTCTGGAGAGGAAATGGGGAGTTGGAAGCGTTTATCAGTTAGCTGGAGCTCAAGCTAACGCTGCAGTGCTTGGGTTATAAGAGATATCTGTGATACGCTACAAGATGCCTCCATCAGAGCCCTGCATTCTGCATTCTCAATCCGTAATAATTACCGACACGACCTGCTCTCCTGCTGTGTTTGCTCTCCGAAGATTTCCCCAGCTTTTCCCGGAGTGTGCTGATGGAATTCTTTTCCCTGATTGTGGTCAAACTGAACCAGCATATTTCTGGGCATCTGGAGCGCACATGAAGCTCTCGCTCTCGCTCATTCCCTCTCCGTGCTTCAGAGAAAGGGAGGGATGTCGCAGTGTGGACGGGGAAGGAGAGAGGGAGGGAGGGAGGACCAGATGGACCAACCTCGGAAACTCTGGAATATATTAATAATAATAATCCTCACATTTGATGTAGCACTTTTCACATCTTCTCAACGTCTCAAAGCGCTTCAAGAATATGCTGTGAAGTAATTTGACCGTATATCTGTGGGCGAAACACGGCAGCCAATTGCGCGCAGCAGCGTCCCACAAACAGCCGTGGACTGAAAATGACCAATTTATTATTGTTTTGTTTTTTGGAATGATTATTATTAGGCTCTGTGTGGAGTAACAAAACTTGCCCAAGGTTTCGCCCCTTGCCTGGAATTGAACCCAGGTGTCTCGCTTGCAAGGCGAGTGCTCCAACCACTGAGCTACAGGACTCCTTAATGCGTCTTCAAGACGTCTCGAAGCGCTTCACAGAACAGACCAAATGCAACGATTATTATTATTGCGATTATTATTATACAGAGCTCACCCCTGAGCCTGCGGAGGATGGCGTGTGAGGAAGACAGTCTAGAGCAAAGCAGTTAGTTGCAACAACAGCAGCCCTGAATATTGAAATTAAATCCGGGCCAGAGTTTCACACGATGCCGGCTGCCCACTCGAGTCAGCGCAAATAAATCTTTATTCACATAATGTTCTGCAGACTCGCCAACACAATCCCTATCTCTGTGACAAAGCTACCTCTGTTTCCCCAGTCCTGGCCGCCCTCCCAGATCCCAGTGTGTGGCCGAGGCCACCTTCTGATAATCCCCTATTATATACAGTATATCAATGTTTCCGGCCTCCGATACTCTCTAACTGCGCCTCAGTCACTTTCTGTCGGGAACGGCAATCTACTCGTCGCAAAGCGTCGTCCGTTAGTCCACAAGAAAACTTTGTCTTGTATTAAACTGGGGCCTGGGCTGTGCTGCGAATGGAAACCCCTCTGGATTGAGTGCCCATTCTAGCGCCTTAACCCAGCTCAGACTAGCTCAGCTCCAGAGGGCTTTGAGAGGTTGCCCCTTGTGAAAGGCGCTATATTAAATCAAGTTGTTGCTGCTGTAGTTGGGAGGGGGTTGGTGGAGGGGGTGGGGTGGGTGGGGTAAACACTGTCCTTTGCAGGAGGCATTGAACTGATGTTTTCGCCCTCCACACCCCACCCAAGGCAACTGCACCACGTGATGTGTTGGCCGGCTGTTGGTGTAAAGTTCCACGTGGTAAGGACATGGAAAACCTGATGTGGATGTCACATATGGCGATCAGACCAGGTTGGAGTGAGCGTGATTAAGAAAGGCTGGTTCTTCCAACGGGACGAGTATTAGGAAAAACAAAGTGAGCGACCTCAGCACATGTTTGCCACATGATGACTGGCCCCATCGGCTCCCTGTCCCCCAGCCCATCATCATTCAGATCCTCGTCCCAAACTTCGTGCCCCTTCATATCGCACCTTCGCGCCCCCTCCGCCCGCTCCACCCACCACCCCAGCCCATCCACCCACACCCTCCACTCAGCCAACTCGTGCCCCCCACACCCCCCAACCCAATCCCACTCTCCCCCCTTGCCACTCCTTTCCCACCTCCGTCCCACCATCAACTTGTGGGGAATTCTCAAATTGGATCTTGATTTGAAAGCTGTTTTTCCGCAGTTCCCAAAGACGAAACGGCTTCCGAATGCGGGACGATTTTTAAAAGAATCCCCCCCCACAAAAAAATTCTCCACGCCTCAAATGTCAAGGTCCCTCAGGCTGAGAGTGGATGGAATTCCGAGACCTGCGGCCTTGGCGGTGTAACGTCCCGGAGCTTACCATGTGGTAGTTGATCATTTCCTGTAAACTTTCTCCAAACTTCTCCAGGCATTCCTGAAATGAACAGAGAGGGGAGAGGTCGGAATGTTGACTGGGAAACGGGAATTAGTACAAGTCACTGAGGCAAGAACTGCGATGTTTCAGAGCAGCTTTCCCCCCGCTACCCAACAAGCCCCCCACCCCACCCCAACCCCCTCCCTCCCCCTCCTCCCTCCCGCAAACATCCATCCATCATCGCAAATTGCGTTATTATCTTAGCTTCGCATTGAGATTTAACAATAATAATAATCCTTGCATTTGATGTAGCTCCTTATCACAGTCGTTGAGATGTCTTAAAATGCTTCACAGAATGTCTGAAATTATCACTATTATTTCTGGCTGTATTGTTCCATGTGTGGCGAGGGAAAAGGGAAGGGGGAAGAGGAGGAGAGTGGGGGAGAGGGAGAGGGGCGGAGGTGTGGGGTGGGGGGGGGGGCGGTGGAATCCGTTCCTTACCGATATGGTCTCGTCTTTCTTGCACTGCTGGGAAAGGTCACGGATGCCGGTCACAAAGTGTTTGTTGGCGACGGTGTAGGCTCGGCCAGCTTCGATCATCCCACTGCACAGCTTCACCAACTGCACGAAGAGGAGAGACAGAGCGTGTGAGAGAGAGAGAGACAGAGAGAGAGAGAGAGTGTGAGTGAGAGATGGCATTCAAGCTCGGTTACCAAACACTTCCTGGCTGCAATAATAATGATGATAATCTCGCATTTGATACAGCACCTTATCACATCCTCGAGACGTCTCAAAGCGCTTCACGGGATGCACTGCAAAGTGCAGTGACTGTGCATTTTGTAGGCAAACGCACAGCAATGTCCCACAAACAGGGAATGGACTGCACGAACAATTTTTTATTTGGGGGATTTGTTGGCCAGGACACCAGGTTAGAGAAACGGCCTTCTCTTTTCGAATAGTGCCACGGGAGGGGAAGAGGTGGCCACTTTTACGGCGCTCCCTAACAGATTTCTTCATAAGAAATGTGCGATTGTCGAATTTCTGAAACAACGACTGGGCTACAATCTGGGGGTAAACTCGCGGCTCTTTCTTCATTAACGCTGGCATTAATCACTTTGCCGCAAAGATCCGAATACAGGAGGTTAGAGTAAACCGCCTTGTGTCCCCCAGGATGAGACCCGGGACTTGGCAAGCCTCTCCAGACAGCGCAAGAGTTCACTCCGACAGAAACAAAAGGCCTACAATCTGAGATAAACATGTGGAAACGCTTAACACAACGAAAGAGTTATGATTAAAACAAAACATTAAGCTGCGATTCGCGTTCAAACCAAATGCCTCTGAAGCTCGGCCAAATCATGGGCCCAGGATAAAGGAAAGTTCACCCACTCTTCAAAGTCTGAGCCGAAATCAGTTGTCCTCACAAGCACTGAGCCTGGGCTGTGCGCTGCTGTCTTTATGTGTCATCTTATGAGCAATGCTCCTGATATCAGACCGGCCTCAGTCGGTAGCACTCTCGCCTCTGAATCGGAAGGTTGTGGGTTGCAGGCGACCCACGTTGGAACTTTGAACTCACAGATTAGGCTGACTCTCCAACAATAATAATCATAATAAAAATAATAATAATCCTCGCATTTGATATAGCGCCTTGTCACGTCTTCGAGACGTCTCAAAGCGCTTCACAGGATATACTGTAAAGTGATTTGACTGTATGTTTTGTGGGACAAACGTGACAGCCAATTGCGCACAGCAGCGTCTCCACAAATATTCTTTTTATTATTTTTGTTAAGGGATTATCAACCCCGGAAAAGCGATCCGCCACTCGACTAACAAAGGGGTTCCTACTTACTGCTGGATAAAAAGAGGCGTGTGGAGTAAGGAAACTTGCCTAACGTTTCGCCCCCCCCCACGGGAATGGTTCCAGGTCCCCTCGCTTGTGAGGGGAGTGCTCTAACCAATACGCTACAGGACTCCAGAATGAAGTTAACGCTCAACCATCGAAACATAAAGCTAATCACCGCTAATCGATTAGTGACCTCGCCATCTATACCAGTAGCCCAGGAACTGCAGGAACCCTATCCTGCGCTATATAAATGCAAGTTGTTGTTGGAAGAATCCCAGCCACAAAAGAATATCGAGAATTGTGTGCCAGGAGACTGGGAATTTAATGAATAATTTTTTAAAAATCTTGAACAACTGCAATTTATTATACATCGTGAATCATTATTAGTTTTGGTCCAAACCCCCCACCCCAGCAAAACAAACTCAAGGCTGAAAAAAATTCACATTAGTCGACTGGCTGCGACAGACTCATGAAACACAAATTTAAGCTGAGTGTGTGTGTGGGATAAGAGCAGGAAATGTCTCTGAATGTACAACCATGTGGTATCCATTAGTGCAAATGACACAGAGGGCTGATTTATTTGACTTTCATTCAGCTGTGCACCCAGCGTTTCACATTTCTCGCAATCGCAGAGCTAAATAATAATAATAAGTCTTACATTTAAAACAGCGCCTTTCCACGTCGAGAGGACGTCTCAAAGCACTTCAGAGGGATGTATTGCAAAATGGAACGACTGTGTCATTTGTAGGCCAATTTGATCGCAGCGACCTCCTACAAACAGCTACGAACGAATGATTTTCTTTTTAATCGTGGGGGCCGGGGTTGTTGGCCAGGACACCGGGAGAAACTCACTTCTCTTTTCGAATAGCACCGTTGGATTTTTAAGATCTACCTGATTGGGCGTAGATGGGACCTCAGCTTAACATCTCATCTGAAGGACGCCAACTCTGACAAGGCGACACTCCCTCCCCTAGCACTGCACTGGAGTGTCAGCCTAGACCGTGAGCTCAAAGTCCTGACTTCCCTACCCCCACCCCCCCTCCCCTTCCCCTACCCCCCCCCCAACTCCTAGAGAACTCCCTTCTCATTGCCCTGGATCAGCGCCTACATTAATTCCATGCTTTGCAGTTAAACCCCTCGCTCGCTCCTTATTTATAGTTCCCAGTTGTTTCAGAAAGCCGGTCCATTAATCTCCAGCAAAAGGGTTACGAGCTCCTCTAATTCCACACGGTCTGCGGTATCCTTGCTCCAGCTGGCAAGGCTTCAGGGACTATTTTCTGCCTCCTCCTTTCCTATTTCTGGATGCTTTGTGGGCGCAGAAATTCCACCTTAGCCATCCGAATCTTAAAATGTAAGAGAAGATTGCACGTTTTGAAGCCCGTTTTAGTTTTTCTGCATTTCTGGTCTCTTTGACAGGGAACCCCAGGTCCTCTCCGCTTGATTGCGAGGCGAGCGCTCTAACCACCACCTCCACAGTTAAGCCCCATGACTTGCCCAGTCTAGAAAAGGGGCAAATGTCACCAAGTATTAAGTTTCCCAGTGGGAACCACAGATATCTGAGACACGATGATGAGGCTTCGAATGGATCACATCTATTTTTGGTGGAACTGGGGGTGGGGAGGGGATGGAAAGGGAGGCAAGTATGGTGGGGGGGGGTGGGAGAGATCCTGGGATTTGATAGTATTGATAGTAGCGTCTTGAGCCATAAGGGAACATGCATCTATCCCAGTGAAGTCACACAGGACACAACCGGAAAAATAGACTACTGATAAAAATCTTCTTGTATTCAAAAGAATATAGAATACAGTGCCCAGAACATCGAAACATCACCAAGTGCTTCCCAGAGCTGTCAAGTCTTTAGCTGTAGATGGCAAACATGTGAACTTCAGGTTTCAGCAACGCCTTCTTTGATAACAGCCGAAACTTTACCGAAGCTGACATTTTTTTTCACTCCACGTTTTGCTCGAAGGGCAAAAAATTAAAAAAAACATATTGCCGGATTGACATTGCGGTCAAGCAACGTCAAGTCATCGGCAGGTTTGCTGTTTAACAAATGTGATCTGTAGTTTGTGTGTCTTTGTGCGTGTTTGTACACGTCTGTGTGTGTGTGTGTCTGTGAGTGTGTGCCTGTGTATGTGTGTGTATGTTGTAAAAAGCATGTACTCAGCCAAACACCATGAGCTATGCGGAGTTATGCTCAGACCATAGGCTCAGCTGTCCGCTTCCTCATGTGCCCTGACCCATCTAACCTCTGCTCATTGGCGGTCTATAGAATGATAAGGACTTGAGGATTTAAAAGCTGCGTCAACATCGCCAGTCGTAATTATGGGCTCGTTCACAATGAAGTTAAGCTTTTGCATTTTCTTGTCAAGACAAGTTTTTTTGGTGACCTAATGGGGAAGAGTGGGACAGCCTGAGCCGGGCTGGCACGCTTAAATAGCCAACAACAGCAACAAATTACATTTGTATAGCGCCTTTCACGTCAGGAGGACGTCCCAAGGCGCTATCAGCCTCTTCAAACAGCCTCAGTCGGCACCTTTTCCCCTGCCATCGCCAGAGCAGTTGAACGCGGTGTGTAAAATTCTCCGCAGCCGGAGATACCAATGAGGTTCAGTGTCAGGAAGCCATCGGAACGTCTGAAACACTTGTAGTCCTGCTCGCAAACCCTTCACAGGGATATTTTTATCGGCTGCGTTGGCTTTTCAAGTGCTTCCAGAGAGGATGTTAATGCACCGACTGATTCGCTGCTTGTCGTTGGTTTTACAGTGAGCTGGAGTTCAGTTCGTTCCCCCTGTGCCAAGTAAGCTGCCTGCAAACCCTCTCGACCCCACCCCCAAACCCCCCACCCCCACGTTAAAACTTCTTGCCTCGGTGACCGTCTCTGAACTAGGAAGCCTTCTGTAAGCTACACGGAACGAGAGAGATGACAGAGTAGAGGCAGACCATCTGGACCACTGTGTCTGTGCTGGTGTTCGCTTCCTCCACTGCAGCTTTCCACTCTATCCCCATTCCTCTGCTCTTTCTCCCCCCCAACACACACACACACACGCAGTGTCTGTGCTGGTACTCGCTTGTCCATCTTTCACTTCAACCCGAGGAACCGTAACCAAATCACCCCCAACCCCTCAACTCCGCAACAATTTTTTGGGGGCGTGAATCTCTTCTTACGTGGGCGATGCTGGGGGTTGGGGAGGAGGGGGATCGGCGGAGATGGAGGTGGGGGGAGGTTGAGAGGTGGGGAGGGCTTTCGTTCCATCTTACACCTCAGCGAGAACGCCTAGCCATGGCGCTAGGTTGACAAAACCAGGACTTAAACTCACTCGGTGCTATTCACAAAGCTTTACGCAAACCACATGGCTCTTAGATGGGAAACCAAAGCAATGCAGTGTTTTTTTTTTCTACGTTATTCTAAGGGGTGAGTGGAAAATGTATCCTTTTGTGTGTGTGTGTGTGCGTGTGCGTGTGCGCGTGTTGAGAGAGCATGTGAGTGTCTGAGCACGTGTGTGAGAAAATGAGTAAGCACGTGAGTGTGTAAGCACCCACGCGTGTAAGTGCGTGTGTGTGTATGTAAATGTACAAGTGCGTGAATGTGCGAGTATGTGAGTCTGGACTGTAGCTCTGCTTACCTTGTCCAGTTTTGCTTCGATTTCCACCACATCGGTCTCCACCTCTTCAATCGTCGCCCTGCAAGATAACCAGGGGCGTTAAAACAACAGCAACAACTTGCATTTATACAGCCCCCCGCCCCCCCCACCACCTCATGCAGAGTAGCATCCCAGAGCACTACGCTATCAAAAGCAACACACCTGCTCACCGCGCTCAGACACTGAATCGTAATAATAATGATAATAATAATAATAATAACCACCATCATCATCCTTGCATTTGGCACAGAGCCTTTCGTGTCGGGAGGACGTCTCAAAGTGCTTCACAGGATTTACTGTAAAGTGTAGTGACTGTGTTTTTGGTAGGGGAATGGGCTGCCAATTTGTGCGAATAACCCGATTTTTTTTTTTATTTGGGGGTCACTGTTGGCCAAGATATCGGGAGAAATCCTTCTCAAATAGCACGACGGCAGCTGAGTCGGGGTGACACACATTGTGAACCAAAACACAAACCAGGGGTCAAGCCGCCTAAAGTCCAAGCCCTCCCTCCCTCCCTCCCGCCCTGTGCTTATTTGACGGGTAGATGCCCTGAGCTGACATTGCTGTGACATTTTCCACAAGTTATGTTTGTCTTTGCTGTCAGCCAGGCTCCGGGTTTAGCAAGGCTGTGCTGACAGACCGCACTGTGTAGTCACACAGCAGTGTCACATTTCCTGAACCCACGACCTTCTGGCCCGGAGAGAGAGAGAGAGAGAGAGAGAAAGCGAGGGGAGGGGGGAAGATTGCCGTAATGAATGAGCCGGGCTAAAGCCAAGCCTGGAGGGGTTGGGTCGTGTGAGACTCAACGCAAAATCTCATCCAAAGGACAGCAACTCTGTAAATGACGATGCTGAGCTCCCACCGGCCACGCGCTGGAGGCCAAGTCTAGACTGCGAGCTCAAAGACCCCAAAGCAACTCCAAAGGTCTTCTATCAGAAAACAGCAACGCCATCGGGACGTTAAACGCAGCCTGGTCAAGGGACACTTTGCCTTTTTTGGAGCAGGGGTGGGTCAAAAGCATCCAAGCAACCTGAATTACGATCGGCTCTCACTTCTGAAATAAGTGAGATAAGCGTTCAGCTGCTTTCACGACACACATTGAAGAGTTCCGTCGCTGCCTATTGTGCCGTCCTGAAGACCTAAGTGCCGCGTCACCGCCTTAATAATACGGTGTGGAGACCCGGCTAAGTGAATTAGTGTTTGTTGTGGCAGTGATTTATCACACAAGGAAGCTGATTAGTTCAGGAGGTTTGGGATTCTTCCCACTCGGCTCCCGTTAACCCCGCGAGCCAAAGCCCTACTGGCCAGGGTGAGCTTCGCTGGATGGGGGTGTGGCTTTCTGGACGGCGTTCACAAATGGGCTCCGCATAAAGGCGTTGCTATCACCTACCGTAAACAGCAGTCACTACACTTGACAACAACTGTCTTTCAAAATGTTCCTAATGCTTTCATGGGAATAAATTACAACTTCAGCTAAAATGAAGTTTGGCTCTCGAGGCTCCAGAATGTCTTCTCTCCTTCCCCTCCCCCTTCGCGCTCTCCCTCCCACCCCTCGCGCTCCCCCTACCACCCACCTCACTCTCTCCCTTGCCCACCACCTCGCTCTCTCACCCCCTCCTCGCTCTCTCACCCCCTCCTCGCTCTCTCCCTTCCCCCTTCGCTCTCTTTCTCTCTCTCCCCCACTACACGCTCTCCCTTCCCCCCCTCCCCTCGCTTTCTCCCTTTTCCCCTCGCTCCCTCCTCAGCTCCCACCCGGAAGCAGGATCTGGAACATGTCAATTAACATGATGGTTTTGCTGGGAGCACCGGGGCCTTTCATACATCCTCGGCACGTCAGCCAAACCTATAGACTAAACAGCACTTCACAGCGAGGGGGTCAGAGGCACAGCTCTGAGTTGGGTAAACCAGGGAGGACGGCAGATACCACACGAGAAGGCCTGAGAGAGGACAGGACTAATTTACACCAGTTATTCTATTCTGGTAGACGGGATCGAGGTCACACTGTAAATAACGGGACTTTTGTTATATTCATTTGTGGAGGATCGTTTCGCTGCTGTGGGAAGCAGACCCCAGGCTCGCGGCTTCACAGAGAACAGCGCTCTGGAGGAAGCTTTTTTTTAAAAAAAACTTTGTCCCTGAACTATATTCGACAGCACTTCAGGAAAGAACTGAGATAAAACAGCGAGCTCCCGTCCCACACCACACTCTGGGTAAATAAACGAAACATTCTTTGACGTGATCAGTCACCATAACTTGTGTGCTGGAGCCCTGGACAGCTTCAGTCAGCCTTCGTCTGGACTCGCGTCAAGTCAATCATTTTGCTTCGGGATGACTTCCGATCAATGGGAAAACCCTCGCCCTCTCTCTCCTCTGAGTCAGGAGGTGGGGGTGGGCGGCGGGGCGGGTGGGGGGTGGTGCACAAGCCCAATGAGCTCACAGCCTAGGCTGACGATCCAGTGCAGTGCAAGGTCCCTCAGATGAGATGCCGAACCCAAGGCCCCTCCATTGGGAAAAGAGAAAGTAGTTTCTTTCTCCCCTCCCCGATGTTTTGGTCGACAATGCCTTGGGATAAAGGCAGTCATTCACCTAACTCGTGGCTGTTTGTGGGCTGTTGCTGGTTGCCAATTAGCTGCCTCGTTTGACTACAAAACGCACAATCACTACATTTTGCAGTAAAATCCTGTGATGAGGTGTCCTCCTGACATGGATCAAATGTATTCTCGCTCTGGAGTTTTAACTCCGTGACCTCCTTTTCTCATTCCCCTCAAGCGCTGAAAGTGTGGGGAGAGGAATGGGAAAGGGAAAAGGGAAAGGGAGGACGGAATAATGCGAGAGTCCATTAATCCCCTGACCCCCGGTTGACAAAGACTTGTTTAAAAAGCTCGAAACGTTCATCCAGATGGGAGTCCACACACGCCCTGTTTGGCTGAAAAAACTACCTCCTGCTGCAACAGACCCCGAACCACGCCTGGAAACACCGATGGGAACCTATTCAAACACAAACCGGTTCCACCGCTATTTGAAAGTTCCACGAAACCGGAGCCTTTTTGTGTCAGCAATTTGTAGGTTTTTTTGCAGAGGGAAATTTCCGCCTAATTTCTCCCCTCCTCTCCTGAAACGGTTCAGCCACTACCCTCTGAAACTCTAGAACTCTCTCCCTCAATCCCCCCACCCCTCCCGCTCCCCCGCTTTGCCCCCTTCCCTCCCCACCTTCAAATCCCACCTAAAGACCTTCCTTTTCAATCGTGCTGACAGTCACCTCCTTCCTCCCTCTCCCCCCCTCCCGGCTCGTTGTCACATTCCGCCACTGTCGAGTGCTCTGGGACGCTACTCTGCCTGAAGGGCGCTGTGTCAATATAGGTTGTTGTTGCTGGTGTTTCGGTGTGATTTGTTTTGGTCAGCCAGAACTTTGACGGAACTTCTTCCCACCCCATCTACGGTACGTTACAGTAACACCCCCCCCCCCCCCCCGAGAGCCTGCTATTGATCTCGTCAGGCTTGTCAGCGAACGATGGGAAGCTGCTCCATTGCTTTAAGAGAAACTGGGAGATTGTCGGAGAGGACACACCAGGAGAGAGAAATTTCCTTCGCTTATCGAGCACGTCTGTGGGAACGCTAACGTCCACTTGATCGGGCAGCCAGGACCTAATGTCTCAACCGAATGCCGTTACCTCCGACAATGCGGCATTCCACACCCCCCCACTCCCCCCAGCACTGAGCTGGAGCATCGCCCTAGGAGCGTGCAATTTTCTTTGATTCTCTGCCCACTCAGGCATTTGCAAGCCAAAGAAATCCTGGTGAGAATATTTCTTTAAAGACCATAACTTTACAGGTGCCTGTGTTTAGTTACATTATTGTACCACAGCCACAGGCCCACATGTGCCCAGCCTGTAGCCCGCAAGTTACATCAGCTGCTAAACTCGTTAATGCACAAAATATGTGCTGATCAGTAGCTCTGCTCCATCTCTGGTGCTCACCAGAGAAATCCTGTCAGTGACAGCACAACAAAGGTCTTTCCTTTGGGTTTAAACGTTCAGAGGTGAGTTCATGATGAAGGGTTTCGATAAGACAAATTGTGGGGGTGGTGGGAGGGAAATTATTCCCATGGTTGTCGATTCTGTAACCACAGAAATGTACAATACAGGAACAGGTCCTTCCTCATGTCTATTCACTGCTCATTTCCCCGTGGGCTATGCCAGTGCATGTCATTTGTGATCATCACCAAAAAAAAAACCTCCACAAAGGGTGCCAAGCTGAGGAAACACCCAACTGAGCACATCTGGGCCCAGGTGGGAATTTCTTTTAGCTTCCACCAGACAGATCTCGGTCAAACGACAGTTGATAATGTAGTGTTCCTCCCAACATCCTACTGGAGTGTGAGCCTCTGCTAACAGCTCACAATCAATCGGTCGAAGGAATCGATAGTCAACAAGAAATAAGAATGAAGAGCAAATGGTTAGGCAACGGCAGTGGGAACAACGCTAACGTATATGGAAGCACTTAGTTTAATGCATTGAGATCCCTCTGTGCCAGACAAGGTCAAACAGTAAAATCTCTACAAACCCTGAACATCTTCCTCGCCATCAATCACAGGGCCTGTTTGGAGGCATTTGACTTACAGCGAAATGTTTCAGTGCATCACAAAGGTGATTGATTGATCAGAGCGGTAATCTGTTATAGTCAGCAAATCTGACCCAAGAAAGTGCAATTGACACAAGGCAACAGAGAGAGGAGAGGAAAAGAGAGATGAGAGCGCAGGAGAGAGAATGAGGTAGGGAGAGAGAGAAGAGAGAGTCGTGGAGTGAGAGAGGAGCGGGGGAGAAATAGGGGAAGAAATTATGAGAGGAGGGGGAAGTGAAAGAGAGGGGAGAGAGCAGAAGAAAGCAGCCAAAATTGGGGAAGAGGGCGAGAGAGCAGTGAGAATGGAGAGAGAAAGAGATTTTAGAGAGAGAGAGAGAGACTTGCTATCAGTGAAAGCTGATGATCTCATCAGAGAGACTGGGTGAAGAGAGCTCAGCATTAACCCTGAGACTCCCAGCC